CAACAGACTGACTCACCATGCAAAGCTAAAACAACATGGGAAGTTGATAATATCGGGCCTCAATCTCATCACGATCGTGAGTCTTTATCGCATCAATTGATGGATGATAAGCAACGGCAATGTCTCAAATGGGTGTTTTTAGTGCCGAATTACCGTTACCATGGAAAGTATCGATGTTTACCTAGGTAGTTTTGATGGCACTTTTGTTTTCGGTTTAAGAAACTCTTGCATAATGAATGCACCTCGATCGCAGATGAGGCCCGATCAGAAAGTCAGCCGTGCAGAGGAAATGATTCTTGATTGTTTTCTGGTCAACAGGCTCATCATGTCGCTTGGCCAGCGTCATCGTCACGAAGCAGCGGCTAACAGTGGGTTCAGGCATCACACTCCCCTGCACGCTGAACTGCAAGCGGTAACTCCAGTCCGACGAATAGAAGGGAAGTATTCGTTGGAGGGGAAGTTGCAGCGGAAAGATGCACAAAGCTGGCGGGCATTAGCAGATTCAGTAGATTCAGTTAGATTGACGAGCAGACTGCAGATCACTCAAGAGGACATCAGAGGAGAGGAGAGGAAAGACGAACAGCGGAAGCAGCACAGCCCTAAGCTGACAGGATGTCGCTCAAAGGTCATGCCTATTGTACCTAAGTACATACTTTAGACAGTCTCGTGACAACAACAGCCAGGTGAGTGAGGTGAAACCGTGAAACATGCGTATTCGCGGAAGCCTCAATTAGGCATCCGAGAATTCTCATTAGTCTGCTGCCGAGTCGAATAGAGTCTCGTTCTTTTCTTAGCTTATCCAGGCTGCTCACGCGTGCGTAGACGTAAATAACACAGTAAGACTGGCCAGCCTAGCATCAGCGTGGCACCCTGGACTGTCAAGGACTGGAGCAAATCAAGAGAAGCTTCAGTAGTGTGACTTTGATGGCTGAATTACCCATCAGCTCAGCTCGACTCTGTCACTCTGGTCTGAATCTGAGCATCATCAATCTCAATCTCAACTGTTGGGCGAAACTGTAACTGTAATTGTGACTGCAACAATCGCTGTGGTTATATTTGGCGCGCCAATTCAATTTGTAGAGCGTCTTATGCGATGATCCACAACTCTACAATCCCACAAAGATAAAGAAACCCCAGATTTTTGTTTTCATTTGATTGAAAGAAATCAACAAGTTGTTTTTGTCTGCTTCTGAGACCCTGCAGAGTGTGGGGGAGACAAGACCCCGCGTTTCCGCAAGCCCAGCAGATGACGGAGAGGTGCAGGGTCAAATGCCAAGAACGAATAAGAGGAGGGCGATAAGAAAGACAGTCTCCAAAGAACTGAGATGGAGATGAGACACAAGAGCACGAGGGAAAAGGTCTTGGACTTGAGGGGGGGTAATAGAGTTTCGGCCCATGACCAAAATGAGTCGAGAACCACTCCCGCTGCGACGGCTTGGACGGATCCTTCCTCCTGTTCTCGTGACTTGAGGCCAAGTCTGGATACCTAGATACCGTCGTGATGTCACGGCGATCAAGGCCCAGCCCAGAAAACACGAGAATCAAGGCAAAACACTGTCAAGACCTTTCCTTTGCCATTCCCAAAATATCGCAATCCTGTACCAAGAGCGTACAAGGACAGCATGAACGATCAACGTTGCAGAAGAAAACAGGAGTTCGGTCCTGCTCTGAACGAGGAATGAACACCTGGCGATCCAACAATGACCTGTTCTTTACCCAACCCTCCTCTTGGGTTGGGGTTGGGTTTTGTCTCGGTGCGTCACCAGTCAATCTCACCCTACCACCCTTTGTGAAGCTTGAGTTGACCCCATTGGAATTCCTTCGCGGGCAGCAAACGGGCCAGGCTCAAAGGGGGAGAGCTGACCCCTTGGTACCAGAGACATGGCGTCACTAAGCACAATGAATCAATGTCTTGCTTCAACGCTCGTCATTCGTGCTCGCAAGACCCTGCAGACAATGACAGCTGGGGGCTTCTAACCCCCCTGACTTTTGTTTCTTGTGAAGCGTGATAGTCATCCCAAGAGCCTAAATAGAGGATATGCCATTTTGTTTGTACACGTGCATGGCAACATGCAACAAAGGAACATGTTGAGGAATGGCTGGTTCCGGCAGGTATATAATACAGTACTGGTTAGGTTTGATTTGATAGTGTATCCGCCGGACGCGGGCGGTAATCGCGCGGGAATGGGAAAGTTAAAAGCATAGATAAGAGATTCCACTCCGAGGCTGCCGTTCAGTCGGTCGCTGTCATTGTCGTGTGTGATTTTCGGACGAGGCCCGGAGTTGCCGCTGATAGACCTCCGGTTCGGCCCACTGACTCGTGGATTGCCACGTTCGGACGAAGATCTCAAGTACCGAGCGAGTAAGTCACTGCAAGTTGTCAGGGATCGTGGCAAGAAAATAAGGTCAAGAATTAAGAATGGCTCTATGTATGTAGAGCACGTCCTGGCGCTGTAGCTACAGCAATAGCATAAACCCGAGGTAAAGATTGTTATGGCGATGCTAACTGGTGGCTGGTTGTTGTTGGCGTAAGTGCTTGGCAAGCGCAAGCTGCCTTATCAGTTCGAGCACGCGATAAAGCTCCGATACCGTGACCCCCAACTTCCAGCTGGAAAGTACTTACTACCTTGGGCAGGTAAGGTGGAAGGAAGGTCGGGTTCAAATGGTCTTCGTATCTCGTCCGTATCAAAAGCTGTGCACCCGATATAACATCATATCATAGGCGCGTGTATCTGTAGTTGCTGGGTTCTGTGTGGAACAATTCTAGACGGCTATCAGTTGCGCCAGCTGGCTCATCTCGATTTGTCCTATCCTATTCAAAAGCTCCTGTCAGTCCACCATCAGAACTCAACTCATTGTCCATTTGAGACGCTTGCATAGGATATTGCTCGACTGGATCAGCGACCTGACCATCTCACCCAGACCGACGTGAGCGTGAGCGTGAGCAAGGCTGTCGATACGGTCACTGTCTGCTAGAAGGGCTGTGCTCCCTGTTGGCGCTTCGAGCGGACTTGGACCCTCGAAACACAGCTTTCCTTGTGACTCGCCAGTTTGACCAATTCTGTGGTTTTGAATTGTCGAAATCCAATCTCAGACATTGCTTGGCACGCTGCCCCTGCCCAAGATCCCCAGCCTGAGCCTGAACACGCCCCGCCCCTTGTCCACGAGGACTACCGTAGCCGTTGCAATAAGGACTTACATATTCCTGGTTACCGCTCTTTTGAAGAAGAAGAATACCCAGTCACTTGTGAAGGATATATCGAAGTCTTTTGTTGTCCGAACAACAACCATTTTGCCTTTCGAAACACGTTCGACAACGGGAAGGATGGGCAGCTTACAAGCTTCTCCGCGGCCCTAAGATCATCAACCCTGTCCTATCTGATTTGTCAATATCAGATCCCTGCGCATCTGGCAGTCCTCACTGTCAGAGACACGAACAAAGCACAACGCAGCAAAACCCTTTGCTGCGCTGCAAGGCACGATCCATTACTTTATCCGCGGTAGCGTAACACAATCGTTCTCTATCCATTCAACAAAACCAATTTGGGGTCTTTGCAAGTGCCACTTGGCCGCCACGACGTGATTCGCCGGTACACCTAAGCTTCTAGGGCTCTGACGAACTCGCAAGCGTCACCCTTGATCGACGAACCAATCCAAGCCTTCGCGTTTACGTTAATGAAACTGTTCGTTGCCGCGTACATACACGACATAGTCTTTGAGGCATCATAAAACTGGATTCTATCAGCATATGAGCCAAAATAATCGAATCATTCTTCAAGAATTTGAACCACCTCTTGGGCGCTTTTATTCTTGCACCTTGGTCTCTGCCACGTCTAGACAGTTGCCAGTACAGTTCACCTTCACTGGGGACAAGACGGACACGCGGTGATCCCCGGATTGGTCTTCCTTGCTTTTCTTCTGGCTCGCCTGGCCTCCGATTTGCGGTGTGTTGCGGATATCATATCCGGCACTGGCTGGGCCTGGAATCGAAGCTTGTTGACCCTAGACAGGGTTTACATATCTTGTTCCGAAAAAGAAGGGTCCTTTTAGGGAGGAAACATTCAAATTAAAGGCAGGCAAAAAGCAACATCAGGGGACTGATCGACAAAGCGAGGGGGAATCATCAAGTGAGAGCACCTTGACAAAGGAAGGAGAGACTAAGACCTACCTTAAGCCTTGAGGCACGTCCTTTCATCTGATTCAATCAGGGCTGAGATTTTCAGCCCAAAAAAAGAAGCCGCTCTCCAAAGCAGCAAATTAAGTGCATTGAGTGCTGGCAAGAGGGGCCCACCACAGTACAGTACAGCGCGACCCTGCCCTGAAGACTCACTTCAAAACCCCTACAAAACAGACGCGGACCCACTTCCGCTCCGCCAGATTACTTCACCCTCAGTGCAGTGCCAGTGCAGGAAAGTGCCAGCACACCAGAGATACCCTGGTTCCCTTTCCTGGCCTGGCGCCGCCCGAGGCAGGATCAAAGGTACCGGCCCCAAGGCTTCCAATTGTCGCACTTGCCCTGTCTGGGAGCCCGCGATTCGGACTAGGGTCTACGGACTAACGACTAGGGGGTGGCCACAATGATGACTCCACGCTCCTTCCTGCTGGCGCAGCGGCAGGAGCATCAGCATCAGCGCCCTCCTTCCTCCCCTTGTACTACCGGGACTAGTCATCACAATACTTTATCTATTCCGACTCCCTCTTTATCTCCCGTCCTCACTCCCATTCCCGCACGTTTATCTTCCTCCCCATCCTCACCTTCACCTTTAACTTCTCTTACTTCGTCTCATCACTTTCCATCTTTTGAGTCTCAGTCTTCATCGGTACCAAGTACGTCTCACCTACACCAATCGCCACCGGCATCAACTATCAAGTTGGCGACTTCAACAACTCCGACCGAGAAGTCGACCACATTCTCACTCCCGCGCTGGTCGCCCAAGTATGACGATAGCAAGAAGCGCATTACAATCACAATATCTTCAACTGAGCCGGCCGATGCAAAAATGGGTAAACGCAAAGATTGGCGGGAGACTTCCAGCTTGGCTCCTTCGAGCCCACCGAAAACCACTGTCAGCTTGACGATGAGGCCTACTACACCTACAAGCCCAGTCAAGATCCCTACCACCAACAACCGAAATAGCGCCCATCCTCAAAAGCGTCATTCATCACAGAGGAAACGAAGCAATGACTCCCGATCTTCAGACAACCTTTCACCATCTCTGGCTGCACTCTTGGCCGTCACAGATATTCCCAAGCACAAGCAACTTCAACGACGACGACGCCGATCTGACAAGACCCTGACCGTGAAGGAGGTCATCGACTGCCAGCATGCCTCAGAGAAGGAACTTAGCTGGACATTCAGCAGCCCTCTTGACATGCTTCTCTCCCCACCTCAGGATATCATGGACGATGACGACAGTGTGAGCGATTGCAACATTGGCTCTAGCATGTCAACAAGAACTTATTCCATTGATTCTATTCCTTCTCTGGATGACTCGTTCTCAAGTGATGGCCTTTCATCTCTTGGCAGCCCAAGAACACCCAGCCCATGCTCCCGAAGGACGAAATCGACACCCATGCGAAAGTCGCTGGAGCCTGTCATTTCCCCTCCTGGCTCAATCGATGAGCACCCGTTGGCTAGAGACGATTTGGATGTTGACGAATTGGACCTTACTACCGTCGACCAACCTGAGGTTCACGCCAAGTCACAGTTCCTGCAGCCTTTCAAGCCTTTGAGATCTGTATTTAAGTCGAACCTTACTGCTTCTCTCCGAGCTCTCCGCTCTGCTGCTCGATCTTTCTCCGCTCTCAATCTCCCATCTATTCCTGCTGATGATTACTTGACTCGATCAATTTTGACCATCGATCCTAATGTGCCTTACGCTGATGAGCGTCGGCCACCTGTCTCCGAGGAGATGCCTTCAGCAGCGATGCGCCGTTATCTTAACCCTACCACGAACGCCAGGATTGAGCCACCCACAAAAACCGTTTTCGCGGGGACCTTTGCTGCATCCATTCAGATGCGTACTTACAAGATCCAGCGCTCCCGAGCACCTCCGGGCTCTACCCGAAACTCTTATCCATCAACCTCGCTCCAGTCACAGCCTTCCCCTGCACCTCAGCAGCAGCCACAGCCGCAGGTCCCCACACTGGTGCCAGGCATGCGACAGCGGGAAATGCGTGAGAACTCCGACTTCATCCGCATCGCTGTGATGGAGATGGCTATGCGCAAGCGTGGAAAGCTTGACGACCAGCGACCCGGCCGGGCCCGTTTTGCACTTCCTCCTCGACAGACATCGACCAAGCCCTACGAGATGGGCACAAATGGTGTTCCGGCCCGCTGGATCCCTATCATGGCCTAGACTACCATTGCTGTGCCTTGATCAAGAAGCAACACACCAATACGGGAAGCTTCATTTGAGCATGCTACAAAATGCAACGTCATGTACTTGGCCATGGTTTTTTTGCGTGGCTGCAATGCCATTTCGGGCAGACAGCCAACGGAGGACCTACCGATGCGGGTCCACTTCATGGGCACATTATGGAGTGCCCTGACGTTTACCCATGCCATTGGGTGCGATGATGCAAATTTTTTGCCCCCCATCTCAATGGAAGGGTTTTGGAAGGTCGTCCGCGGACTAAGGTTCCACAACCCGAGAAAAGGTGCAGAACCATTTTTGACGGCCCCAGAGCAAAATGACTTGCCCTGGTTCTGACTCGGAAAGAACGGGGCAAAATTACTCAACTCTTAACCGGATTGGCCACCGAACACGAACCCGAAACAAATAGGCTGCGGCACTCATGGTTTACTTTACATGAGGGCATTGGCCAAAACACAACACTATCCAATCAGAATTTCCATTAGACATGGGAACATCACATCATTCTAGAAAGCGGCTGGCATTTTCAGGAGTTTTCGTTATTTCATTTATTTATTCCCCTTTCTTATCACCGCGAGGTGGAGAAAAAGCACACGACTGCCATGGATTTACTTGTTGTACACGAGCAAAAATTTTCATCTTTTCTATGCGCAGATTGGTCTCTTCGGCATTCAACCCCCGCCCACGCGGGATTGGCCAGGATGGAGCAAGATTCGGCTCACTTTCGGAGCTCTGGAGTTCGTGAGACGCAGTTCGGAGAAGACTCCCGGGAGAGAAGGAGTCATAACATTTGTTGAGAGGAGTTGGCAAGCAACGGAGCATTGAGACTGGCGAATTTTGGAAAGATTCATTTTTTGTTTTACTATTATTATTGGCAGGACTGGTTATTTTACTGGTACACACTACACAGATTTACTTACAACCGCCCTTTGAGACGGCGAGACGAATGGGCGCAGAAGGCATGGAAGGCATTGAGCGGTCTATTTACCTGGATATCCATTTGTTAACATTTACATACTTTTTATCAAAACATTCCATATTGATTTTTTTGGTGTTCATGTCTTGCATCTCGGCTAATTCTAGCTCGTGCCGTGAGAGTGTTTTAAGACGTGGAGTGTTGGCCTTTGAGGCTTCTCCCGAAAAGGTAACGCTGCGTTCTGTTGGATGATGCACGAATGCCCAACCAACCACCTCACCAAAACAACAGATCACTGTGCTGTACAGCATGGCGGCGGCGGCGGTGTTGTCTTTGTCTCAGTCACCGTCTGTCAGGATGATGGGAAACGCGTGGTTGGCAATGACTGGATCGAAGCCACATGGGAGTCGTTGGGCAATTTCGGTTGACAAGCTTATTTCACCCCCTCGGCTCGAGCCATTCCATTGCATTCACTTGTTGACCTTCTCTTTATGCTTTTGATCCGGGCAAAACTGGAGCTATTATGATAAGAGATGCTCTTGTGGGACAAAAGAACTTCTAGAAGAAGTTTACTTCTCATTGTGGAGATGAGAACCACGAGTTTTGCATCGTGTCAGACACTAGTCAGGGGGTGGCAGAGGGCAGAGGGCAGGGCTATAAGCGCATAAATTGTCCATGTTTTGACTACGGGACAAAAAAACCGATAACTCCCCGCCTTCGATAAGAGAAAATGGCGGGAAAAGGGAAGATTTTCCTCCAGGGTCCTCTGCTGCACTTGCACGCAACTTTGTTATGCAGTAGCCTCGATGGTTCGGTGTCCTCAAGGGGGCGTACAGCGGAGACAATTCTCCCAATGTCCAAAAAGGCCCCATGTTCTAGACCGCTCATTACGAAACTGCTGTTTAACAATCTCATGGTAGAAAAAAATAGACGAAACCGATTCGACGAAGCGGTGTATTTTCCATTACTAAATTATGGGCTGGAGGCGTCCCGGAATTGTGGAAGGGCTGCATGTAGGGCAACGCACATAATGCCCTGACATCTCGACAAGGCTGAATAGTATATCCATGAACCCGCCCGAGCCGAGGCTTAAAATCCTATCGAAACTACAGGCACTTTTGGAAACTGCCCATTTCAGAGATATTCACTTATCTATACCCCAGAAACAAAAATCCCCTCCGCAAGGAAGCTTGGCGTCGGAGGCCGGGGTAATGAACTAGCCACGACAAGAAGGAGACAAGAGATTGCTTCTGGCGGAACAACAAAAGTCCCCCGCGATAGAGATTGTCGCATGAGTTTTAGAGGAGTCCAAATACCCTGGCTCATGACTTCGGGGAGTTGTAGTTATAGGCAGGTAAATAGGCAAAGGTGGATTTCGAAAGGAAAGATCAGCCGGGTAAACTCACGATCTGCGTTGGGGTATATTTGTTGTGTTATTATTAATGACTATCTGTGATTATCTGGCCTTCTAAATTGAGCATCTTTGTAAGAGGATTTGTATCGTAGTTTTGTGGAGTATGTTGAGAGGGGATTGAAGTGATGAGTTGAGATGTCGTGAGATGATGGTTGAAAACTGGCATATATGGTCACGAAGATAATGCCTCTGAACAGAGATACAAGAAGGTTTCAGATGCTCTGCCATTAGTGAAACTCGCTTTAAGTGACATTCATCACTCTAACGCTGATTCTCGAGCGATATAGTCTTGTTTCTACTTTCAATATCAAAGCTCATGTCATACAATACTATCTCAATCTTTTTGATATTTATCATAACACTTAGCTTTCTGCACCTAGAAGCAATTTAAAATATCGCTAGTGAATTACACAACGATCTAATCAACTTAGGTTTCAAGTAAAATTATGTTTTTGGAAGAGGTTGTAAGTTGAGGGAGGCTCTCCGGTAGTCAAGGTATCTCGACATGATTTTTAAATATAGTCCTAGAATGATACTGCTTGATAACCAGACAGTAGAGCCGATTCAAAGCGAATGCAGAACTTCCCTTATGACCTTGAAATTCTGAATAGATGTGTAACCACTTTGTTCACCACATGGACTCCCTGAACTTCACATGGAATTGAGAGTTCCCAAGAGCCCTATCTATGGGAGCTCTTGTGGTGATTCAGTCCTCATATTTGAATAGGACTAGTTGATATATATCCGAACATGTCCTTTGAGTTGCCTCTAAGTCAAGATATCTCGTCCCTCGCTTTGTGGAAACATGATCGTGGGCATATCAGTGAACCATAGTGGGATTTGTTTATATATAGCTATCGTTGTACCAGACATCAGACTCCCAACTCTTAGGTATTGGTAGAAACCTCATTGTTAGTGACTGAACAGCCAAAAATTACAGGCGAACCTTTCTGCAAGATCAACGACTTAGCAGTTCAATAGCATAATGCTTCCGATTGAGCACTTCGATAGCTATAGGTATTCGTCTGGTAAACATCATTAGGGTGTTAGAAGGTTTCGTCGCTAAAAGCCTAAGAGATGGAATAAGTTAGTTGCCTTATGCCAGCTTAGACTATCATTGGGGATGCTTCATTGTTGCACTCTAAATCTGTGAGGACGATTATGCAGTTACGTAGGTACCTGATCATGTAAGTAATCGCTTCTGGAACTATTGCATTACTCAACCCTTCTGACTGCGACTAGTTCTAGTAAAAGCAAGGACTATTAAACACAACACAAAGCCTTGACCCAGAACGAACGAGCAGCATCTGGCTAAGTAGGGGTGGCCAAATGTGGGAGCTAGCTACCTAGTTGCCAGGCATCACCCCATATGTAGACATCATGAGACTGATTTCACAAGAACCTCATACGTCTTATCAGGGTTAACATCACCTGTCTCTTCCTAGCTGATAGAACTATTGATCATGAGATCTGATTGTATGAGCACCAGGGTATCACAACACTTGGTCGGCGAGACGCGCGACGGAATAATTTGGCCACTTTAGATCGGAATATAGACAATTTATCTCCATTGCTTTAAGCCAGGAACAACTTTTGTTACCCAGTATACGAGCTCAATACCCTGGAGCGACACGGACATAAGGATCAGCGCATGGGTATCATGAGCGACAGACACCCACGTCTGATCGCACTCACCGCAATGAGTGACAACAGGGTATGAGTAAGGGACATAGTTCGATCTCGATCAATTGTTGAAAAGTATGATTAGGCGATGGTTGTATGTTATTCGACGATCTTGTAAAATTTGCGCATCAGAGTGATATAATGAGGCTGTAATCATGTCAATTGGTGCGATCTCAATTGTGGTATATTATTAACATTAAGTTGAAGTTCAGGTATCATCGATATCATCATTATGAATAAGCTAGCCAGCCATGCCAATTCGTTAATCGTTCCGCTCTCGACATGGAGAGATACGCACTATCCTCAAGCCTATCCTGCAGCTCCTTGAACTTTGGCGTGGGTGCTTTCCTCTCGAATAAAATATCGAGCTCCAAATAAGTAAGATTCCTCGTTTCAGGAAGTCTGAAGTAACACCATATTAAGCAGAAAAAACTCGTTCCTGCGTATAAAAAGCATGATGCGCCGCCAATATCCCAGGCGGATGGGTTTAGCATTTTGGGCATAATGATGTTGTTAAATATTAGGCAAAGGTTGTATGTTACTCTTGCTAGAGCAACGGTCTTGACTCGTAGTCGAGTAGAAGGGATCTCGGCGACCACGATATAGCAGACCGGGCCGATGGTCATGTCGTATATAAAAGTCATGGCGATAATGATTCCGCCCAGCGTCCAATTCGCGCCAGTTCGGTCGCTCAGCAACGCCCAAACGATACCGCCAGCGGTCAAAAGGCAGATCGGCGCTAGAAGTCCGCAGAGGTAGAGTCTTCGTCGTCCTACGAAGGGAAGTAAACCCCAAGCAATGATACCGCCCGCAATACCGACTCCGTAACAGGCTGTTGAGAGGTTGAACGAGATAGATGCACTGAAGCCGGCCTGCTCGAAGAAATATGGCGCGTAAGATGTGAGCGACCACCCGCTTAGTCCCTGACATACCCACGCGATACATGAGATCTCAGTCCTGCGTCGATTGACTCCTTTGAAGAGATCCTTGTAGCTGGCTCCTCCGTAGTTGTAGTCTTTCTCCATCTTGTTGGTATGTTTCATTAGTGAGATAGTGTCTTCGATGTCGGTAGAATTTTTGTTGCAAAGGCGTGTTAGAGCTCTTTTCGCGTCTTCTGTTCGTTCATGGCGGATAAGCCACCCTGGTGATTGTTAGATAAGTTAATTGTAGATATGGGGGTACCCTTACATGGGCTGTCAGGCGCAAACCACACGCCGAACAACAACGGTATCGCCCACGCCCATTGAAGCGCAAAAGGGAGGCGATATGACCATTGTGAAGTTTCATGAACAAGGGAACGAAGTATGCCGGTACCAATCACCTGTCCTACAAGCCAGCACATATTAATGCTGCTTAGGACAAAAGGGCGCAAGGCATTTGGAACGACTTCAGCTGCATATGTAGCAGCTAATATTTCGATCACACCCCATGATAGACCTTAAGGGATGGTTAGTCATTATTCGACAGTTCTATGCATATAGGAACATACCGGATAGAGCTTGCGATGTCAATAAGACGCCAATACTATCGGCAAAGAATGCAGGGAACACAGCGATGCACATCCATAATAAACTGACGAGCATCATCTTTCGGTATCCAATTAGATCGGTGATGTAGCCATGTGCCAAAAGGCCTATGATCTCACAGACAATGGCAGCGTTCTGCAGGCCCATCTGCCATGAGGGTGAGATCTCGTACATACGATCATCTAGATCCCCCGTTGGCTGGCCATATTTTTGTCTGAATGCAGGAAAAGCAAAAAGACCAGTTACCAGGGACTTATCATATGCTCTACTACTCTTTAGCTACTTTCTTTTTTAAATGGGTCATTATGACTTACTCCATTACAACAGTCAGGAACAGTAATAGCGACCAACCCACAGCCTTTGGATACTGGCGACAACAGGCAAAGAAGGTAGCTTCCTTCTCGTCTGCGAATCCACGATAGACTCGCCTCGTGGTTGAATCAGAGGCATGAGTCTGAGGTAGCCATAGCGAATGGGAGAGGCCATTGGAAAAGGACTCGAGCTCAGGCGAACTGCTTCCTGTTCCTGTTCCTGTCTGGAATTCAGGTAATTCTGGCAGAGGAATGGGGCGAGCATCTATGGGGATAGCTTCGTTTGAAGGGCCCATCTTTGTATGGATAGGTGGTGTTGAATTCCACCAGCGCAGTCTCATGTCGATTACGCGGTTTTTGTTTTTGATCGTCGTACGCGAGTGAGACCATGTTGAGAATGAAGGTACCTATCCCCAGATAATACAGGGCGGAGACGGGGACTTGGTTTGAGGCTTATAGATTCCCCAGATTGAAGATCATTGTTTAGGTAAGGTAGCAGCGATAGATAAGAGAGGAAGAGGAAGTGTTTATGTTTCAATGTCTTTCCTGGCGAGGGAAGGAAAGAAGAGAGAATCGAACATCGGATTGTTAAGCTTGGACGTTCTTGCCCGCTGTGCCGTGTCTTGGGCCTTTGGTTGGTGGGGCGTCATGTTTTGCAGGAGCGATTGGTCAATGGAGATGCGGCCAACACGTCACTTTTGCGAATAATGGTTGGCTACTTTAGCTCATTCCCTCCGAAACCGTGGGTCTATTTCTATTTTGTAGCGTAATGGTTTCGACGGATTACGGGGGGATGAATGGATTGCCCATGGGGGACTGTTTTAAATCGATCCATGATTGTGTGGATTGTAAAGACTTTTACAGCTGAACATGGAGCTCACAGTCAGCAATTGTAGCAGGTCTCTAACATAGTATCCCACCAATGAGGGCTGAACTCTCGACCTATATCTCTCTGGAATGCTCATCAACCTTCCCAACTCTATATGGTTGTCATGACAAGAACATACATACAACAAAAAGATCTCATGATCCTAACTACTCGCCAGGTTCAAGTAAGCTTAAGAGTGGAACTGTAAAGAATTTCAACCCACCAACATTTACACAAAAATCTGGAGTCGGTCCGATCCCCTTACCTCGACCTCGGTTCCGGCATCATGGCTGGCTCTCGCCTTGGGGCTTGCTCGGCTTGCCTTACCTTTAATTGTCTAGGTTGCCATGTTACTGACAGCGGCAACGTTACCTGTACAAAGTAGTCTTTGGTGCCCGAGCTTCCGAACTCCAGGTTCAGGCCTTTACATAATTCATCTCTGGGGAAGTAATACGCACGGATTAAAAGTTTGATTGCTTCATTAACGTTCCATCTGTAGCTTCGTCTCGTGTTTGACAGTAGTTCAACAGTCATGTTCTAGCTAAAGCAGTGAATTACCTAGTACCTTAGTACCTAAGTGATGGCCGTCGGATGCACATTGGAAGATGTATACTCAAGTACCTCGTTGGCGTCGAGTTTGACTTTGTGGTTTAAGCTTATCGGTTCAGGCATGTCTTGTTGTAGTGATTGATCGCTCGCTACAGATTCTTCAATCTCCACTATTGCTGATCCTGATCGTACAATACAGTAGCTTGCAGTAGTGGACTGAGACTCTGACTTGACTCTGAACCATGCTTGTTTCCATATCATAACGCACAGTCCAAAATATTAATTAGCGGGCAATAGTTTTATTATATCACAATGCCATTGTCTTTTAAATTGAAACATATTGCTAATCAACGATGCATGCCTTAATCATAAGGCTGTCTAGGCCAAACTGCAGGTGGGGTCACGTGCCAAGACGTTGAATTCTCAGCAAACGGATACGCACTCAACACCACCAAAAGCTAACTCTAGCCCCGGTTTGGAACGAATCACGACATTCCCTGCATTGGTTGATCTAGTCGCTTCTGTTTTCATCTGATCCCAATGCATGCCTTGCCCAAGCAGCTGAGTAATATCTCATGCTTAGGTCAATCAACAGGCTCGCGAGACAGCGGGCCTTAATTTGGAAGCATGGGCTCGCAAGGATTCCCACGATAGCGGCAAGCTATTCAAGTTCAGCGAATTCACAAGATCGTGAAGTTATGTCATTCGAAGAGTTTTTGGAACTCGACGAAGAGGCTATGTGGAAGGGAATCCGCGAACAACAACGCATGAGGGACCGTTCTGTACGAGATGAATACGAAGACGATGATGAGTTTGACGATGAGTTTGAAGATGAGTTTGAAGAAGCTGTCCTAGACCCTGATGAACTTGAACGAATGCAATCAGCCATTGAGGAATCATGGAATCAATCAGTAGCTGAGAAAGCACAAATTCAGTCGGCGGTTGAGAAGGCACGACTTCAAAGACTAGCCACTCAAGCAAATGCCACCAAGGGAACTACTCCTGTTAAAGGAATCGCCATCACGCGGGGTGCTACTAAAGTCGTCGCGACCAGAAGCATTGCCCCCAAAGGCATTCCGATCAAACGCCTCCCTATTAAAGGCGCTCCAGCGAAAGGCATTCTTACTAAACTGAACGCTGCTAGAGAAGCCGCTGCCAAGCAAGCCATTGACAAGGGAGTTGCTATCAAAGAAGATATCACCAAACCCACCACTAACACACCAGCCGTGATCGAAGCTGTCACTACCAAAAAAACCACTGCCGAAGGTGTTGCTGTCATTACAGATGCTACCACCACCAAACCCGATAGTGCTGCTACGAAGGCCAAAGTTAGCAAGTCTGCTAAAGGTGAAAACCCTGTCAGAACGACGAGCAAACCTGCCAGCACTGGAATCAGTCATCAAGTGTCTATAAAGTCAACGCGACTAAGGACAAGCTCACAGGAAAGAAGCACACGGGCGACAGAACCCCGATCGATGTTGCTTCCTGAGCTACCGGGAGCGTCAGAGTCCACACGCTCATCAGACTCATTACTGGCTAAGCGAAAGCCCAAAAGAACGAAGCCAGCATTGGAAACCTACCCACCACTGGGAGAAGAGTACTACTCCCATCTAAAAACGTCATCGCTAAGTCCAGAAAGACTCGAGACTATAAAATGGATGAAGAGCTTGTCCAAGGCTCAGAGGAACGAATCTATCCAGAAGTCTCTCGGCCATGGAGTGGAATACCCGTATTCGAGAGAACTATACAACGACGCCGAGCGTCGTGGCCGAGATCCCATATTAAAAAGGAGATTCGAAGCAGTCCGGCAACTTCGATGGATCATGGGTCACGGTACTTCAAAGAAATACAGACGAGACTTTTGGGACTGGTTGCCCAACCGGTTGGGGGAGACCGATATGAAGGACGTCAGACTCATCTGTATTGACACTGACAGAGTGAGGAGACAGCCAATACTCCCAGGGGAGTGGAAGAGACGCATTACCTCTTTTCATATAGGTATAGCAATCCTCGATACCAAAGATATCCGCGATGTCATGACACGCGGTATCAATCTACCGAGGCCAGCGGATCTTATCAAGACATATGAGTTTGCAGTTCAAACTCAGCCTCCCGAAGATGACACGTTCATCTTCGGGAAAACAGAATCGATATCACTGGAGAGTCTCAAGCAAAAGTTCATCGAATGGCAGAGCGGTCACGATGTCATTGGCGTCGCATACTCCGTCCGGAATGATTTAATCCTCCTTAAGGACTTTAATATCTACCTCAATCAAGCTTTCTGGATGGATGTAGCCCAGGCGACGTACCCGATCCTCAAAACGACATGGGCACCTAGGCTCGCTGGCTTGTTAGAGTCTTTGAACATCCAATACGCCAAGCTGCATTCAGCTGGCAATGACGCCCACTTCACTATGCGGGCTATGTTGGGGTTGGCTGTTCTTGATGTCATACATGAGTTGGATTATGGAGGAACCCATCCACCCTGGTGCAACCTGGCCACGAGCATTGCAAGGAGTCCTCTGCCGGAGCATGAAAGAGCAGCTTTGAGAGAGTGGGGAAGACAGATAGAGGAACGAAAGACAGCTACGACAAACTGGCATAGGAAGAATAGCTTGAGCCAGGTCCCACTGCCGCACGTCTGATCATGAGTGACGATCTGTCATCATGGCATTCATGCAAGGGCGCCATCTCATGTCGAAGAAAGCTATGCCTCTAGGCTAGAAAGAGACTTGAGTCCGGGTGGCATGAGAGGTGAATATTGAAGACAAGACCAGTTCCTTGCCTGGAACCTGACCTTCTGGTGAGACTCTGGCTGCTTCATGGACCTGGAAGCGATGAGACTCGCTGACAGTGTCTGCATGGTGAGAGTTAGCTCGAGGAAGCCAAGGAAGGTGGTCAAAGTTATCGAACTGGGAATCCTGACCCAGTCAGAACTGTCTATGGGTATCGCTGATGGGAGCCAGGTAATACAACCTCCAGTATACAGCAGCAACCCGAAACTTTCCACCCATTAAGGACTCTTTCACGAAATGCAATTCGATGAAGGGAAGTGTTTTCCTAGACGTGACTTGGGAATATGCAAAGTTGATTGTGCGAGCATTACTGCAAATGCACATACCATGGACATGCTCACGGCCACCCATCGCATATCACATGCCCTTCGCTTACCATTTTGACGCCAAGCGCGCAAAGGAACGAAATTTCTGAGACCCCATTGTCGGGACTGAGCGTTGCGTTCGATATATTCTGGGGTATGGCACCACTGAGCTGGTTCCAGCAGGTTTTTTCGCCACAGACAGGTCCTCTCGATGAGTGCCGCAGAGAACCTAAATGAAATGATAGAAGCTTGTGTTGGTTGTCGGTGGGCCCCGCCTTGGAGATGGTCAGATTGTCAGCGCTCAAAGAGGTAACATGAGGCCAGAACGAAGCAGTGTCGACAACCTCATTCCGGTAGGAGCCGGAACTTTATAGACAGAATCAGAAAAAGAGAAATAGATTACAATATACATTTGTGAATCTTATACCAATAATGTATTATTACTCCGTGATATGAGTGCAAGTAGATACATACATGGCTGTCACCAACTGTCGCAGTTACTCCACATCAACAAAGTCCCGATAAACAAAATATCCCAGCAATAAAAGACGATAACATATTCAAATAATAATCTAAATCATCATAAACTGCTTTGAACATTCCATTGTCATGATGCCCTGTACATTCCCCAAGTTTCCAAATTTGGGATGCCCTGGTTCCCCGGAATCGCCCGAATAGGTCAGACAGCCCAGGGGCCAGCACTTACAATCACACCACCATCGACCGACTCTCAACTGCCACTCAAGAATCCTACGGCTCATGATCAACAGCCTAACGACGAAAGAAACTAACAGGTACACGATGTAGATGAATATAAGAGACCAGAAGGAACTCGTCAAAATGGAGTGATTTTTTCTCATCATCAATACAGTTCTTCATTGTATCCTCATCTCTCACTCACTATCAAAAGTGTTATCTTGACTTCGCTTCACTTACACTTACACCAAAAACATCATATCATATCACATCATTCACAATGGCCGCCATCGTTAGACCTGCTCTCGCTAAGCCTGCTGCTTACCCCAAGTAAGCCCCATACAAAACCCCAAACTCACACGATATATGTACTGACTCCCCATCAAAAGGGCCCTCCCTGTTGTTGTAGTCGTCGGCAGCTTGGCCATCGTCGCCAGCTACGTGAGCTCCCAGCTCGCCACCACATCGGCCAAATTCGACCGCTCCTTCTCAAAGTACAACACCCCCGAGAGTGAAGCCAACCGAGCAAAGACCTTTGACGGTGCCATCGAGAACCCCAGAACAAGTCTCTTCAACATCCTCGGTAGCCGACAGTAAAAAGCATAAACTACGGACAGATCCGCTTTGCATATAAACAAACACATACACATTCTTTACGTTGAGCGTTCCTTATTACGCCAGATAACTTTGCCTTTCTAAGATGGCGCAGAGACGGATACAACATTTGGTGGTGGACAGTATATATTTGAGGGAGCATCGATACCATGGAGTCATATAACTTGAGCATCAAATAAACAGTTTAAATTTATTTTCACATACCAGACAGATGTGATCTCATCATGTAAACATGAAACATATCAATTCTTTTGTATTACATATAAAATTCCACCGCCTGCTTTGCTGAGGTTGCCCCCTTGTGCTTCAAACCTAATCTAGGGCTCACCCCTATTCCAATGCTTGCTCGCCCATCCAATACACCTACTTCAACATGCTATGTATGATATATATTTGTGTACGCATCCTGGTTTTCAACGAAGGATGTCAGGATATGCAAAAGAATGAACAAGAACCTCCCTCTCTAATCCAACCCATGCGCCAGTTTTGCCATTATTGTGTAACTATACCCAACTCCCATAATCGTCTGTCACTCCAAGTGACTTATTCTTTCTAACCTGTCTTCATCCTGCTCGCTGTCCAATTAAGTCGTGACCCAGTATGGCTCGATGATCGCCTCGATCTACTCTTGGGTCCAGCAGGCGTGGGTGATTCATCGAGAGTCTCAGAGTCGTCTTCTTGTTGTGACTGATTGCCTTCTCGATTACCGAGACGAGAAGTAAACGCACTGAGCTTATCCTTAAGATTGCTTGCGCCGTTCTTTCGACGCATGCCGGATCCACTAGAATCGTGACTACTCATGCTCGAGGCGGGGCGTTCAGGCGGAACGCCTGTTGGGATTCTTCTAAATCCTGGTCTGGGCTGTTGTCCAGCGGGCAGTGGAATGCTGCTTTGGGTACTAGCGCTGTGCATGCTACCAGCATATGAATTACTGGGGGTTATGCTTTGCGACTGCCCAAACTGGCTATGCATGCTGCTTTGTGGGCTAGCTGTGCTTGGCCGTAAGAGTTCGATACCATGATGTCGATCACCGCGGGGGTCATCAACGGGCGTTGGAGGCGTCATCATTAAGAAAGCCGGAACATGAGGACCATGATGAGCAAGAGGGCCTGGAGCTGCGCCACCATTTCTATGTGAAACTCGGCTCTTGACACTCGAGCTTCGACTGCGGCGCCGCATCGCCGACCCTGGACGTACACTGCCATGTGTGCTCGGCGCTCGGATACTTCGTGGAGGTGATCGAGAGAAATCGACAGGAGATGTACCATACATGCTGCCAGAGTCATCGCTGTCATTTATGCTACCGGGATGGTGCTGAGAGCCACCAGAAGAAGATGGCGCAATGAGGACTGAGCTATTAGCCAATACTCGCAGCTTGTCTCGCTGCTCAGCGTTGGGACGATGCTTGGAGAATTTGTTTCCGATAAGAGCACCCGTGTGTGAGATCAAGGCCTTGACCACTGCCTTCTTGAGAGCCAAGGCTAGATCCAGATTGGACCATGTCTTGTTCTCCCACTCAATACTTGGCATCCTGAAGACAAAATCATGGACATCTTCGATGTTGCGGTTCTCCTTACCCCGGTAACTAAGGCAAAGCACCACAGAAGGCATCTTGATGGACGCAAAAGTCATAAAGTGACTTGCGCGTGTCATCATTTTAGTGAGATCATCCGATGGCGGCTTGTCGTTGTGGTGTCGCTTTGAAAGCCCGAATCGAGATTTCTTGTCGTTTTCTCTTGATTCAGGATCTTCTCGGTGGGAACGGCCAGTCGCGGCGCGCGCCAAGCCAACCCTAGGATTCATATTGGATCGAAGCGACTCATGAGATGCCTTCTTAAGCATAGTCTTGGAGGTTCCAGGGGCACGGAACAGACGGAAGGAATGGCCTTCGTTGCCTGTGTTCACACGCAGACCCTTTCCTGGGGGTGCTTCGGCTTTGGTATTTGAAGTTAAGGTAGGTCGTAGACGGAGTTCGAGAGAACCTGAGCCAGTTGAAAAGGATGATGAAGACGAATGTCTGCCAGTGTAAGAAGGCGCTGGACCACCGTCATCATCATCGTCGTCATCCTCCTCCCCATCGACCTGCTTCAACATGAATGGTGAGTCATTCTTGGTACCGGCCGACTTTTCTCCATTGATACCAGGGAAGATGTACTCGAAGAGTCGCTTGCCAACTTCGTGTTCCAGTTGCACCTTGATGGGGAACAGGTTGACTTCGAAGCGATCCATGACAGGAATGCCTGCAATTGCCTCTAACATATACCAATAGACTCTGATCATCTCCTTGTTCTCGCTCTCCTTGGGCTGTGGTCTTTCTGGGTCAACGTAGGGCGCTATCATCTCGGGATATGTGGCATCGGGCAACAAGTTCAGACCGAGAACCTTTCCGACTCGAATAAGGTTGACATGAGAGCCATCAGAGTTGTCTGTTCGATCATACTCAAGGTCTTTGAGCTGTAACTCTACCAGAGGTTCGTTTGAATCTTGCATGAGATGCCAAACAATATCTCGAATAGTGATGTTCCACTTAAGTAAACCGGTGCTATCATCCGAGTTGACGTCAAACTTCCTCTGGGAAGAGGTGATGGCTTTCATCATAAAGAACAACTCATCCTCGCAAGCTGCTAGATCATTTTCAAGGCGCAAACGGTCTTCCCAGCCCTTCTTGTCCAGGGACTTGGCATAAGTCTGGAAATGATCCTTGATCTCTTCCATCTGCCGGATGCGTTGTTGTAGCTTCTGAACCATCGCAGGGGCACCACTCAAGTCGCTGAAATCGGAAGCGAGAATGATCTTTTCGAGGCGCTCATTCCGTGTTTTCTCCATAGGCTCGTTGTACATGAGAAGATCCAGCACAATAACGTACAATGCATAGTACTGTGACGAGTTGCAAAGAGCTCTGGCAGTCGGGAACTCGACCCAGAGATTGTCCATGCGGGTCTCCGTGTTCTCCTGGGACGAGCCCTCGTTGCCATCGGTGTTGACCTCATCATTGTACTTCAATCGTAGAGTGTTGTACTTGTCGTATCGAACCATGGCTGAAGTCTTTTGTACAACACGTTTGAAACCGAAGGGATCCGCCTGGAAGTCGAACACAACCTCAATAGGAACCCATGGCGGGAAAGAGGAACCGCTTGGTGCACCATATTTGCTTCCCACATACATCGATACAGGGCTGGTCTGGAACCACTTGCGGTGCGTGACAAAGAATTGGACGCTGTCCATGTTGACCAAGAATCGGCGCTGGACGAGACCACTGACATTATCCGATATTCTCTCCTTCTCCATGACTTCCATCACCTTCAGTTCCATTCCCTTGGCAGTCGCCAGCACCACATTCTTCTTGTTCTTGTCGCTCTGGAGTTGAATCTGTGGGGCGATGATGCGAATATGGTAGCTGCTCTGGGGAGTGAACTCTTCGGCGATACCACCCACCAAATCTTCGATAGATCCCTCCACGACACCGTCTGCGTTGGTACTCCATGTCGCTGATGTGAATTTTCGTCCCTCGTTGAGAATGCGCTTAATGCGCTCCTCCATATCGACAGGATCCTCATCGCCCTTCATACTTGATGCACGGGAACCTCTTCTGCCATCTTGGCGGCTGTGCGTCGATTTGGCCTTGCCTGGCTTGCTTTGTGCCTTGGCTTTGTTCTGCTCCTCAACAATGTCTAAGATGAACTTGATAGCTGGCCGAGAAAGGTAGTACGTAAAACCACGTCTTTGGCTGTTTTGGTGAAGATAGCGAAGCACAATATTTCGTAAAGTATTGTTCCACTTTAGTTGCATGTTGTGGATGACGAATCTGTTGCTGAATTCGCTCTCGAACTCACTCGTTGCTGGAATCTCCATGGTCTCATCCTGGAAAGGGATTGTCGAATCGACTGATTGCCTTCGTCCATCGCCGCTGGTTCTATGCGTGCTAGAAGGAGCTCGAATTCTGGCTTGGTTAAGCATTTGTTCCAGGAATTCTTTCTTCTCTTGCAGTACTACTGTGTGTCGCTGGAAAGCCCTGAATTCTTCCACCAGAACGCGGTCTTTTGCATCACATTTGATGACTCTCAACTCTGCTTCGCCCATATCTCGATCATGATTTTCCATCTGCATGGCTAGCTGGTCAAGACGATCTTGGATGAGCGAACCTTGGATTCGGCGTGGATCATCGTCATGCCTCATGACACAAAAGTGCGTGGGTTCGTTTCCGAAGGGACTGGTTCGCGTTGGGTCACCAGCAATAACACCGCCAATATCTGTTTGTCGGAAGTATGTCAGACGAGGAGCGTAAGCAAGTGGCAGGATCTTGGTATCGGGGTGAGGTTCAGTCGGTGTTATCCAATCGATCTCGACAAAGTCGTCCATATCAATCCAACTGAAATCATTGTCGGGGATGGTAAAGCGGGATAAATCAGGCTTGTCATCAGTTTCGTGGATCATTGTGGCCATAGAACCCTTCTTGATAGCCTCAGTGGTTGTGCCCTTGAGGCTTGCTGAAACTGCTCGGACGTCGGCACTAACGAGGTCAAGCTGAGCAGCATGGATTTTAATGCCTGATGTTTTGCTGGTGTTGTCACCATGTTTGCCTTTACCGAGAGTATTGAACTCTTCCCGACGTTGATGGAGATCAAGCGAAAAGCTGTCGAATCGAACCTTCAGACCAGTCGCAGAGACCGCATTCTCCGAATGATCTTCAACATCCTTGTGCTTGTAGATGTGGCTAAGAAATAACGGCGCGAGCAAAATATTGTACTTAACAGTGGCCAAATGTCGACCAAACTTCTTGCTGTTCTTCTCGCGACCTGGGAAAAGGCTACCTTGGCGAATGGGCAACGACAGTGGCTGTCCAAACAAGCCCCACCAGTTGAAGAAATGTGTGAAGAACCTTGGAGTGAGATGGATTGTATTGTAGCTTCGCGAGGGCTCCGGACTGTCGGATAACCAATCGCGATCGGCTGGGGCGTGGATGGCGATAGAGAGATGGATGTGTCGACTTCTGAAACCACGCAATGCATCATAAGGAAGACCATTCGCATCAGGTTTGGCGAAGTGTGGATTCTTGAGAACGATGTCGTAATGAGGTCGGAACTCAAAGCTCCGCACGCCATCTTCAATAGCACGCTCGAAGGTGAGACCAGCCATGACTTTAACTTTACCAGACAGCTTCATAACAACCTTCTTGAAACTGGCCTCAGACTTATAGTTGTCCTCAGGTAGGTAGCCTTCGACATCGTATTGTCGCCGAGCCTGCTCCCGAACCTCGTGACTGTAGTCGGGTACTGCGAGAATGTATTCACCACTTTCGACAGAGATAAAGCGCTTCGGGTCATCGTCTGCGTTGATGTTCCACCGGATATCGTTTCGCCAGCACATGAGAAAACCAGCGCCATTACCAGTCATAGCATATGGGTTCCGCGTACCCTTGAGGGCCAGGTGAACATCTCCATCGCCTTTCCAGGATGCGTGTATCCTGGAGTGAAAGTTGAGGCGAAGTTTGTCCCAGAAGCCAACACGTTCAGATGGATCGAATTGAGGTTTGGTAAACGATTCAATGACCATCATCATGTCTTGGATGGCGGGTTGATAACAAGGGCCCCATGTGATCCGTGTGGGTAAAGCACTGTTGACATCCATATACACATCAGAGTACGACTTGACAGGTCCAACGGTCCGCCTAACTTCGATCGCAAAACTGCCTTCATTAGAAGAACCTGGCAAAGAACTCTTTGGTGGCACAACGTTGACTCTAACACGTCGAGTTGACTCAACGCCTCGGAACTCTTCGGCCACAACAAAGTTTGCTTTCAAGGATACAGCCTGGATCTTTGCTGACTGTCCGTATTTCATAGGAGGAAGATGCACAAGTGGGAGCGGGTAATCTCGCAGTGTTACCTTAGCCTCGCCCATGGTAATACTGACGTGCATCGGCACCAGTAAACTATACTGCATGTCCTTCGGCATGCCTTTACCAATCTTGTGGAGGAAGTCCGGCAAGTCTTTCATTGGGAAAGTCGGTTTGTCGATCATGAAGTGCAAGTCGCTAATAACAGCAGCCATGAGAGCTGGTCTGGGTGGTACCTCCAGTAGATTTTCAGACTCTTCAACATCTTCCGGCACTTGATTAGGACCCCAGAACTGGCCGCGAGACTCCTTCATGCTGTCTTGAGAAAGTTGATAAGCACGGTCAATCCGCTTCTTCCAGCTTTGAGCATTGAACATATCAAGGTGGCTCCGGGCATAGTGTTCGGTGACTTTAGAAACGCCATTAAGACGAAGTGAGTCGGTATTGGGGTTGTATCTGGGAATTCTTCCCTGCTGTGAGTTCGGCCGCACGTCTCTTGCCTCGAGATCGTCTACGCTTCGGCTTCTGCTGCCTGGTGAACCAGCCATCTCGGGCCGACCTCGTGCAAAGGTCGATCGGGAGCGGAGCTTGCTCGTTCCCCTACGAATCTCGTCTTCACGAACTTTCTTAAGTTTGACCTTGAAGGCGTTTTCTCGAGCGATTCGCTGGGTTTGTTCGATAAGACCAGTGCGGTAGATCATACCCAACTTCCACTCAAAGCCACCGTCCTCAAGCTCGAATAAGAAGTTGCGAGTACGAATAGATACCTTGGGGACCGACTTGGGTCCTTCCGGCTTTTTCTCAAGGATGTACTCGTTAGTCCCTGTTCGGAAGCGATGGTGCAGTTGCTGCACTGCCTTGATGACATTGGTGAAGTTGTCGGTTACTTGACTGAAGATAACCTCGTGTGGCACAGCAATACGCACAGCCTCGGTCGCTATATCAATCATCTTCTCGTCGATGATTTTCCCTTGGGATGTCTTACGGCGAGATTCTCTGAAGTCAAGACGTCCTGCTTTGATACTCAATAGTCGTGCCCACACATTGCGCATACGTGGTGGCTCTGTGTAAAGTCGTACAAGCTTGGCTGCGACATACGGAGTAGACCATCGCTGCCGACCAACCTCCAGGCCATACATATGCAGCATCATGGCTGGATCATGAGGCATATCTGCTTTGAGTTGAACAAGCGCTGCTTTAAAGTCGAGAGTGACCAATTCGGGAGTAATTGTGGTCATTCCAGGGTCGAGGTCCGGTGTTCCAGGAGGAGCTAACCGGTTAGCACCAGGGATAACATCGACATAGCTTCCTTGTTGCTTTGGTCGTGGAGCATCATGGCCAGTTCGCATGAAAGCTTTTCGCAATGTCATGACAACAACACCCACAGCATAATGTCGGTAGAGCGAGTACTTGGCGCGAATGGTGCGAACGCCCACTTGTATGTTAAACGTTGGGCCGTTAGCATCACTAGACGCACCGAGTGATAACTCAAGTCTAGGTATACTAAGGAATGGCTCTGGTTCGAGTGTATCAACAGCGTCCATGATCTGCGCTTCGATGCCACTGGCAAAGAGAGTGAGCTTTCTTCCATCACCAATGTTCTGTGGCTTCTTCTTGTTCCTAGGAGAGCTTGAGGGAGGAGTCCATTCTGAATCCGATTGGTTGATGGATCGACTGTTGGAGCGTCTTCTATAAGCCCGCCGTTGAAGGCCATCGAGCCGTTGAGCCCGGTATTCGGTTGAAACGGTATCCCAATGCAAGAATACTCCGCGAGTATCGTCCGATATCTCCTCATCAATCCCTGCAATCTCCACATTGAAATCGGATGCATCAAACTGGGCTCTGAGTAGCCAGTTGGGCATAGATCGCAAGAAGTTTTGACCTCCCTTGGATCGTGACACAGGACCCTTCTCTGGTTCCACGTCGATTCGCAACTCCTGAACGATTTGACGAAGACCATCAATGATTTCGGGTCGTATCATACTGATTGAGCAGGACTGGAGATTGCCTGAAACATCGACATAGACATCCGGTCGAGCACCGAGGTTAAGTCTCATGTCAAGAGATTCTGTAGTAATGAGATTAAAACGTTCTCCATTGTTGGTTTGATAGTAAAGATCGTGGGACTGCAATCGGAGTGAACCATCCAGGGAATAGTGCATATCGGCCATGAGGCTGTGCGAGGATTCCATGTCGAGCGAGATCGAGGAGATTGATGAGATGATAAGATCGAAATCGTCCGGGTCTTCTGCCTTTTGTAGAGGTTGGAGTTTTATACGAACCACAGGCTCGTGCATGGAGAACTTGTAATTGGCTTTCGGTAGAAGGCGAGAAATAAGGTGGTGGTTATCGCCCTGTGCTTTCGGTGCCTTCGGCTTCGACTTAAAAAGGGCGATGAGGAGCGGCAAGTGATGAGGATCTAAGTCCACTGAAGGAGAGGTTACTACCGAGTTAGCAAACATAATGTTGGCGTTTCTTTCATCCACGGTGCTGGCTCGCAAAACTTCGACGGTTTTTGAAAGTAGTGTCGTCTTGATCGTTGTTGTAGCCATCGGGATATAGAGAAGGCGTTCAGGTTGGCCATGGCCGTCGTCCAGACCAACAGAGATGGACAGAGCAGCAGCCAGGGCCTCGTGTGCAATAGCTTCGGCTGGAAAATACATCCTGTGCGCCGGTGACTTGGAATCCAGTCTATGCAGATCTATGCCAACTTCTTTCATCGCAGCGTTCAATTGGATAGGTGTAGATCCAGGCTTGATAGATTGAACCTTCTTGCTCATACCCAAGAAACTGACGGCGAACTGAATCTCCTTAATGCCTCTTAAAATAGAGCTGAAAAACTCTTTGGAGTCGGAAACTGTCCTCATTAAGTCCTCATTTGTTGTTCCAGGGTCGTCGAGTTCCTGAGCAACCTTGCCCAAAAAGATGTCCACGGGCTCCTCGACGCCAGGTGTCTTGACTTCAGCCCGTCGCTGCTTTAGCCTGCTCAAACATGTTTGTAGGTCGTCGAATGGGATGTGCAATCGTCCCATCTTGATAGCCACGGCAGCTTCACGCAGACCTTCCATAGACTTGTACAAATGGCCGTGTACATTAATGAATAGCTGGTCGAGAATTTCCATGGATTCATTGCCCTCAGCTGTGAAAAGCACGCTGCGTAGCGATGCAGTCCATTCTGCTTGTTGGTCCCTACCGTGGCGATCAGCCAAACGAGCAAAGAAGCGTACGCGATCGACCATCTTTGTGCGCGTATCGACCGCGAGGGTGAAGCTTCCAATTTGGATACTACCGGCATCCACAATGTTCACAGTCGAGTTTGTCGCGACCACGTCGACGAGCTTGAGCCAGTTGATATTCCTATGCAGCCGCTTGATCTTGTCTTTTATGCGTGTAAGCTTCTTCCATGTCTCGCTTCGAACCACTGTGGTGGTTGCTCGTCGAGCCAGCGGTGGTTTTCGGGCAGCGGGTTTGGCGTCTTGTTTGGCATCTTTCGCGACTTCGGAGTCACTATCCTCGGCATCCGGCTCAACCTGTTTATTTCCTTCCAGCTCATTGACGTCTATCGTTGTGACAAGTTCGCTGACGACAACGCTGAGCCATGTCGGCTGGGCAAATGTTGGTCGGTGGACATTTATTCCAAGGCCCCTAATTTCTATCCTGCATCCATCTCGGGGCGTCCAGGCTATTCGGCGCAAGGACAGGTAGCCAATTCGTTGGATCGATACACCGGTGACGATTCGAAAAACGGCGAGGAGAACGAAGGACGACAGATATATAAGGACTAGACAGCCAAAGAAGAAGGTCGGGTTAAGGAGAGCCATGCTGAAAAGGCACCTACGATCCTCTCCCACCAAGATGACTGGGACACGGCACTCAATCAGCTACGAGCGGTGTAAAAGTGGCGTGGTATCTCAACTTACATTTCCTGCTTGTGGAAGAGATATCATGCCTTCACCTGGATTGACTTTAATTGAGAGGCGACCTATGCCATCGCCGCAGGCTTGCGTCTAAACTGCGAGTCTATGTTGCCGATCTTCCGGTTCCACGCACGTAAACTCCCGTAGAGTATTTCTGACTGAAGGCGAAGCGAAGGTTTTCGCGGATGAAATGCAGCAAGCAGTAGCAGAAAGTATGTTGCTTATGCCGGTATATGTATCGTAGGGAGGATGCTAGGCGTATGCAAGGTGAAAAGGTAAATTCGACGAAGCTGACTTTTGATTTATCGGGATCGACGGAAGTATATCGAGCGCGATGCTCTAAGGAGATTTGGGGAGTTTTGTGACGTCAAGGGGGCCTGGATCCACGGACGAGGGTCGCTGTTCGAGAAGCAAAAAAAGGAGTGTTGGGTTACGCTGGCGGCTGGCGTACAGGGCAAGGCGGGACAGTCCAGGGCGCGTAGCGAAAAAGGTAGTAGGTAACGGAACTGGACGTTGAGCAACCTCTAGTCTAGGTTTTGCAAGAAACAACTTCTGGTGGGGGATATGCAAAGTTAAGTTGAAGAGAGAACCGAGATACGTAGCTTCTAGACAGTTGGATAAGGTCCGGCGATCAATTGGCCAGACTTTCTTTGCCTTTTAGACGAACCGAACTGGGAACTTGCCCTGAGCTTACCTTGCAGGAGCCGGACCCGATGGACGCGATAACGAGTACGTACTATACCTCCACTCCCGTCCCGTCGATGAAGATGGACAGAGGCTGAGAGGTCTCCAACTCGGGCTGTCTAGCTGGTCTGCATCACAAGCCACGAGCCTTACCAACCTCACCTCACTCCGTTGAGGTTAGATCAGTTAGGGCAAGCACGGGCCCAGCTCATTTAGCAGGGAGCGCCTTGTAAGACATTTTCTAATCATTAACAAATCTCAACAACTCCGCTGTACTGCTACTATTGTTTGTAAAAGGAGACTGGATATGGAGGATAGGAGACGTCACTTCATAAAACATTAAATGTATTCATTTCCTCTGCGACACAGATCCTCATACCAGCCTTACCTCTCTATCCGTCTTTCCGTCTGTACCACGTAACAGCATGTTTCAATTAGCCCGCAGGGGACGAAGCTCCCTGTAAAGATAAGTACCTCTTACTTACTCGTGCCTTATCAACAAAGAACCAACCATCTTCTCCTGCCCTAGAAATCTCATTGGCTACCCAATTCGTAGCCAAAGTGCGGGGAATGCATCTTGTCTTTGGACTCCATGTCCATCCTGCCGTCCAAAACCGGATATTCATGTCCATGGAGATGCTTATGTCGCCGTATCCATGATTTTCTAAATTCGCTGCAAGTCGCATATTTCCAAGCCGTTTAGCCGCTCTGGTGGATATTCGGCATTGTCGTAGAGTGAATGAATGGTTTGCAACGTGGTCTGAGTGTTTTCGATCCCGTCTCCCCATGGGAGTACCACCAACATGGACCACGCACGTCAAGGTTGAGATGTACCCCGGATGGCATCAACAAACATCCATGGTTGCTCTAGTGGCACTAGTAGAATGGAAAAGGTCTACAGACTTCGACATATGGAACAACAGAACGGGACTCAGTCGCTGAGATCGCTGCTAGACAACGTTGGGCTGGTGCCATGCATGTATAAGAGAGATTAATGTTTCATTTATGCCGAACTCTACTGTTTTACATGCGTCATTATTGTTTCATTTCACAGCAACTGTCCTTGGGGTAGCAGTAAACATCATTCAATTAGCAATACAAATAAAATAATTCGATCACATTACACCATTCGTCGTATGCCATCTGGTTATCGCTTTTTAGCACCCTGAACTTGTGTTTTAGGCTTTATCTAGTTCTTGGACCGTTTAACAACTCATACCGGCGTCGTTGCGCCATTCATATGTACTTGATAATTATGCGCACCCGAGGATTGCACCTTTGTTGAGTTGAGCTGATGCATCATTTACCATGTGCAATGTTAATAGGCATTAGTTTGAACAACACTTGTTTCTGCCATGCTACCATACCTAAATATCCCTGGTAATGGTGGGATCTCGTTGGTGAAGTGTCCTACCAAAACAAGTACTGATACAGGGTAATCTCCTTTAAGGGTGGAATGCGGTTATGACTTTGATACTATTACAGTGAAGGTTTGTTTTTAGATTCCTCCTCGGCTTGTTTCCTTAGTTCAACAATACGGTCGTCAATGAGCGCAATATCAGCGTCTATCCGTAGCATCTTCTCGAACATCATATCCTTATACTCCTGGTCTGTAAGCTTCTTGAGCGGCGTCCATCGCGTGAAGAATCCCTCCTTCTCATCGTCAACCTTCGGTTTGCGAACCGCCATGCGATTCGCTATTATCTGCCCAACAGCTCCCACCGTTGTCCAGACAAACATCGCTGGTAGGATGTTCTTAGGTCCTCCTGAGTATGGTGTCAGCGGTGAAATGGTGATTATTTAGTCTTGACTTACGGATCAAGCCACCAACTGCGCCTGCTGCTGTACCAGATATGGCGCTGGCCGTTGTCTTTTCGGAATTTCTGAGTCTCTCTTCACCACCCCATGCTTTTAGAACAATACCCCTCGTGACTTGAAAGTGTGTCAGTTTATTGCAGTCAAAACTATGCTGCAAGTCGTGTCAAAGCATTAACTTACACCAAAAACTTGTTCCTAGAGTGAACCACTGGAATCCAGAGACTGCGCCCCAAATAATGGGGTTTGCTTCCTTGAAAATTGAGCCTCCAACACCGGCCAAAACACCAGCTGTTCCTACTCGACGTCAGTTCGGCTGTGCGAGGACACATCAAAGCAACCAACCGGAGTAACCTCCAAACTTCAGAGGCGGTAATACAAGATCGACGACCTCGGGAGAGAACAGTCCACGGGATGATTGCCTTTGGCGCAAGTGCATCATTTGAGGCTCTCGGCCTCCATTGTCAGTCATGATGGCGATGTTGTTTGGGGGTATAAATAATGGAGACAAGATGCTAAAAATCGCTGAGCCGAGAACAACGTTATTGAAATATAGATAGAATTACAGTTGGTCAAAAAAGAAATAATGTTACATGGTCCTCTTCACCATTATCCGTCCGACTAGATATTGAGGTCGATGAGGCTCTGGCTAAGTCTGTATCCCAGGTTTTCCTAAGTGGGCAAGGGCCAATAGCAGAGAGCCACTAGAGTTGGGGACGAAATCCCGTGACATGACATGGGGCATGTTTGACCAATTGATGGGGTTTGAATTTGAAAGTTCAGTGCACACCAAAAATGGTGACAAAATGGTCAGCAGAGTGTTTTATATGTAAGTTTATCTGTTTTTAAATCTCTAGAAATTTGTACTTGGATTAGATCCTCATTTGTTTTAAATCATTTGTTTGCTCTGCGTTCTTAGTATTAGATACTAGATAAATAGATAGCTGTACTTTCATAAACTCATTCTTTCCCATGCAATGATTTCATAGCCTTCCATCTTCTTATCCACCTACTCTACCGGCTTCTCTCACCCGCTGGTGTTTCTGAAAATGAATGCAAGCGAGACAGCGTTCGAGTGGAGGGGTTAATTAGTGGGGATGGAAGCCTCAAAAAGGGCTAGCGCCCACTTCAGGCCTGGACTGCAAAATTAAGGCAACCCTCAACTAGGCGCCTCCATCATCATATTTTTCCACTACGCCGAGCAAATTTCAACTCGTCAACCCCAGACACGGCAACATTCGTCGGGGCAGATCAACATTTCGCAACCCCCATTTCTCGAAAAATTCACTCGATCGACTCGCGAGACTCTTCCCGATCTCGCCATTACCTCCTGAACGAAAGCAGAAGCTGAAACCCCGGTCGGCTTCGCCCTAAGCATTCGTGCGCGCATCGATCTAGGAATCGTTGCGCCGAAGTCGCCTAACCGCAATCATGGGTGAGTGCTATACCATATTCCGACCCCTCTTTGGCTGCATATCATATGCTATCAACAAATGCTAACCTCGTCGCAGCTCCTAAGAAGAAGGCACAGCAGACAATGTCCCTTGGGGACTTTCTGGCTGACAGTATGTCCTTCCTGTCCCACCCCTCCTCGCCTACGAACTGCACCCCGCCGCATAGCGGGTTTGGCTGTAGTGCCCCTCGTCGACTCCATACTGACTATGACTTACAGGTTTTGGTGGAGGTTCTTGGGCTGATGAAGTAGAAGAGACTTCTCATGGTAAGCATTGTCGCTTTATATCGCTCTGCATTCTGTTGCTAACTTCTTGGTAGCCATCGGTATGCGTCATGTTAAATGCGATAATTCCGACTTGTGGTGGACTGACCAGATCTAGGTACTCAGGCTCTGCCCCCTTCCGACCGCCCTCGGTACAACAACAACGCTTCTTCCAGCTGGCAGGACCGGGGTATGTATTCATTCTACCCTTGAAGACCATCTCAGCTCACAATTACAGGTTTCTCCGTTCGCGAAGCTGCCCCTCAACCCCTTCCTGATAAGCCTCCTTTTACCGCTCACTTGGGTAACCTGGCCTACGACGTTACCAGCGATGCTGTGGGCGACTTCCTCACCGGCTGCGGTGTTGTCAACGTCCGTCTCATCGAGGACCGTGAGCTGCAGCGCCCCAAGGGTTTCGGTTACGTTGAGTTCGAGACTCTGGAAGGCCTCAAGCAGGCCCTTGCTCTTGATGGCGAATCTTTCGGTGGACGTATGATCAAGATCAAGGTTGCCGATCCTCGTAAGTTAACACATACTTGAGATGTCGATTTCAACTGACATTATTTAGCTCGTGGTGGTGATCCCGGCCGAGGTGACTCTATCCGCGAGATGGGTGCCTGGGACCGCAAGGGCCCCCTTCCCGATGCTCCTTCAAGGGGTGGTGCCCGTGACTTTGGTGACCGTGAGCGCCGACCTCGCGACCCTGCTTTCGAGAGCCGCCCTCAGCGTGAGTTCACCTGGGAGCGACGTGGACCTCTTGCCCCCCTTTCGCCTCAAGAGGGCTCTGGTTCGCGAGACGGAAGCCGTCCCCGTGCTTCTCCCGATGTCCAGGGTGACCGCAGCGAGTCTTTCCGAGGCAACCGCCGCGATTCTCCTGCTTGGGGTGAGCCCCGTGAAGGTCGTCCTGAGCGCCCTGAACGCCCTGAGCGACCCGAGCGAACCGCTACTGCTGCTGAGAAGGACATGCAGTGGCGCGACAGAATGCGTCCTGACGCCGCCAAGCCTGCCTCGCCCGACACGAGCGCCCCTCCTTCGCCCGCCCTTTCTAACGCACCCACCGCGCAGGGTGGACGTCCTCGCCTGAACCTCACCAAGCGAACTGTCTCTGAGGCTCCTGATGCTTCCAACGCCTCTGGCTCAGATGCTAAGGCCAGCCCCTTCGGAGCCGCTCGTCCTATCGATACAGCAGCCAGAGAGAAGGAGATCGAGGTCAAGCGCCAGCAGGCCATCCAAGAGAAGAAGGAGGCCGATGAGAAGGCCAAGGAGGAGAAGCGATTGGCGAAGGAGGCTGCTGCCAAGGCTGAGGCCGAGGCTGAAGCTAAGGCTGAAGCTGAAGCTGCTCAGGCCAAGGAGGATGCCGCTGCTGCTGAGACTCAGAAGGCTGCTGAGACTAAGGAGGCTGCTGAGACAACACAGGAGTCTGCTGAGCCTAAGGCTGAGAACGCCGACGGTCAACAAAAAGTCCCTATCCGAAACCGCGAGCCCCGGGAAGCCCCCAAGTCAAAGGCAAACGAAGCTTCAAGCTGGCGCTCCGCCGGTAACGACCAGCGAGGACCCCGTGGAGGCGCCGGACCTCGAGGTGGCCGAGGTGGTCGCGGCGGTATGCGAGAAGCCCGTACTGGACCTCTTCGATCTAACGGAGCCGCTCCTCAACAAGCAGCCGCTTCCCCCGATGCGGAGCCTGCTACTCCCACAGCCGAAGATGACGGTTGGACCACGGTACCCAACAAGAAGGGTCGCCAGGGCCGTGCGATGGCACCCTAGAATGTGTACATATCGCCCCGTTTCTCTACGGTTTGACGACTGAGAATGTCATACAAGAGCGAGTCGCTGGACTTGAAGTAAAGAGCAGCGGTTTCACCTCTAGCGTGGCAGTCACTCGCAAACAACACCCATCTCATACTCAATGGCGTGAAATGGTTCTAGTCGCCTGGCCTGCAATGCCGGCTTTGAACACATCTCATGCTCTTCTCGTTATCCTCGACTGATATTAACAGGTGTCAAGGCATGGAATCTTCTCCCACTTAGTTTCACATGGCCATGGCATTCTGTTTTCCTCGTCTGACCGCCACACGTTGGACTCATGATCAGCTTCCGTGTCGACTTCACTCGCTCAGGAGGCAAGGAAGGCATTTTTGAGCATTTAACATTTGGCGTTTCGAGACAAAAGCAAAAAGAACGGCGGCGAATGGACGGATGAACAGATGGATGAATGGAACGGAAACGTGGCATGCATTTGAATGATCACAGCTCTCTTATTTCTTTATGTTTTCTTTTTTTGATTTCTCCAAAAATGTCTTTGCCGCGTGATGACGAAAGAATGAAGGGTTAAGGAGTGGGAAGAGGTGAAAGACAGTAGGAGAGGGACTGAAAAGTTGCTTGCTTGCTAGGACAGGCAATAGGCAATTCGTTTTCTCTAAACGTGGCACACATGATGAGGCTGTCTCGAATCGAATCGACATGACAGGAACTCATATTTGTATGCTAGGCGGTTTATGGGATCAATGAAACGTGCTTTGTTATTTCTATTCCCTGGTCTTTTTTCACTTTTTTCTTGGTGTTTATACCTGATTGTGCTTTTCAAGGGAATTAAGTTAGATCTCTCTAGTTGGGTGAGGGTAAAGTGTGACTACCTATAGACGAGTAATGACCACATGATATCCCCTCTCATCTTGATGCCATTCCATCTATTGACTCCATTGACTACATCAAGTCGTAGTTCAGCTACTCCTTTGACTTTCCTGCTCCCACAATCGGAACCCCTCAAGGACATTCCTCTTAACTCCTTTACTCACAAAATGCAACTCCCTCCCATCCTTGAACCGATTCTTTAACGCCTCCTCCTTTGTCACCCACGCAAACTCAACATGCTCATCCTCATCGATCTTAACGTCCTCGTAACTCTCCACATCCACCCAAATAGTTAACTTGCCCCAAACTCCATCATGAGCTCGAAATACAAGCATGTCGTACAGAACTTCCAAATCTTTCTCCAACGGATCATCAGGCATGGGTTCGGTGATGGGTGCTATACCCACGATGCCTTTTACTGTTTTGGCGCGCAAACCGGCTTCTTCCCAGAGTTCGCGGACGGCACCGGCGATGAGATCAGTGTCGTCTTCGTCGACGCAGCCGCCGGGGACTTCCCACAGGAGAGGCCATGAGTCGTGTGCTGCGCGGCGGAGAAGGAGAATTTGGCCTTGGGGGTTGGTGACTAGAGCGCCGGCGATGAGATGTTGGATTGGAGGGTGTGTCGACCTGAACTCGGCTGGTTTACAGAAGAAGGCATTGAGAGAAGGGGGTGTTGTGTAAGAGAGTGGTGGTGATGGTGAAGGAGGTGGCATTGCGAATACACTGGTTCAAGTTGTTGGCGTCTAGATGTTAAGTGTCGAGTTTCTTAGAGTTTTTGATATTGTGAGTTGTTCTTATGTAGAGTGATATAGTTTGATACCTGATTTAGGCTGCGAGTTGAGAATGATTGGTTGACTTGAGGTTGGAGAGAAATGCCTCTTATAGGTTGAGTCATATGCAAGCCACGAACTAAGAATGCAGGGTATAAATGCATGGAACGTTGATCTAATAGTTTGGCAATCCTTCTGCCTTGAGGATTATTGGAATTGCCAAACAAATACTTGCAGTGGTTGCCAAGTTGAGTTGGGTTGTTTAAGCCTCGCATCAAGTCAACTTCATGGCTTACTGCTAGGAGAGGTGATCGAATGGGGCACCGCAGATACTCGAGAGCTTGGTCTTGATAAATATTCAGAACGTATTAATTGTATTCAGAACCTAAACAACTCCTCTATGTATGTTTTTAATCCCTGGTATAGTATCCCATCCCCGTCATGTACCCTTTATGCAACGCCCTTCGTCAAGAACCCCGTGGGTAGTCTTTCAAAAACGCCAAAGTCCCATCATCAATCAAATCGTACAGCCATCCACCCGCTTATTAAAAATGCATGTATGCTAACCCCAACCCCAAGAAGCATAGAATAGAATCATCATCGTCGACCAGGCAGGCATTTAAGACATTTTGGCACCCATCTCCTCCATGCCGTACTCATCCCACTCATCGTCGCCCCCAAGTTTTCTGCCTACCCAGATACCAATCGCTGTCATCAAGCTGCCTACGAGAAACCATCCTTCGAACCAGCCATCCACGAAGGCAGGGCTCAGTGCACCTCTGAGCACACTTCCGACCGCTGAGCCCAAGGCAGAAGGCAATTGACTGCGAAGGAGGAGAGAGGCGGAGATGACATATGTTGCTGCAATCTGTCCGACAACCAGTGCCAGATTTGCTTGTGCTTGACGAAGTAGACCGGGTGTCCACTTGGCAAAGAGGTGGAATGTTTGGACGACACTGTTGGCGCTTGCAAGGAGGATGACACCGCTAAGAGCAAAGCTAATAAGTCGTGCCCATGCTAGTTGATCAAGCTTAGGGTCCCAATGGCGAGCGAGAATACTTAGAAAGCGGTTGATAGGATCTGTGTTGGCAAAACTTGACGTAGGCGAGTAAGCTCGGCGAATTGTCGTGATTGTAGTTGCGCCAATACGGTACAGACAGTACAAGCTGAAGAGTTGAGAAGGGATAAGAAGAAGTCGGCCAAGAGATGTAGAGGCGCGAACTGTCGCTGCTCGGTGGCTCTTGAGTAACGATACTCCGGATGCCAGATTCGATTCCATAGTCTCGAGGCCAGCGATCTCCAATCTTAGTGATCGCATCTCAGCCTCGTCGCCGGTCGGACCACGCAGAGAGCCCATGACTTTGCCAACCAGACCGCTGCCCTTGGCAGAAGCTCCAGTTTGTGCACCAGAAGTCTTTCTCTCGAGGAACTGCAGACGATGGCGCTTAGTAAGGAGCATCTCGTTTGCTGTATCCCATCCAGCTTGTTTCCTCGCAACGTCGGCGTCAGTGACAGGTCGCTTTCTGCGAGCTGTAAGATCCATGAATGCGTGCCATGGTGATGAGACAGCAGCGAAACCAGACAGCAGGGCCATCAATGAGATACCGACAACACCAATACGCTCTAAACAGCCGCGCGTGAGCATATCCGACAGGCTTCCATTTCCATTGCTCGTCTTGCGCATCGCACCCTCGGGAACAGCCTGTCCAACCGACCAAAAGGCAAACAACCATCCCAAAAACAATGCCGCCTGCAAACCCCAAGCAAAACGAGGCAGTCTTCCTTTGGCCGTTCTTTGAAAACTCCATCCTGCACTTGTAACAACCGATCGACATTCCAGCCATGGCACCAGCACAACTAAAAGGAACAGAAGACTTGGCACCGTTATTCTCAAAGCCAAATTTCTTGAATCCGCATTCACAACCTCGATAATCTCATCCATGATCAACGCACCCAGCGTAGCAGCCAATCCGACAGTAAGACCAAACGTCCAGGCAGCGCCGCGCCTCCTCCAGCTTTTAGCACCATGTTCAGCGTGGACTTGTCGCAGACAAGCTGGCGCATGTGTAGGAAGGACATGGTCTTCGCCGTCGCGGGAGTCGGCGTCGGAACTTAGTCGAGGGAAAACATGGCGGACAACGAGGATCGATGTCGAGATGCAGATAAAGAGGAATGGAAGAGCGGCAATGGACGAGGCGAGAGTGACAGGGCGAGGAGGTATTTCGCAGGCGTCTTCGCCGCAGCGAGTAAAAGGCCACATGGTGAGAGATTTGCGTCGTTTTCGTTTCTATCGTGGTTATATCGTTTGGTGGGTTGTGAGTGTTCGACGCGGGGCCATGTAGACTGTATGTAAGGAGTCTCCCTTCGTATGTAAAGGCGTTGCTGACAAGGTTAGTTGGCGGCGCAGCAGCAATCCTCCATAGGTATCGTATTGCGGGCGCGAGTGAGGCAATGGATTGTGTTAAATTGAAACGCGTCCCCTTCGCTTTGACTTGAACCCCTCGTAACGTTTGCGACAGCTTTGTATCAAACGAGTCTAGCGACGGCCCTTTGAGGGTCTGGATCTTTTGTTTTGCCTCAATGATATAAATAACCACTGTAGATCGACCCTTAAGTTTTGTCGTTCTTGGCTTTATTGTATTCTAGCATTAAGCGTTGAAAATTGGTATTAGGATTAGAATTCAGATTAGCCCCTGGCCTGGTGTCAAAAGAGTGAAAGACTGCCCGAGAAATGGTGGCTTACGTCGTCGCATTCGTTTCCCTGTTACTTGGGTCACATTGGTGACGTTTATTTGCCTCAGGCCACAGTATCGCACCCGCCTTATTCAGGGTCCTCTCACTGACAGCCTTAGTACCATTCAGGTGTCAATTCTTCTAGCATCCTGACGCCATTCTATTATTGGCTCATTTATTCGCTGCATATGGTTTGAAACACAGAGCTGCAACATGCGAAACTTCTACTTGATGCAAGTCTCAGGGTATCAGAAGAATTAGCACCAAAACATAAGAAACGAAATAATTTGTTCACTTTATGCCAGCTTAGACTAGTACTTAGGCTACTTTATTGTGGTAGCCTAGGCCTTGGGAGACAATTCTTTGGAAGGCATCAGATCTCCTGAGCGCTAGAAGTTACTATTTATCGCTACCTGTATATCAATTCAAGAACGCCAGACCTTGAACTCCTGCCTCGCACATAATAACTACGCCCCCATGCAGCAACACAGTAGGTCCACGGCAGCCATCCTCCCCTCTTCGGATCCGTGGTCAGGTTAATTTTGAGCCTCCAAATCGACCTCTGGTTCGGGGAGAGCTGGCACATGCCTTGGCCGCCGTCTTTCTGCTCGATTTCGTTGCCGGTGCTTGGCGATTGGCCTTGCACCAGGGTGTCAGAGCAACTTGCCGTTGAGCATAAGAGATAAGATAATTTGATCATCTTATGCAAACTTAGGCTAGCAATTAGGCTACTTTATTTCTGTAGCCTAAGCCTTAGACGATAAGTCTTCTGATACCCGCCTGCCTTGTTCGTCGTCCTAGCGGAAAATCGGGAATCGGTATTTTGGAGGTATTCTGGAGGTTCTCTTTGGAGGAATTGAGTTGGCCTGGGTTCCTGTAAAAGAAATTCATATCCGCTATATCCCTGGGGTTGTCTGTTCCTGATTTCTATAATGTGCCTTTCTGCGCCGGCCGCCGGGGTATCAGTCATCTTCTAGGTCGTCAACCTTCATCTTGAACGCCGCTGCTTCGCCTACTTCCATCTTGTGAAGCTGCTCCAACTTCTCCTGATCTAGAGCCTGTTGTCCACTAACAACCTCGAATTCACCTGAGTCATCATCGTCATCGTCGTCATCCTCATCGCTTTCGCCGTCATCGTCTTTGATAACTCGTTGGTTTTCCGGTGCTTCGGTAGATGTACTGACGGAGGCCTGCGGTTTGACGTTAAGCACGTGACCATGATTAAGGGGCTTGATCGTCGGATCAAAAGCTGCAGGTAGCCCCAAGGCACGTGCAACCTGATGGGCTTCCTCGTCGGGAGAGTTTTGAATCTCTAGCTCGTAAGTGCTGCTTGCCTCGCTATCGGCTTCGTGCTTTCCAGCTGTTGCGGCCAACATGCTCACATAGGTTTGTCGTGCAGAGTCGTTAGCCCGCTTAGTCTTCTTCTTAACGCGCTTCTCCGTAGGTCGTACCACGACTACAGGTACAGGCGAGTATTGGAGACAGTATTTGGAGAAAGAATTGCGTGTGTTAACCAGTCCTTGTAGACCACCAAGTGTACGTCCCCTAGTCCCCACAATGAGCATTGCAGGCTGGTACATCTGTATCTTAACGAGTGTCAGCTTTTAACTTCCACAGAAGCCATATTTCCTGTAAACATACCAGGTGCTGGAAAGTCGTGTGCAACTTGCCAACGGCGTATTCAAGAATAATATTGATGGCCCTGTTATTGCCATTACGGTCAAGAATACCTCGCATGACCTTCTCAGCAGCTTCTCGATATTCCCTACTCGAGTAACGCAAGTCCTTCTCAACTACTCGCACACAAACAACTTCGTCGCCGTCGTCGACAAGCTCGTCCAGAAGCCACTGCAAAGCATAATCGGAGTAGGTATGCTCGTCAACTCCAACCATGAAGCACCGTGATCTGCGTCTAGCCTGGTAGCCCATGTGTCGAACATTGAGTGTGAACGAAATGGCATTATTCTTGGTCGGTTCGCCGGTTGGAACATTGTCAAATGCGACATGTTTCTGGAACCTATCGGGCGGGGTCTCGGTTAGCGCCGCCATAGTTGTGCAAAATGCCACAAAATAGAGGTAGGAAAAGTATAAGCGCGAGATTGAAAAGTAATGAGCACGAAGGGAGGGAGTGATATGGAAGGAGAACAATGGGAATTGTCAATGACGATTGTGAAGTTGAGAAGGGTCGAGAGCTCTGCGGGAAATTTGGGGGGCTGATGATCTGCTAGAAGTGGCTGTGACGAACGAGATGGCCTGACGATCCAGACCAAATAAGTGACGAAGTGAGTAGGCGAAGACCATCTATCCCCACGTCTACGGTAAGGTTTGTCGCAGACAGCGGGGTAACCATAAACGGTAGCGGGAGCTCAGTGGTGGAGTCAAAAAAAAGGTTGTTGTGAAGGATGGACCGGTAAGCAAACCAGTTCCACCTAGTTCAGGACCATGATTCCATCTTTGCAATGCAGTATCATGGATGTGAATCAACTCGCAAGCCACGGCACTGGTAGCCAGCCCGGTCGACAGTTGCTGTATACCACACTTGCTAATAACCGTAGCCTTGTGTGAAAGCAATGTCGATACCGAAGCCCTTGCCTTCCCACGCGACACGTTCTTGGCATGGCGTCACATCGAGCTCCAACAATGCTGCTTTGGGTTCAATCTGACCAGCTTTGGGACAGATAGGTAGCCAATGGTGAAGGCGAACATGACAGTCCAGATCAAGCAATCCTCAGCTTGTGCTCACGAAAGTGTTCTTCAGACTCCAAAGGAAAACAAGACAGAAATATCCACGTACCTTTTATGATCAGGAGAACTGGCACGAATGCGATGGTTGCTCATTTGTTGAGGTTGTCCCTGGGGCAATTTAGGATTCGTCATTCGGCGGAAGGAAACAGAGCCGGTGGACGATTTCCTTTGTACCATGGAGTCCTGATTCGGTGCTGGAGTTTTGTCACTCTCTCGGCTTGAACTGCGGTCGGGTCGTGGATCGGGCGCGAATGAGATACTGGACTTGTGTGCTGAAGAATCGTCGTCACCATCGCTGGCCCTCACACTAGTATTGGACCCATCGACTGTGTTTGAGTCTGGGAAATAGTCGACTTTGGCGTCATACGAATTTGAGTCTCGTGGTTGCGGTGGATCAATCGTCTTGGGAGAGATGTCGGAATCGGTGCGCCTAACTGGCACAGGCATGCTAAAGGAGATTGTAGTCATGTTGCTTGTTGCTTGTTGCTTGTTGCTTAACGCTCAGTGACGCGATCTGGTTGTGTTAGAAGAATTGGCCACTGTGAATATACATAAGAGACGAAATAATATAGTCACCTTTTGCTAATTTAGACCAGGACTTAGGCTACCTTATTTATGTGGTCTAAACCTTTAGATCAATTTCTCTGTTATTCGCCTGACTGTTGGTAAACTTGGGCTGAATTGGATCGGTGCTGCCAAGTGGTCGTCTGTCTATACCTGTGAACGAATGTGTATAAAGTCTGCTGGTATTGAGCTTGGTGGTGCTAGTGTTCGATGATGCTGAGTTTGGTTGAAGAAGATAGAAAGTCGTGAGAGAATGGCTTCGGCTTGTGGAGAAAGAGAAAGGTCGCACTTGCGTAAAGTTGCCCGTGAACCTCAATCAAGTGCGCAGTGCCTTTCTTTCTATGTCGTAGGCTCTGCCAAGATGCAACTGCCGCCAAGACGGAGAGACTAGTTAGATGACGGACAAGCCTGGCTTGGCTTGGCCTGGCTTTGAGGAGACCGAATCACAGAGAGCTGGGACGAGGCAAGAGCGGATGGCAAAGTTAAGGGCCTGAGGATCCGAAATTGTGACGTCGAATGACGCGGTCGCGGAATTGAGGAAAGAAGCGTGCGATTTGGTGTTGTAGCCTGGACCTGGTACGCAGTGGCAGCAGAATAAGAGAAGGATAGCGAAAGCCGATTGTTATGGTAGGTACTGTGGATAAATAAAGCACCGGACGATATCGATATTTGCAAATCGATTATCTATCCTTTTTTCTTTTGTACGAGGGTCGCCTGAAGACGGACGGACGGTGTGGGCGTTTACGTCTGTAGGTAGACCGTTGTTTCTTTCAGGTGGATGATAGTGATCTGAGTGGCAAGCAGGAAATAATAAGATTTAAGGTTAAGCTTAATGCCAACAAACAAGCCAAAGGACGGACGAAACTGTCAACGTCTTGTTCGGCTTTAACGTTTTGAGATGTAAAAATAGAGACAAAGACTGGGGACTTGAGAGAGGAGAAGTCTGGGTTTCACTATTGTTTCCTAAGGCCAACAGAGTGGGAGACAGATGTCATGATAGCTTGATCTTGATCGCATAAAGGAGGGTAACAATTTGAGCAAAACCGAGAGGATTTAGACGGTGCCGAACGGATCGGCCCTTGGTCTTGGTCCACGTTAAAACGGATGGTGGTGTAGGCCTGACAGGGAGTGTGAAATTAAACTGGGCAGCAACGCAACAGATACAGCACCCGAGATCTGAATTATGACAGAATGTGTGTGTGTCTCGAAACGAACGAATAAGCTACTAAGGTATCAAGTGAAAACTGCCAGCAAATAAACAAGACACGAGGTGGAATCAAGGTTAAAGAACAGAGATTAGGTAGCATAAGCCATACAGTTCTGAAAGTGCAAAACGTACAGCTGACGTATCTTACGTCAAGCCATAGAGTTAAGCCGTTGCATTACCGCTCTTCAGGGATTGGTTTTCTGTGTGTGACAAACTGCAGGCCAAGACGTAACTCGATTCGGATGCAAGAAACATGCCTTGTCTGTGCTGAATCATTGGACGATCAGTATGAACTACATACATAGTAGGTATCCATTATCACGTACGAGTCAACTCCTTGTACTGTGTTATCTGTATTTCGTAAGATAACGCGACCCAGAGATGAGGGGGACCGTGAGGCCTCTCACTTTATCCAGAGACGAAGAAATGAACGACACGCGAGCAGTAGGTATCACCACAGCCCACTCACACTCACGCTGAACATCCCTGGGGTTATGATCACATGGAAACTCTTTCTCTTGACTCCATACTGGAACGAGTAGGGCTGCTTACTGGGTTTCGAGATATCCACTTAATAAGGGGGCGTTTAGTTCGGCCGCTTGCTTAACATTTCCCCTCACTAATGCCACCTTGTTTGGCCTTTGGGCAGCCAAAAACGCACAAAGATTTGCACTCCCTCATTCAGTCGTAAGTTGAAGCTCATCACCTCATGTTTTGGAGACTTGAGTGTCATTGCTACACAAGCAGACATCAATGTCTTGGCCCGGCATTAAAGTCCCGAGTGTGACTCTTACTTGACAGACCGCCAAGAGCTAATGCGTATCACAAGAATGTCCATACTATACAATACAATTAATTCCATGTACACTAGCGGCGTCGGGAACCGGTTCTTTGGGCACGATTTCAATCCCTCCCGTCCGCCCCGGAACCGGGTGGGGTCAACGCCTATAATCCATCCGGTAGGGGTTATCTTGCTACGCAAAGCCCACTACGCTCGGGCTTCAGTGGAGGATGCACGCTATCCGATTGTTGCAGGTGGGGCCAACTCAGAAAAGAGCCTCTAGATCCGTGGATCTCTCACTGCTTCGTTTTTTACGAACAGCCGAATCAGTTCAACGGCACTAAAACGGTTTTTCTTCTAGGCATGCACTCGATATGCAGGGTAAAGTAAGCGAAAAATAAGAGTCACTTGGCTCTTGTTATTCCGTGGAACTCTTCACCGCATTGTCTTGTCGTACCAGATCAATATTCTGAGCCACCAACATGTGTCGTATTGTACTGTACACCATGGCTGAGCCAGTCAGTTTCATCCTCAAGACCACATGAGGCTCCCTTGCTCGTTCAGCTGTCAGACAAGATACCAGCCCTGCATACTCTGCCCTGTTTCTTGGCATTACCCCAGAAAGTACGGATAAGACTTAGGGTCTTCTGCTAACCTACCTCTTACACTATCGTCAAACTACGGTAAGTAACACGAATAGGAATGGTCTGACTCGGAAGGCACTTTTGGCGTGGCGGTCAGAGTAGCTAAATCGCGGATGACATTCTCGTGGCTTCAATTAATTGGAGCCAAGAGAGACTTCAACCGTATATAACGGACATGGTCTCGATCACGAGTATTATAGCATCTAGTGCTAGCAGTCTGAGGGTAGACTATAAACACCCTTGCCAACCGGTGAAAGGACGACTTGCTGAATTGGAAGTTCGGTCAAAGTCAGAAGAACGGAGGGAAACGAATATTGTAAGGTTTCTAGAATTAACCCCGAATAGGACTTCTGTGGGCTTGAAGTACGATATGAATGGATACATACTATGGGGCTCTCTATGAACCTCAATTCCAAAGTCGAGATGGGTCTTAGAATAGAAATGTGTTACTGTTTAATCGAGACCCTGTGGCTTGATCTTATGGTGTCATCTCAGTAAATCTAGAGACACGAATCTTGTATCACAATGAGCACCTCGTATGCGGATATGCGGCAGGGCCGAGCTCAGCTTGTGACGCCATAGACACTATCTGTGAGACATTCTGTACATATCAGGACCTAGACTTCTGTCCTCTGCTTTCCCCTCCTGTCAGCCAACAAGTGACATCCTCAAGCTATGGAGACATGCTGGGCATCAGTTGATGTTTCTCAGGTGATGTTGGACTCATTGGAGACTTGTCTAAAGTGAAGATGTTCCAATCACCAAGAATATTCCCAAACTAACATACTTCTGTAGAGCCGGTGCAGAACTGCAAGAAGCCTTGAGAGCATCTGAGAATGTTGATGCTGCAAGGGTTTCGATACCAGAAGCGATCTGGCAGCGTTGCGAGGCCCAATTGATCTTTATCAAGACCAACTACGAGGCAATGGACAGGCCTCTCTTAATCCTATACAATAGAAACCTGTCTTCTCTGGCAAGCATGATCAGGAGGTTGACTAGCATCTTCAAAGATTTGGTCGAGCTCAAGGTCAGAAGAGATGAGAATGTGGTCAACAAGGTGTTCCCTAATGACGCATCCGTGATATACACTTACAAAAAGGGCACACTTGACGATGCTATCTATGCATTAAGAATATGGCAGCAAAAGACGGATCCTACTTGGGTGCTGATGGTCAAGCTTTACGGTGATTCTATGACCCTGGCATCTGCTGTATCACAAAACTTCAAGTCCTATGCCTCCAACGTAGAAGCGTATAATTGGAAGTTGGGGCTCCCGGGTCAATCTTACCCTTAATAAGTCCTGCAACAGCATTACAAGACCTGGACGCTATGGAAGTTTCCGATACTCCCTTCTCTCCCTTCAATATTGCAAAAAGGAAGAATTCGACATACGCATCATTCACAAGATCGGACCATTGAGCCCCAAGGACTCCCAAGCATTGGGAAAGAGTGTTCGAGAACTGACCTATCGTTTGCAACACACCAAGCCCGAGGTATTCAATCTCTTGAGCTGCGAGGGCTTCTATGAACATTATCATTAGGAAATGAACTTGACAGTAATCTTTTGCGCACATCCAGATTTCGACAATCCCCAGAGCCTTCGAGATCAACTCATAAATAATGCTGAGCCAGCTCCAGTATCCGAGAGACTGTCTATTGCGCAGGAAATAGCCAAGGCCTTAGGCTACGCCCACGCATTAGGTTTTGCACATATCAATGTACATCCTGAGAACATTATTCGTTTTCAAACCCGAGACAAAAATGGTTCTTCGTCTTTCCTTGCTGCCTTGGTCGGGACAAGAGACGACAGATTGTCACCAGATGATGAGATTGCATTAGAAAGGAGTGTCTACAGGCATCCGTGCATGCAATACACGGATGTAGTGAAAGAACCTATTCCACAACACGATATATACAGCTTGGGCGTATGTTTGCTTGAGATTGGGCTGTGGCAGAGCTTCATCAGTTATGATACTCATACCATGAAGACAACACTTTCAAATATTACTGGCATAGCAGACGATGCCTCGCAGGGTGATATGGAGCAGTTTTTGGTCAAATCGGCAAAGCAACGTTTCATTGATTTGGCACGCAATGAGCTATGCTATTCCATGGGCATGGAATACTCCAAGATTGTGGAGACGTGCTTGACATGTCTCAATCCATATCGCAATTGTGGGTTTTATGTGAGTTTGAGACCGACGAGTATGGCATCCAGGTGAGCGTTGAATACATCGAAAAGGTGAGTAGATGTATGATTACCCCTAGATTCTAATAACACTAACTTTGATCAGATTATTCAACAACTGGACAGGCTACATGCAAACATTAGGATCTCATATTAGGGTTTATGGCTGGCACAAGTTGTATTCGATAATCTTACTTCGTTAGGATCATGATATTGATTAAATGACTTTTTGATTCCTTTTATTCTTCATAGCCTTTTTCAAAGGCCCTCGTACCTCTAGGAGGAAGTCCCATATCTCCGCCGCACATACAGCCAAACCCGAGAAATTCTCAGGCTCTTGCACGAGCATCACCAACTCCGAGACGCCTTTGCCATGCCATGCATCCTATCAAGTCGGCCTGCATAACCCCAGGTAATGATTCTCCTGACCCTGGGCCATTGTGGAGTAACTCGGCCTCAGCACTTTTATGCGCTGTTGGGCCCGAATCGAAGACCCCATGAATTTTTGAGAAAAAGTGACTAGCCAATTCTCTATACAACACCTCAGTTATAGGTGCGGGACAGGTTTCGGAGGTACCAGTCCACAAGCTTTCGTCCAACCTTGGCCTCGGAGATGTGAATGAGGTCCTACAAATAGTTAGTAACAGGTTTAAATGTTTTAGAAATATTAACTTACACCCTGGAGAGCATAGTCAAGGTCGCTGACGTTGACAAGCTCACCGTCAAGCAGACCCTGATCATTCCAGCGCAATTGCCTAGTTCGCTGCTTGGTGACCAAGAGCCACGATCGGAGCTCCTCGGGCTTCACCTCAAGGAAACCAGAAAGCTTGTTGAGATCCATGGTGGTGTAGAGGCGGAGGTAAGACTTGATGGTGGGGCTCCACATGTTGGTCTTGACCTCATCCATGAAGACAGCGAGGTGGTGCTCAACGGGGTCGATGTTGGCCTCGGGGTTCTCAAAGTCCGGAGGAATGGGGGAGATGAACTTGGGGCACGCTGTGCGGAAGAGCTCCTCGAAGATGGGGAGGGACTCAGGTCCACCGCGCTGGAGCTTGAGAAGCTGGTCGCCGTACTTCTCACGGAGAGCGCTGTGGATGGTGTCGTCCAGACGGGTAGGCTGGAAAGCGACGCAGATGGCGATGAGAGCGTACATCTGCTCGTTCTTCTTGGTGATCGAGTCGTACTGGGGGCTCTTCTGGAAGTTCTTGGTCCTCGAGATGTAGATGAGGATGTGGCTGAACATGCGGATGGCATCGGCGTAACGGTGCTGCATCATGTAGGAGAAACCAACGTAGTAGTAGGTGGTGAAGTGAGCGGCCATGACACGGGCGAACATAGCCTTCTTGTTGAGCTCAATATCATCGAGTGTCTTGAGAGCGAGGCTGAAGTCACCAAGGAGACAGTGGACTCGGAGAAGACCAATGATGGAGAAGTAACCCAGCATCTTGTAGAGGTTCTTGTTACCGTACTCGCCGGCAACAGCGGCAGGGTCCTCACCACGCTTCATGGCGCCGAGCTGCTCGGTGATCTGAGATCGCTGGATCAGGGAGTACAGGACGTTGAGAACACTGTAGCAACCCCATGTGTTGGGGTTCTCGCGGAGAGCCTGACGCTCCTCCTCGTTGGTTGTTTGCCGGGCAATTCGCATTCGGTACGAGGAGAAAGAGTTGAACTGGTAAATGAACTCATCGATAACATCCCAAGCCCAGTAGTACTACAAAGATATTTATTAGCCCAATCCAACCCGATATACAGATTCAGGGGGCACCAACAGAAGGGGGCTCGAGGTCGACGGGGCCCTCGGAGTTGAGGATGTAGTGGAACAAGCTGCAGTAGGCATCGTAGCTCTGGAACTTAGCCTCGAGAGGCGCCTGGAAGTCGAGAGGTTGAGCAGCCTGGACAAGTCGGGCCTGGATATCGTCGGTCTGCTGGGCGTTCAGAGAGGTGGTGCGGCTGAGATCATCACCATCCTCATACTGAACATGCTCCTTGTACTCGGCCACAAGAGCCTCCTCCTCAACGTCGCTGTCGTCATCGATGGCGCGGGCCGGAGCCACGCCGTTTTGGTAGGTAGCCATCGTGTCGTTTATAGAATCGGAGTCGAGTCGCGCGTCGTCTCGCTCGTCTCGTCCAGTCGTCACGGTGAGATGGGGTCAAATTTTAACGATGCAGTTTTTTTGTGTAGGGCTTCTGTTTGGCGGGCACACGCGGGGTTGATTGCTTAGTCATTCGATTTGAGTGGGGTTTTGCTACGGTTATCAGCTTCTAGGAAGACAAGACCAGCCTTTCGAAGTCCAAGCTAGGTATTGTTGCAGGACAGAGAGGGACTCAGTTTGGTGTTCCTCAGGCTGTTTCAGTATGTATGAGTCATTCTTAGTCGATTTCCCAATATCGAGAAAAATATGCATGATGGACAGTTGAATTTATCACTGATCATTGCGTCCATTTATCGATTAGATTAGTCACTATGAGCAACCTTTAGGCAAACCATATTCTTCATAACTACCAACTCCCTTTATAAAAGTGATCGCATCTTGGTCTGACTTGAGAATTTTCAAAAGAACATAGAAGCCTTTATTTTGTCTGGGTCGGCACCAAAGACATTTTTATCTCCATATCCATATTTAGAACTTTTTTTGCTCTACGGCCTTTTTCATTTCTGTTCGAACCCCACCATCTTGGTCTACCTAACTTTCGCAAGTCACTGTCGTCATAATGCCTGTCGTCACTCCAGATAAGCTGGCAAGTCTGCAAAGACAATCCAGTGACATTCGAAATGTGAGTACATAGTGAAACATGAGAGAGCATTCAAGTTAACGTCTCCTAGATTTGTATTTTGGCTCACGTTGACCATGGCAAAACTTCACTTACCGATGCTCTGCTTGCCACAAATGGCATCATCTCACCAAAGCTGGCGGGAAAGATCCGTTACCTAGACTCCAGACCTGATGAGCAGACTCGAGGAATCACAATGGAGTCTTCCGCTATCTCACTATATTTTGCTATGCGTCGGAAAGCAGCCCCCGATGCTGAGCCTGAGGACAAGGAGTACCTCGTCAACTTGATTGATTCGCCAGGTCATATCGATTTCAGTTCAGAAGTCTCAACAGCCTCAAGACTTTGTGATGGTGCTGTTGTGCTTGTCGACGCCGTCGAGGGAGTCTGTAGTCAAACGGTCACCGTGCTTCGCCAGACATGGACCGAGAAGCTAAAGCCCCTACTTGTTATCAACAAAATTGATCGACTTGTTACTGAACTTAAGATGACCCCTGGAGAGGCCTACATCCACTTGAATAAGCTGCTAGAACAAGTGAACGCTGTGCTAGGAAGTTTCTTCCAGGGAGAGCGTATGGAAGAGGATCTTAACTGGAGAGAGAAGATGGAGGAGCGAGTCAATGCAGCGACAGCGGCTAAGGAATCAGCAATTGCTGATCAAGTTAGCGACACGGGAGAGATTCAATTCGAGGAGAGGGACGACGAAGACATCTACTTTGCTCCCGAGAAGAATAACGTCATTTTCAGCAGTGCCATCGATGGCTGGGCCTTTACTTGCAGACAATTCGCTGCCATGTACGAGAAGAAGCTGGGCATCAAGCGTGGAATTATGGAAAAGGTTCTATGGGGCAACTTCTACTTGGATCCCAAGACAAAGAAGATCTTGGGTTCCAAGCATCTGAAGGGAAGAAACTTGAAGCCCATGTTTGTGCAGTTGGTACTTGAGCCAGTATGGACGGTCTACCAAGCAACAGTTGGAGGTGACAATGGCCAAGGAGACCGAGAGCTGCTCGAAAAAGTCACAAAGTCTCTCGGCATCAAGATCACACCTCACATGCTCAAGTCTCGCGATCAGAAGCTTCTTATGAACACCGTCTTCGCAGGCTGGCTTCCCTTGTCGACAGCACTGCTGGTGTCCGTTATTGAGTCTCTTCCATCTCCTCCATCTGCTCAGGCTGCACGACTTCCTGAGATGTTGAAGGAATCTCCAGGATCTGACCACATCGATCAAACTATAAAGGACTCTATGGTTTCATTCAAGCATGAGAAATCCGACCCCGTTGTTGCCTACGTCAGTAAAATGGTATCTGTTCCCGAGAGCGAGCTTCCTGAGAACAAGCGACGTACTGGTGCTCAGATGAGCGGCGAAGAGGCTCGAGAACTTGCACGCAAGAAGAGAGCCGAGGCTGCGAGAGCTCAAGCTGCAGCTGGTGAGAACGGCGTCGATAGTATGGTGACTTCGATGGATGCCATTAACCTCGACGACTATGCGCCTGAACTTGAAGAGAAGAAGGTCGATCCTGAGCACCTCATTGGCTTTGCACGTATCTACTCAGGAACTCTGTCCGTGGGTGACAAGCTCTACGTCATCCCTCCCAAGTGGTCACCCGCTGAGCCTAATGCTGAGCCTGAGCCTCAGGAAGTCACTGTCACTGCGCTTTACATGCTGATGGGACGAAACTTGGAGGCACTCGACTCAGTCCCTGCCGGTTGTGTCTTTGGTATTGGTGGCCTGGAGGGTAAGATTCTGAAGTCTGGAACTCTTTGCAGTCGTCGTGAAGGTGCTGTCAACCTCGCGGGTGTTACCATGTTGGGTAAGCCCATTGTTCGTGTTGCGCTGGAACCTGTAAACCCTGCCGATCTTGACAAGATGATCCACGGTCTGAAGCTCTTGGTGCAAAGCGACCCTTGCGCCGAGTATGAACTCCTATCCAGTGGCGAACACGTTTTGTTGGCCGCCGGTGAACTGCATCTTGAGCGATGCTTGACTGATTTGAAGGAGCGTTTTGCTTTGTGTGATATTCAGCCCGGTGCACCAATCGTTCCCTACCGGGAGACAATTGTCCGGGCTGAGGAGATGCGACCTCCAGTCAACAAAGAGCTTGGGCGTGGCGCAGTTGTTGCCACAACGAGCTCAAAGCAGGTCACAGTTTCACTACGGGTACTGCCAATTCCCGAGAATGTTACCGACTTCCTGTTGAAGAACGGTGATGCAGTCAAGAAAGTCTACGACCGAAGAGCAAAGACCGAAGAGGAGGGAGAAGAAATTATTGCTGAAGCTGATGTTGCAGCCGGGAACACCCTCTCTGTGGAGGACTTCAAAAAGCAACTTAAGGAGAAGCTAGAGACTGGCAAGGGCAGGGAAGTTTGGAAAGACTGCATTGACAAGATTGTGGCCTTCGGGCCCCGACGAACCGGGCCCAATCTGCTCATCGATTCTACTGCAGATGGCATCTTTGCTAGGGCTTTTGCTACCGAAAAGGCTGTCGAAACTGCACCTCGTGCAGACGAATCTCTTCACCCTAGTCACCTGACTGACAAGATCTCTTACGCGTTTCAGCTTGCTGCAGCTCAAGGTCCTCTATGCAATGAGCCTCTGCAGGGTGTTGCTGTCTTTGTTGAGGATGTCACTCTCAACCTTGCCGAAGACGATTCCTCAGCTCGTGATAAACTCGGACGTCTGACCGGAGAAATTATCAGAACTTTCCAATCCTCCCTTCGAGCAGGATTCATGGATTGGTCTCCCCGCCTCATGCTTGCCATGTACAGCGTTGAGATCCAAGCGTCTACTGAGGTTCTAGGTCGTGTATATGACGTCCTGACTCGTCGTCGCGGCCGCGTCAACGCCGAGCTGATGAAGGAGGGCACTCCTTTCTTTACAATCCAGGCCCTGGTCCCTGTGGCCGAGAGTTTTGGTTTTGCGGATGAGATGCGCAAGCGTACCAGTGGCGCAGCACAGCCGCAGCTCATCTTTGCGGGATTCGAGATCCTGGACGAAGATCCGTTCTGGGTCCCGTTCACCGAAGACGACCTGGAGGACCTTGGCGAGTTGGCCGACAAGGAGAACGTGGCGAAACGCTACATGGACGGTGTAAGGAGGAAGAAGGGGTTGCTTGTTGAGGGAAGAAATGTGGCTACGGATGCAGAGAAGCAAAAGACACTGAAGAGGTAAAAAGACTAGTGAAGCAGGAATAAAATTATGCATGTTGGTTTTACAAATCAGGTGCCAGATTTCCAGTGGAGAGACTCCGTTAGCTGCAGGTCCCAGTTATGAACGAGTGGTCGGAACCGTCGGATGTTGTTGATCCTCTTCCGGGCATGAACACGTCGTATCGGTCCAGGGTAATATCACGATGTGTAATTCGTCATTGTGGTAGAATCCCACAGCTTGCTTGATCGTTACTAGCTTTGATAAAGTCTGTCATCGAGATGCTTTCATGAGATTCTCATGTCCAAGATCGAGGATCGATATCAACTGCATCCAAAACTTGAAGATTTCTGCAACTTCCAAGTTTTTTCATCTGCAAGTCAGAGAAAGGCTTGATCCACGCTGTCATGGAGTTTGCTTGAACTGCGGTGATGCCCTACCCAACGCTCTCCTTTCTCTCACTCATCTTACTGTGTTTAAGACACGTTTTACACGCTGGACACGTTTTGTTGTGTCTTACCACCAGGTCGGGTTTGTGTGCCCCTCGCATCTCGAACCCATTGTTCTGGTGGCTGAGCTGAGCTTCTAATCTCTCATCCGCATCCTCATCCGCTTCCGGATCTACAAAATATGAGTTAATTATGCAGGGCTTCCTATTCGTCGAAGCCCACGAGCTGAAACTAGGTGAAAAGTGTTTCCCAGCCTCTGTATGGCTGAGTTGCGATAGTTCTAGAGACCACAATGACAGGTCAACTGCGGAAAGAGAGTCTATCACATTTTGTCCCCTGACTTGTCTCACTTGTCTAAGTTGTCTTAGACAGACGCTCGGCACTTGCTCCACGATTTCGGCAGCTAAGGAGAAGCCGTGCATCCCCGGTGGATTCTTGTTTGCTTTTGCTGGGATCTTTCCCCTGCCATGAAACAGGACGGCCCGTCCAACCTTTCCTCGTTAGGCATGAACCCATCTGAGAGATCGTTCTGGGTGGTCGAGTTATTGCTTTTTAAGGAACAAGCATACATGAATAAAACTTTTTCGCGGATGGAGTCTCGAAGTGAGGGAGAGAAACTGTGGGAGGCTGGCCCAAGAAACATTGGATCTTTGGGTCGTAGCTGGACCCTAAAAGAAAAAAAACATCAATAGTAATGATAAGAAAGGAAAGAGAAAGAAACTAAATTCAAGTTGCCCTTGACGCACAATCCTAGTGGCCGGTTACTAAGAATTGATGCAGTCGTTCGTTAGTCATATATCGCAGAGTTCCCATCCTTTCCCGAGGATCTGGTTCTGGTCTTCAAGCAAGTAAGAGGTTGCAACCGCTCATTATGGAACCCCGGACATCACTTGCAGGAATCGACGGAGAAATGGGAGATCTCAAGGTCTTCAACATCGAGGCCTTCACGTTGCTCGGCATCGCGATGTTGGTTACAGCTTTGAGATGCGGTGTGAGGATCAACACGGTTGGGTTGAGGAACCTCTGGGCAGATGATTATCTTGTCATATTGGCAGCTGTAAGTCTGTGAGGCCTTTCTGTTACTGATATGTGCTGACCATGTCAGGGTATCTACGCTGTAGAGACAGGTCTGGCATATTCAGTCGGGAATGTTGCCTTTGGATTAGCGAACAACTCCATTACCGACGAGCACCGGGCTTCTCTACACCCTGACGACCGAGAATACCAGATTCGGTAAGCTACTACAAGTTGAAACTTGGCTTTATGGATACTGACTTTCGAAGTGTACTTGGCTCCAAGATTCAACTCGCTCTATGGGCAACCTACTCCTCCCTTTTATGGATCCTCAAAGCATCTATGTGCACCTTCTACTACCGCCTAACAAAGGACCTCGAAGGATACCGATTTCGTGTCATGATCGGCTTCGGCTTGATCATTAGCTCGTTCGTTATCGTTCAGCTGAACCTGCTGCTCAGCTGTCGTCCTTTCTACCACTGGTGGCAGATCTCCCCCGACCCGGGAGCCTTCTGCCATGCTGCCATCTCACCCAGTCTGATATGGACAGGTCTTTCCTTCAACCTCATCACAGACTTCTATCTTATCATGATCCCTATGCCCATGCTTTGGAAAGCTGCTATGCCTTGGCCTCAAAAGGCTGGACTCATTACTCTCTTCAGTTGTGGTTTGTTTGTCACAATGGCTGCTATCCTTCGAGTCGTCCTCCTTGTATCTGTAAGTGAATCCCACCCCAAACCTCCGCTACATACATCTAACAACAAGAAGGACCCTTTCAATGGCCCCCAACTTGCTGCCTCCTGGGCTGTTCGCGAGACTTTCGTGGCAATCATGACAACCAACATTCCTATGCTGTTCCCTTCTTTCAAGAGATGGGCAGTACCCATTGTCGAGAGAGCTGGCTCATCTTTGAGTAACCGCTCTCCACTCAGCACCATCACTGACACGAGGTTCTCTGGTGCCTTCTCTCTTGACGCCTGGAAGCGACGAACACGCAGCACATTTCGTCTTTCAGCCAGCAGCCCTATTTCAGCAGGCATTAGGAAGAGCCAGATCACAGTCGGCTTCCCCTACGATATGTACGACTCACCGATAACAAGACCTGAACTTTCCAAGTCCGGGGCAGACATAAGCATCACGCCTCTTTCCTGCCATCCAGTCCGTGCTGAGCAACGAATGAGCACTACAAGCGAGACATCTACAGTCTCCTGGACAGAAACACTTGTCAACTCTCCTCAGTCAGAGGGAACCGAACCTATTCTTTCACCCATCCACAAAGATGGATACAGCAACAACGTCTAACGCCTTTGTAATGAACATTGATAATTTCCTTTGTATTTCTGTATGATGGTACGACAAAGACGATGACGCCTTTTCACCCGATTTACACGATACACGACTTTACGTTATGTTAATTAAAATAGATAAAAAGCTCTAGATTTGCATTTTCGGTTGGGTATGAGTATGGCCATGGGGTCATGTTTTCATGAGTTATGGGGGAGTGATCATGAAGATGTGTTGAACGGACGGCGAGGTTTCAACACTCGAACTTTTACTTTTGTATTTTATTCCCTTTTGAGGGGCCAAAACATCTATACACTGTACTTATAAAAATACTGTTCAACCTGAATCATTCTTTTTTCTGTCATGCTATGGGTCAGACAAGGGAATATGTGGTGGTTCCTTGGAGCCTACATGTCTCGATACCTTATGTCTTTGTTGTTCTCACATATGTGGTCCTTAGTCCCAGACTGGGACTCGTCTATTTCGGGGCAATGAAAGAACGTATAATGAGAAGAGGATCTTTAACCGACCTTGAGGACTTGTCTCTTGTTCAGTCTCGAGCCTTTGAGATTCAGTGAACAGCAGCGAGGATGTGTTAGGTGATCAAAGACTTGTGGTCTCAGCGCCTTTGAAGCACTGGCTGGTTCGTTCAATACATAACAGATAACAAGTCTACTCAACAGAAATAAACTCCAGATACAATCAATTCGCAAGTCAACCTTTTGAAATTCACAAACAGAATATTAACAATCACAAACCATGGTTACTACACGCTCCCAATCAAAGGCTGCTGCTGCAGCTCTTGTCTCACCTACTCCCAGTTCACCAACCACTCCCGCCAAGCCTGTCAAGCCAGAATCGCATTCGCCCTTGCAGAGTCTGGAACCACCTAGTCCTCGGCTATGCAAGAGGAAGCGTACTAGGGCTTCTTCCGACGGTCCGAAACCGCAGAAGCTCCGAAGAAAAGACTCAACGCCACTTGCTTCTCCTCGTCCTCAAGCTCCGGATTGGTTACCCGAGTTGATAGCTGAGCCAGACCCTGACCTTCCTTCTCCTCCTCAAACCCCCGCTGGCTCAGACATTGAAACTGACGGAGAAGACGAGTCCTCAGACATAGAAGACCCTACTTCCGATCCGAAGTTGTTCGCACAGAACTTCGAAGCGAAGGATTGGTCACTTGTTAGTGGACGTGCAAGCCTCGAATTCTTCCAGGCCTTTCCTCACGACAAACACTCAACCCTTTGCGTCCGCCACCTCCTCTTACTTGCAGAAGAGTGGTACTGGAGACGCAAGCCCACTGTCAACGCCCAGCTTAACTTGATGCTGCAGGATGGCGTGAGATCCAAGCCCGACTTTTCAGATTTGGCTCTGCCCATCTGTGAAGACACATGGACTATCAAGGGCGTTGAGAGCTTCAAAGAAGAGCTGGCTGAAAAGATTACTGCGGCAGCTAATGCAGCTGACAGGGAGTACTGTCGATTAACACTTCTTACCAGACATCCTCCCGTTTGCGAGATTTTCGATACAAGAGCTCATGTTCGGTGTGCATGGTGCGCCCGGTCTCGGGATTTAACACCGCCTCCCTTCTACCCACATGATACTCACTTTAACATGCCAAACAGTTTTTTGGACGGTATGATCCAGCGCAAGAATGATGAAGTCGTCAGAATTCTCCGATGTGGTCACGAAACACCCATCATGATTCTGGGAACTGGTGAGGAGGATTCTTACACGGAATGTGAAGAGTGCGGCCACCAGCAAGAAGCCGAGCTGGGATTCTTTAGTCCATTGAAACATGCGATCAAGATACCAGGAGCACGTATTCCTGTCGAAGTTGCTCCCTCGGAATCCATGGGGCTGAACAGCAAATTCATGCATGTGGATGTTGGGGGTATTCACATTGTAGTCGATCATTGTACAGGCCAGCCTCTAATCAGGTTTAGGTAAGTCAAGTTTGCAAACATGAGACACTCTTTAGGATAAATGCTAATTGTTTGTATTAGGTCAACTCGATTCTCTCAGGCCCACGAACAAGAACTGTACGATTACCATGACCAAGGTGCCATCAGGATACTTAACAACCCCGAGCTGGGTTCCCATGATGGCGGCAATGCTATCATGGAGGGGCTGTACTGGAGACAAGGAGCTTTCAACCCAACGACTTCATGTACTGGTTCCTTTGAGAACTGTGCTTGTCACTAACTGTGAGGACATCAGGTTGTCAACAAGGTTGCCCCCCTAGAGATGGAATCATTTAGACACTTTATGACAACTTAGACTAGCATTTATATTGTTTCGTTTTGGCGCCCTGAGCCTTAGGAGATGATGGAAGTTTTCCGCTACCAGGTTGGAGGCACAAGGCAAAAGAAAGGGTCGGCAAAAGACAAAAACAAATAGTATTTGTTCATAAGAGATTGTACTTTCTCAACCAGGCGTAAGTATCAATAAGACATAGAGACATATAGACCAAAGCAAGAAGAGAAATATGAGAATATACTATTTGCTGCACTTATCAATATGATCTCATGTGAGAGACAAATAAATCCTGCTTTCCATCATGACAACCATAGGGTAAGCCGATTTCAGGCAACCACTATCTGCGGCTGAAAGGGAAAGCCCCCACGTGCCCGATATGTATCCACCTTGAAATTTTAAACCAGTCAAATCCCTCCTTTCAAGGTAAACAAATTCAGGGCAGCAGGCAATTACAGCGGGGGCAACTGCCTAGCGGCCTCCGCCAGGACCAAGTCCAGGGGACCTCCTGCAGCGTGCAGGCCCTGGCCCCTGGCCCCAAGGCAGCTGATGTAAGGCTCCTCATTTCCAGAAAGGCAGCCATTCAGCCATCATTTCGTGGTGGATGCTCCCAACTTCGCCTCGAAACTTGAACTCTGCCTTTGCATATCTTTGTGCCACGATGCGATACTGAAAGAAGAGTCACGAGAACAACCTGAACCACCACCACCAACTTCGGCTATTCTTTTGGAACTTGCTAGCTCACCTTCTCTTCTCACGTTCCTTTCATCTTCTCTCTTATTGCTACCTTCTTCTTAATCTAGTCCCACCCGTTGCGCGACATTGCCGACGCCCCGAGCCCAACACGCACGCCACCGCGAACCCCTCCATCCCTGACCTAATCCAGGCTGACTCCGTCTTTACATCTCACGATATCTCAACCTTACTTTGTTTGAGTCACCAGGGACTGGCCCCTAATAATTCACGATGCGTCTATTCGGTGGAAAGAACAACAAGTTCAAGAGCGACCCTCCCAAAATCAGGATCGAAAAGGTCGTCGTCGACCGACCTGCCCAGAAGCCCAAGCCCAAACCGAATCCTATTCTCAGCGGCTCAGCATCACGCTCCTCGTCCTCCCACCGCCCTTCTCCGAAACCTCTGGCACGCCAAGCTAGTCACTCGCCCTACCCCTCCTCATCCGACGAGAAGCGTCTGGAACGTAAGCGGAAGGCACCGTCCGTAACGCGTCGATCACCAGCCAGCGATCGTATCGAATTCGACAAAGACAGCGATGGCGAAGACGATGGATGGATGACTCTCGATACGAAGAGGCAGCGCAAGGGCACTGAAGATGGCAGTTTTGTCGACCCTAACCGTAAGCTGAGGAGCGTAAGGGCCTTTGAGGAGCGCATGGATACCCGGAGCTTCATTCATGCTGTTGATGTAGCTTCGCTTGAGCACAAATGTGTACCTGTAATGGGTGCCCAAAAGGAGGAGGTCGCTATCAGACTCCAATACCCCAGTTTACAGCCCCGTGAGAAGTAAGTTTCCATGCTGTCCATGCCCAAAGTCCTGAGCTGACATTATTATAGATATGAGCTAGTATGGGGCAAAGACAAAATCGATGCCGTGGAAGCAAGCATCAAGGTGGTTCGCCATGTTGCCGAGACATACCTTACCGAAGAGGAAGCCGAGCCTTTCACAAATCCCAACGATGGTATCATTCGAAGATTGGAAAAGGCCTCCAACCGGAATATCCAGGATTTGATGGGATTTAAGGCTGCTCTGCGCGAGTACAACGAGAAGCTTCGTGCTCTGGTCGATGACGGTGTAATTGCCAAAAACCTTGATAAAATGCACGAGCTACCCCAACACCTGGTGGCTTTCATTCTCGACCAGATCTATGATCGCACAGTGGCTCTGAAGGTGGAACTCCTATCCAAGTACGAGAATGGAACCGACTATGTCTATGGCGAACTCCTACACCCGTTCATCTCCAAGATTTTGTTAGAGCAAACTCGAATGACCTCTGGTCAGGTCTTTGTCGATTTAGGCTCAGGTGTTGGAAATGTTGTTTTGCAAGCGGCTCTCGAGATTGGCTGTGAAAGTTGGGGTTGCGAAATGATGGAGAATGCTTGCAATCTCGCTGAGGAACAGAAGAAGGAGTTTGATGCGCGATGCATGTTGTGGGGAATTCGACCGGGCAAAGTTCATCTTGAACGGGGCGATTTCCGTAAGAACCTGCCCATTCATGAGGCTCTCAAACGCGCGGACGTGGTCCTTGTCAACAACAAGGCATTCACCTCGCAGCTTAACGACGATTTGGTTCGAATGTTCCTGGATCTCAAGTCGGGCTGCAAGATTGTGTCCCTCAAGTCTTTTGTCGCCGAGAAGAGCAACAACCACAACATCAACGACGTTGGCAGTACCATCCTGGAGGTGGAAGAGTGCATATACCCTGAGGGTTACGTGAGTTGGACTAATGCAGGAGGATCGTACTTCATTTCGACGCGAAAGTAGACTATAGAGCTTCGTCAGCACACAGTGGAAGAGTATGGTAAAGGAAAGATTGGGTTGGAAGACGGGCATACATCAGCGATGGGTAAGAGGATATGTTCGGGCTTACAGGATACTCCATATAGCACTTTGTTTTTCGTGATATTGAGCGTTGTTATCCCTTAGACTGACTTTGGCCGTTTGCTGTTGATCTTCATGAATGGTCGATCATCGTCCTTTTTCGAAGAAGGGCTCGTTGGCAAGATTCATGGCGTCTGCCTCTTGCGCCATCCTCTTCATCCACCGGTCAACAAGTTCCTTGTTTTCCTTCTTGACCTTGTCTCTTTCTTTTTCGGCCATCGACACTTGTAGATTCAGAGCAATCATCTCATCTTGAACATCCTTATTCCTGTGTCAGTACAAACCCTTGGGGCTTCGGATCCAGTACACACCTCAATGAATTTGCGCTTTTCCCTCAACTCATATTCCCGATCTTTGAGTCTAGTGGTAAGACTATGCTTATCGGCTGTGAGGTCTCGTATCGATTTCGTGTCGGCCTTGTGCTTTGATCGTAGTTGCATCAACTCTTCTTCGCTCGCACGCAATCGTTTCTCGGTGACACCTTTCGATCGAAGAGCTTCCGCGAGGTCTTGTTTTAGCTGCGCTACGCCGGGATCGTTTGTCGAAGGTTCAGCGGGTTGCGCAGTCGTTTTGCCGCGATTTGCGACCAGTGTTTCTAAAATATTCTTTTCACTTTCGAGAGCAGATATGCGATCTGCCATCTGTGAGCCTTGGGAGCATTGTTAGTCTTGTACATTTTGCCGTCGTCCCTCACGCGATGCCATGTCGCATATTGAAGGAGGGGTTTGGGTGGGGTTGATTTATACGTACATGTCTGAACAAGCTCCATGTTAACGGGAGTATTGAGCTCTGCATCTTTGATGCCAGAGAGATACTGGTCACGCCAGTTAGGCATTTTGTTAAAAGAAGCTTCTCAATAAGATAATGGAGAAGGAAACTATTGATGAAAAAAGTTTGATGGATGGAGTGAAGTATGAAAGAATGACTTGCACCGCTCATTTGAGGCTGCCATGTGAGATGATGCAACCGCCAAAAGCCAAAATTAGCGGGACAAGGAGCTACCCGACCGCTAATCCCAGCCGGAGAATAGCCGTATCATGGACGCCTAGCAACCTCCACCTGCGTCCGACGGTACGATGCAGCCAGCACCCAAGCTCCCTGTCTCATTGATACTTTACTGTAGTGCACAGCCGAAGCTTTAGTCTCCAGCTGTAAGCACAATTGTTATCTCCTCTATACCACAGAACAAGGGCTCATAACAATATGAGATAAATGCAAGATGGACACGCTTCACGCGAGAGCTGATTGGGAGAGTGTCGGGGACAGATGGTTCCGCAAGACACAGCAGTATACAGCTGTGTTTGACCAAGATCTCGACTTGGATAATTATATTGTCGCCGGAGCTCCATATGCAGGAGCATTAGGTGAGTGATGAAGCTATATGCGATATCTTTCATTTATCATGAGCTGTTCAGTTCTCATGATGAGTCTGAGTCTTGATGAGCATAGCTGACCAGCCTCCTAGCATTATGGCGCGACGACACAAAGCTTGTGGCGTATCAACCTGGGCGGTCAGCGAAACCAGCAATCGATATTTACAGTCTTGCTGGAAAGAAGCTGCGCAGTATCCCTTGGGATAAAGGAAGCATCAAGGGACTTGGTTGGTCCGAGAATGAGACTTTGTTAGTCGTTACTGCTGACGGTATTGTCCGTTGTTATGATCTGCAAGGAGACTTTACACAGTTCTCTCTCGGACATGGTGCCGACAACTATAGTGTTGAGTCGTGCCGGTATGTCTGCAAGATATCTGTACTGGATTCATGACTAACAAGGCACAGTTTCTATGACCATGGTATGGTAGCACTTTTGGGAAACAACACTCTTATCACAGTTTCTTCCTATACCGAGCCTCGACCCAAGGCGCTTGCGCAGACACCGGAAGCCGAAATCCACGCATGGTCAATCATTTCACCAAATCATACACTCTCGAGGTCTGTCGAGGTGTTATTGAGTGTCGACAAGACGGTCTACGTCGTTGATGCTACAGACTGTGAAGATCGTTTCCTTGATATTGGACCCTTTAGTCACATCAGTGTTTCTCCGGATGGACGCTATGTGAATCTTTATGCTAAGAACGGGAAAGCTCATGTCATTTCAAGTGATTTCCAGGAGCGGCTGTTCGAACACGACTCAAACTCGCAGACACCGCCTTTATACGTCGAGTGGTGTGGCTCTGATGCGTTGATTGCTTGGGAGGATGAAGTGCACATTATTGGACCTGGCGAGACTTCCTCCTCATATATCTATGACAGCACGCGAGTGCATGTAGTTTCTGGTATGCATCTCCATCTTCTCGAAAACGCAATGCTAACACCCTACAGAGCATGATGGTGCTCGCTTAATCACGAATGACTTCTGCGAGTTCTTGGAAAGAGTGCCACGAGACACTCTTGAAGTCTTTGGTCAATCTTCAGATTCATCCCCAGCCTCGATTTTGCTCGATGCTGTAGGCCAACTGGAGCTTCAGTCCCCCAAAGCTGATGATTATATTCAACTAATACGACCTAACCTTACGGGAGCCGTGGACACCTGTGTCAATGCGGCTGGACGCGAATACGATACGCACTGGCAGAAACGTCTGCTAAAGGCTGCCTCATTCGGAAAGTCTGTGCTTGATATCTACAACAGCGACGACTTTGTTGACATGTGCGAGACTTTGCGTGTACTAAACGCTGTTCGATATTACGAAATTGGAATGCCTCTGTCATTTGAGCAGTATCACCGCCTGACGCCAGAGTCTCTTATCCGACGACTCCTAAACCGACACGAGTACCTTCTCGCCTTGAAGATCACAGGTTATCTTAAGCTACCTACAGACAGAATTTATGTTCACTGGGCATCGAGCAAGGTTCGTGTGGGAGGCGAGGATGATGACACCATCTGCCGGTTGATCGTGGAGAGACTGTCTGGCAAACCTGGAATATCCTTCGAAGAGATTGCGCGTGCAGCATACCAAGAAGGACGAGGACGACTTGCCACGGAACTTCTTAACCATGAGCCTCGTGGTGGTAGACAAGTTCCACTCCTTCTAAGCATGGAGGAGGATGAGCTTGCTCTTGACAAAGCCATCGAGAGTGGTGATACAGATCTCATACTCACGGTTTTGCTACAGCTCAGGAAAAAGCTTCCTCTTGCTGCATTCTTCAGGGTGATCAATGCACGACCTACGGCAACAGCTCTCGTGGAGGCATTGGCAATGGAGGAGGGTGATAACACACTGCTCAAAGATCTCTACTACCAAGACGACCGACGAACAGATGGCGCCAATGTCTTTATTCGAGAATCACTCAAGCAGCCTGACGCTCGTACAACGTCCGACAAATTGGCTCTGGCAGCAAAACTGCTGGCTGATTCGAAGGAGTCATCGTTCGAGGTTCACGCTTTGAAGGAAGCCACTACTCTGCTACGTATGCAGGAAGCCTTTGATCGGGACCTGACGGATACCTTTACGGGGCTAAGCGTGCACGAAACCATGTTTAAGCTTATTCGACTAGGATACCAGGGACGGGCCAAGAAGATCCAGAGCGAGTTCAAGGTCCCTGAGAAAGTGGCGTGGTGGATTCGGTATGTGGACCTCCTCCCCAACAGCCCCATGCTATCGGGAACGATGCTTATCAACGACTAACCTTGTTCCTGCAGATTACGAGCACTAGTAGCTAAACGAGACTGGAGCGAGATCGAGGAGATCTCCAAGACGAGGAGGAGCCCCATTGGCTGGGAAGTAAGTTCTCATTGAAAGGTCTAGAAGATGAGATTCAGAACTAACAAACTGTAGCCCTTCTTTAACCTCACTCTCCAAGCTGGTAACCCAAGGGTAGCTTCTGTTTTCATCCCCAAATGCACAGGAGTGGAAACTGGAGAGACGATCACCATGTACGAGAAGTGTGGTATGCGTGTTAAGGCAGCGCAAGAAGCTGTGAGACTCAAGGATAGCGAATCGTGGGAGAGGATTCTGGAGGAAGCAGGAAGGACGACACAGGAAGGAAGAGAGATCGAGCGGCTGGGTCAGTCGGCTTTCAAGAAGTAGAGTTAGGCATACCCGCGTGGGTAGTAATTTCTTAGACGCATATAGCTTATCGTTTCACCGCACTTTCATGACAATCATATATCTGGACTTGGATCAGCCATTACGCCCACCTGTCACCACTACTGAGTAACACTGTGATTTGATCTTATATACGGTTCACGCTCTAGCCCCGTGGATTCAGCCATTGATTGCAGTGGCTGCATAGTTAAAGAGCAAGTAGAAACGTTTCCTAGTCTTCTGAATCGTTCTTTGGGGCGTCATAGTTAAACTCGTCAATATAACCCCGGCAGTGACTGGAATGTAAAAATGTCTACAACCGTTTCATAACGACCCCAGAATAGCTTCGCGTGATGAACTAGCATGGTCTCGTGACAGACCCTGAGAAGAGTCATGTCTCATGAGAGTGGGACGATGCGCAATTAAATCAAGGTTGCACGTGAGTTTAGATAACGTTGTTTGATCGGGAAGTCCCGAAACGCATGACAAGCTGAAGAAAAGAAATATACTTTCGCTACGTACAGTGACAACTACCGCTGTAGAATGGAGGGTAGGATGATGATATCATGGGTTACATTCTGGCTCCGATGCGGGGATGACTTCGGCAGTAGCTGGAGTATTACAACGAACACTAATACTGTAGTTCTGTATGACAAACTCGGAGACTTTTTGAAATCATTATCATCATGATCGTGAGACTTGAGTGAGAATCTTCAGTTTCAGCTCAAACACCCCCTTTTTGCTATTGAGGTTTATTTGTGTAGAAAGCTTCAAGCCCATTTTCCTCATTGGGCCATGGTCCGATGGTCTCGAAGCGTCTGGCGGTGGCGGACACTCACTGTACATCACTAGCATGAATCTCCAAAAAGTTTGAGGTGTAGCTTGAGTTTAAGCCTCAGCCGACAGGACTTTGTCAAGGAAGAAAAAACGGTTGAAAGAAGGATTCCTGTTTTTGTTTTTGTTTTTGTTTTTGTTTTTGTTTTTGTTTTTCTAGAAACATACGAGAGGCGCTTGAGTTGAAGTGAAGCCCCAAAGTTGAGGTCGGTATAGAACAGGAGAAATAAAGAATAATGATAGGGGAAGGGGAAGATACAACATCTAAAGAAGAATTGTGGGAAATGTCTTGGAGCTGGGGATATTTTGCGGTGTTTGATCAAGATGGAGAATCAAGTATGGATGTCATGTCATGTCATGTCATGATGGATATTGTGGAGTTCAAATTAATACCAGGTCACGAACAAGGAGGTCAGATCAGTGCATATTACGTCTTTTAAAGGGATCTTTTATGATGAGATGAAAGGTATCCGAGCTCAGGGTCCGAGGGTTCACAAAGATTTGCAAGTACTGTACAGATACACAGAAGTATTTGGCCACTGCAAGCAGGGATCGGGATCCGCAGCATATCTCCAATACTGTAATGGAACAATGGACCCTGCTTTTTGTTGCCAAGAGCTAGAGTCACAGACAAGAAAATAGCTCTAGAACGACCAGACCGAATCACGTTTAACTGCAGACCTGATCACTTGGCTGCGTGCAGTGCGTGATCTTGATGGTATCTCCATGAACTGGTTGATTGTCCAATTAGTATCCTTGTATTGTGTCTGTTAGTTGATTCTTGATTGCCCGCTAGTGAGGGGAAGAGACTAGTAAGTAACTGCAACTTTAGTCCTACCTCTCACTCCATCTCTGTACGGTAGAGTCAAGGTTGGGCAGAAGTAAATGGGGAGTGGATATCTGTAAGGTACCATCGATACTCTCTTCTTTTGTCAACAAAATTGTCAATTCACGATACCCAGCCCTTTTTTATTTATTTTTCGGGCTGTTATTACGTAGTTTCCTTGGCCTTTTTGACGTTCCTTGGACCTCTTTCTGGTCGTTGCGGATGTCATTACAGGGGTACCGACAAACTGTGGGAGTGGAGGAGGGCCGCTAGAACAAATCAAGGTGACCTCCCCTGTCAGCAGCTTTAGAACCCCTGTTTACGCCCCCGGTCCCGAGCGATTCGCTCTGTGCGAAATACGTGCCTATCGCCGCCACTCCACTGTTCTAATGTTTTTCTACTGCTGTACCTACTGAGCCAGGCCAAGGAACCTAAATGAACTCATCAAGCCCAACCTCCAGCTCCATTCATTCATAGACTAGGTTCAAGTTCCTTCTTCTTTTCACATCCTTCTCCTCCTCCGACTTTGACTCTGATTCTCTTTCTGTTTCATTGCTTTTCCTGTCATCTTGTCAATGTCGGAATCTGCGCCGGAATAGAATCCCTCCCTTCCCCGTCTGTCGCCTCTTTTTTTGTCTTTGCTTTGTTAACGTTAACCTGCGGAACGAACCATCGCCCCCCAAGTCTAGAACCGATCTGCAAGACATCAATCAATCACAAGAATTAAGCCAATTCAACTTCCCGTCCAACAATCGGATCTATTCGTATACATAAACGAGAGACCTCTTCCCTTTTTTCTCTCTCCGGCCTTCGTAAGCGGACTGATAGCCTGAGTAATATTAACTCTTGCAACGCCCCTACCGCCAGACTGTCTCGTCATAAGACCCTTTTTACCTCCCATAACCGTTCCCGTCGTATCGAATACGTTTTTGTTCCAACGCCAACCAAGTCTCTGTCTCAGCTGAGGTTTCAGTCACATCGCTGTCTTCAGTCAGAAAGAACCAAACCAAACACGATTTGAAGACAATAAGAAACAAGGCAAGACGAGACAAGATCAGACCAGACGACACTTGGTCAATCAACCAAAGCAAGGGCTAGATTGGAATTAAGCTTCGCCTCTTTCCACGTACAATTGCGCCGCATTCTGCTTCTCTCCCTTTCTCGGAAGCGCCTTGCCTTTACTTTTCCTTGGCTTCGGCTTAGAATTGCTCAAATACTATTGTCTTGCCATTTTGCATCTCCATTTGCAAATTTCTTCCTTCTTTCTCGCCTTTTTAGTTGCCTGAAAGTTGCCTACCTCTACCTACTACCTACACCCTTGCAGGCACCTACCTAAAACAGGTCCCTGTACATAACTCACCTGCTCATTATTTCCTTTTTTCCTGGCGTCTTTTTTGGCTGCCTGACTCTATCCCTCCCTCGTCATGTTTACTCAGCCAGTTGTTTCAACGCCTACGGGCCCTACACAGTCATCGTCTACTTCGACCTCGAGACCCAGTCGTCTCCGAGGTCTCAGCTACTTGCGCAACTATACACAAAACCATATTCTTTCGCGCGATAGTCACCACAGCTCTGGATCAGGCCCAGGCACTGGAACAGCAAGTGCACGCAGCACGTCCCCCAACCGACACGCCTCTAGCCTCACGCGATCTCTCAGCCATTCGCCTACCACGAGTGGACCATCCACTGGAGCCCAGGGCCAAAACAACAACCACTTGACCCTCGTCAGTTCGACACCCGATCCCGTGAGGAATTTGACATCAGCGGCCACCACAACTTCGATACCTGCGCTGCCACCTACTTCTGCACCTGCTTCTGCTGTTCCTGTCGCTGCCAATTCTTCTGCTGCATCCCCTATTGCGCCCGCACCTGGCTCTGTGGCTTCTTCCGACGTCAACGACCCCGCCAACGCTGCAATAGAATCATCGACTACCGCAGACCCTCAAACTGCTACCGCCGACATGAACCAAGATCAACCTACCATGACGAGATCACGATCGGGGACCACTGGCGAAGGGGGCTCATCGACCCCTGAGACTACACCGTCAATTCGACTTTCAGCCTACTACGATCCGCGATCTACACGCCCATCCCTGACATTTCCCCCCATTTCTAGGACTCTACCTACGGGTTCCGAGAAGATTCGAGTTGGTCGCTACTCGGAGCGCGACAGCCATTCCATGTCTAACATGCCTGGAAACCAGCCATCAGCCGCGCCCGTTGGTTTTAAGAGCAAGGTTGTCAGTCGCCGACACTGCGAATTTTGGTATGAGGATGGAAAATGGTATATCAAGGATGTCAAGAGCTCTTCCGGCACATTCTTGAATCATATTCGTCTGAGCCCACCTTCGCAAGAGAGTAAAGCGTTCCCGGTCAACGATGGCGATATCGTGCAGCTCGGAATTGACTTCAAGGGAGGAGAGGAAATGATCTTTCGATGCGTCAAGATGCGCCTCGAACTTAACCGTGGATGGCAAAATAAGCTTAATACTTTTAAGTAAGTCAACACCTCGCCGTTTTTGCTCATGCTGTTGAATGCTGACCGATTGCAAAGTATGGCTGCGCACAAGAGACTGCAGACGATGGCTTCCAGTGGAGTCGCTGGTACCAGCTCTCAAGATTGCTCCATTTGTCTGAGCTCTATTGCTGTAAGATTTCGGTCAATGAAAGATGCTGGTTCATGTTACTGACAATATTTCACAGCCCTGCCAGTCTTTATTCGTGGCACCTTGCTCGCACACATGGCATTTCAAGTGTGTGCGATCACTACTCAACTCGCCTCAATATCCGATTTTTATATGCCCCAACTGCCGTGCCGGTGCCGATCTGGAAGCCGATGTCGACGAACTGGCTGAAGAATGGCAACAAATGAAGAACGAAGCTGAAGCCGAAGCCTCGACACCAGCACAAGTTGATACTGAGCCAGAGACAGATACAGCACCTCCCGCAGCTGATTCTGGAATATCGACACCCGAGCGATCGAACACAGTCGACAGCGATCATATGGACCTTACAGTCAACATCACGCCCGAGACTCCGCAAAGAAACGAAGTCAACCATGCTGTCTCCGAGCCTTTGCCTATCAGATCAGTCTCAGGTGCCCGAAGCAGTCGTCTCGGCGACAGTCGAACGCCATCTCCCCCAGGCGGCGCCGAGGGACCAATTACTCCCCGAAATAATGTCGGACCCTGGGTTTTTGATGGCAGTGCCGGCCGTACAGTCAGCGCCACAGAAGGCGAGATGACCAGCATAGACGCCGCAGCACAGCCAGAGGCGAGCGACAATGATACCACAGTTCGCCCACAATAGAGTGCATTGCTCAAAAGTACTTTGCACTTAGGGGCTGCTTGATTGGTGTTCGATCATGAGGTGGCATGTGAAGAAATACTTTTACATATATAAATGGCGTTCTGTTGGTTTGTCCTGACTTTCATGGCAGCAGAGGCGTTTATGGAGTTCTTTTTATATACAACCACCTGTAGTAGAAGACAGTGTGGGACTTGATTACGCATTTTTGTGCACAGCGTTGTTTGTTCAATTCGATCTCGAGCGACATATGGAGGAGATTTAGACAGGGTAGTGAGTGAAGCGAAGGTTTATAGTGCAGGATGCAACTGGCCGAGACAAGAGTCCATGAGTAGGAGTTAATGAATAGACTTGCCTATCATGAGTGAACTACTGTATAAATTGCGATATTGCGCTTGCATAAGTCACGACACCTGCAATCTATCTATTGGTATCATGGCTGGGAGTCATGATGAACTCATGGGATAAACTTTGTTTGAACTGAAGACGGAGATGTTATGCTTCATTCCTGTGTTTCCACCAGGACCCTGTATTCAGTATTTCCGAATGACGTTTCGAAGAATGTAACAAAGTCTCAGTACTTCTATTAACTTTCTATCATTGAATTTAAACTGGTTTTGCTGCCTTTGTCCAGATTGCCTTGCATACAAGACATTATGTCATCATGCCCGCTGCTCCCGGCACCGAGATGATCCGGCCTAATCGCCGAGTGCGGGCGGACAGGGCCAGGGTGCGTGCTAAATTTCGACGGCTTTAGTCAGTCGCAAACTCATTCGCCAGCGACGATACCTTCAAGCAAGCATTTGTTGGAAATTGGGTTAGAAATTTTAGTATTTCACCTCTTTTTTTCTTTTCTCAGTTGGCGTACCATACCATAATGCTTCGTCAATTCAGCGCTGGCTTGCCTACAAAGGCTCGGGCCTCGTGCTCGAAAGTCTTGGGCCAGGCTTCCAAGCTCTCGTCGGCGCGGAGGTCTATGGCTACTGTTAAGGTCAAGGGCATTGAAAAGGTATGTTCGGAAAGACTCTACCATGCGTGAATGCTTTTGCTAAAAATAATAAAAAGGACCCTACAGAATTGGACCGAGTCACAACACTTCCCAACGGCCTACGAGTTGCGTCAGAAGCCCTTCCCGGATCCTTTGCCGGCGTAGGCGTTTATATCGAAGGTGGCTCACGATTCGAAAACAATTCCCTCCGCGGTGTATCTCATATTATGGACCGCCTCGCTTTCAAGTCCACATCAAAGCGTTCCGCAGACGATATGCTCGAGCAGGTCGAAGCTCTGGGAGGAAACATCCAGTGTGCCTCATCGCGAGAGAGCATGATGTACCAAGCCGCTACCTTCAACAACGCCGTTCCGCCAACTATCGAACTCCTCGCCGAGACGATCCGCGACCCTCAGATTACCGACTTGGAAGTCGCAGAGCAGATTGAGACAGCACGATATGAGATTCGAGAGATCTGGAGCAAGCCTGAGCTTATCTTGCCCGAGTTGGTGCACACTGCTGCGTTTAAGGACAACACACTTGGAAACCCGCTGCTGTGCCCGGAGGAGAGATTAGGTGCTATCGATAGAAACACCGTTATGGCGTACCGGGATCTCTTTTACCGACCCGAGAGAATGGTTGTCGCATATGCTGGAGTTGAGCACGGCGAGGCTGTCCGACTGACAGAAAAGTTCTTCGGCGATATGCAAAAGGGCACAAAGCAGATCTCGGAAACGACCGGTTCAGAGACGAGCGAGAGCGAACTCTCAGATAGCGAAACCAGCGCATCTTCCGCCTCTTCATCACCGCAACAATCATCCGGTCTTCTTTCACGATTCTTCAAGAACACACCCCCCGCTTCTCAAAACCTTAACAATCTCCCCTCTTCAAACGATATCACACGTCCCTCCAAGTATACGGGTGGCTTCCTCTCACTTCCCGCTCAACCACCTAACCTGAGCGGTCTTCCTACTTTTACACATATCCACCTCGCCTTCGAAGGTCTTCCCGTGGCTTCCGACGACATCTACGCCCTCGCCACTCTCCAAACTCTCCTCGGTGGTGGCGGTTCTTTCTCTGCTGGTGGACCTGGCAAGGGCATGTACTCTCGTCTATACACCAATGTTCTGAACCAGCACGGTTGGGTCGAGTCATGCATGGCTTTCAACCACTCCTATACCGATTCTGGTCTTTTCGGTATCTCAGCAAGCTGCTTGCCCGGTCGAACAGCAGCTATGCTCGACGTCATGTGCCAGGAGCTCCGCGCCCTTACTCTAACAACAGGCTTCTCACGCCTGCAGGAGACCGAGGTTGCCCGTGCGAAGAACCAATTGCGGTCCAGTCTTCTCATGAACCTCGAGAGCCGCATGGTTGAGCTCGAGGATCTCGGCCGTTCTATCCAAGTCCACGGCCGTAAGATTCCTGTTAAGGATATGTGCCGTCGCATCGAGAACCTTACAGTGGATGACCTCCGCCGTGTGGCCACTATGATTGTCGGTGGCCAGGTCAAGAACCCCGGCGGTGGAAGCGGTGCTCCTACCGTGGTGCTGCAGGAGGCCCAGGCCTATGGTGTGAGCAGCCACACCATGAGCTGGGATCAGATCCAAGACCGCATCGACAGCTGGAAGCTTGGCAGCTCGTCGTAGATTTGGTGATATTACGCCAAGAGATGATGTGCTGGTCACTTGCATGATGTCCTCCAGTAAGGAGTTGTATAATAGAGTGGGATATCTTGTAAAGCATATACCGGACATTGTGTTGTAGCGTTATGAGGGATAGGAAGGCAATGATGATCGGGAGAACATGTATTATATGAGCCCACGCGATTACTCTACTAGACTAAAAATCAAAGTATACCAGTATAAAACGTAGATAAATGAAAAAGCAAAAGTCTCCAATGTATATTATTCTCTATACAAAGTCTTGCTACCAAAGAACTCCTAATTGTATTGTTCTCCATCCATTCTGGGTATGAATTGCGCCATCGTAATCCGCTATATGCCTAATTGCTTGCCACTCGAATTCTGTCATGTCTAATGCCGTGTAAACACCAATCATAATATTGTCCAAATTCAATAAATCAAAGTTTAGATCGTACAGCCTCAAGGCGATACTTGACGTCCTTAAGGGCCTTATTGGTAGGCTTCCAATCGTCGAACTGTTTAAGCAACTCGTCCGCTTCACTGCTTAACTCAGTACGTACGAAATTCTCTTCTAAGATGCCGCGCATGATCCAGGGCAAGACATATGGGTTCTGAGACGTCAATGGCCCATTGCGTGGAGAGATGGTACATGGTGCTGGCGCTGGACCAGCAGGCGCTGTTTCAAGAGCGTGTGCAATTGCGAGATCGTACACTGCATCATCGAAGTATAGACGAGAATGGCCGGCACCGGAGTAAAGGGAGCCAGCAAGGGGGACGGACAGTTCGCGAATCAATCCATGGTCGGAAACACCAAGGTTGCGAAGCTTGAGAGCAAATCCGACAAGATGAGCGATGAAGTCAGGGGCGTGAACTCGTCCGTCGATAAAAACAGCTCGGTAGATGTAGGGATGGTTTGCAGGTGAGTAGACCGCGGACTACATATGTTAGCTGGGTTGGAGATACATGCAATGGGCGAAACTTACCTCCATCGGCACGAGCTGGTCGTCAATACTGCCAATGAATGTCACACGAGCCCCGTAGTCCACTACACGCTTCAGAGCGTTCTCAAAACGCTTGGAGTTATCACTCTCAGCGTTTCCAAATTCCCATAGCTCAGCAGCAGAGCCCATAAGTAGGCTAGACTTGTAGTCGGGAAACGGTCCCAGCGCAACTCCAGCCATAGCACAGACACCGACTTTGGCGTTGGTAATGATGCCGAGATCAATGAGCTTCTCGAGCAACATGATACTAACTGGAACCCCCTGCGAGTGGCATGCAATTAGAACAAGATCAGCCTTGCGGATATGATCAATCCAGTTAAGCATGAGCTTCCAGAGATTGTCCACGCGATCCTGGATCTTTCCTTCTCCCTCAAGAGCGACCTTCTCGATTTCACAATCACCACAGCCGTGAGATTCAGCCCATCTTCGAATCCCCTCAGCTCCAAGAGCAGCGAAGCGTAATGATGTACCTGTTGGCTGTCCAATCATGGGGCGCAAGTATGTTGCTGGGAACAGTCCATGAACGCCAATTGCAATGGCCTTTTTGATCTTTGGAGGTTTGTCCACTCGAAAGACATGGTTGGGAGGGGCTTGCTGTGTGCGAAGCAGAAGCTGTGTTAGCTGCTTGACGATGGATGGGTTGTCCTTCATGTGGTAAGTACTGGAGAAGGACGGCAGGAGAAGGTTGCCACCGGATAGTTTGGTAGATGCCTCTGATTCAGCGATGGATTGATCAGAAGAAGCAATCTTGGCTGGCGTCTTATCGGCATCTTGCGTAGGGGTCCCTATTCTGGTAGGAGTTGATGCCCCAGATGCTGAGGGTGACGCATGGTCCAGATCCATTGACTGTGGCCTGGCACGCTTGTTCTTCTTCTTCATCCATCGGGATTTGACTGGCGTCGGCGTGTCCTTCGTTTTTGAGTCTTCTGAGCCACTACCCTTTGTCGGTGACACCTCACTCTCTGCCATAGGTCGAGGATGGGTTTCTGACCCTTCCCCCATTACCGCCACTTCTCCATCTTCCGCTGGAGGTTGGCTTTGTTTCGTTTTTGGTGATTCTCTAGACCAAAAAGCCCAGGTGGAACCACTCTTGGGGGTTGACTCATTCTGTTTGGCGGGAGGAGAAGAGTCAGTCATGGCAACGTCTTCTGAGGGCGGTTTTGCGCTTGTTTCTTCTTGCTGCTGTTGGTTGTTTGTGCTATTCTCCGGAACTTTGGCAGGTTCGCTCAAAGGGTACAAATATCGAAACCAAGAAGTGGTTTGTGGTTCTTCAGCGTTTTTGGGAGAGGGCATCTGTTCTGGGGGTTCAGCCTGAGCTGGTGGAGTGACAGGTCGGGGAGTGTCAGCTTCCTTTGTAGTCTCCTCAATCTCAGTCGTCTGGGTACTTGTATCGGGCACTGGTGTTGTCTGGGTCTCCGTGAAAGGAGTTCTGGACCACCATCCTAGCCATCCTGACGAAGTTGCTGGCAGATGCTGAGCTTCATTTTGTGGTATGGTCGCTGCGGGTCGTATGTCAGCCTGAGATTTAGGCTGGGCATCACCGATCTCAGATTCCTGCGGTTTATGCGTTGTTGTTTCTGCGATCCCTGCGTTTTCTGATGGCTCTTGGCTTTCCATGATCTTGGATGACTCTCTAGATTGTTTAACATTTGGTTGAACTTGACTTTGCGATTTATTTTGCGCATCTTCTTCAGTCATCGTTACATCGGATTTGTTTTCTTTAATTTTCGGCATCGTCTTGATCGTATCGGTCGTACTTAGAATACTGGCGTTGTCGTCGCTCTTTTTCGCCTCGTACCGACTCAGATCGGGGGATTTATTGGATTTTACTGTCCCTCCAAAGATATTTTCTTTCGCGACGGAGGTAGATGCCGAGGCTTTAGGAACTCGTGGCCAGGAGCCGTACCAACTCCTCGGCCTTGGGGCCTGTATTTGTGTTAGATTGGAATCAAGTTGAATGAGAACCAGAATTCCTACGTCTTTGGTACTTCTTCGCGCTATAGCATCAGAGTCGCCCATGATCTGTTGCTCTGATGGCACCTCTGAGTTGGTGTTTTGATCTGTCTCTGCTGCAGGTGACGCCTGAGATGCCTGTGATTGTGACGTAGGGGTCTGTGTCTGTATTGTTGAGGTGCTGACCAGGGTCTGCGCGTCGTCCTTGATGGTCATTTCCTCAGAATTCGGCCTGGCCTTTTTTCTAGGAAACATATTGAGTTACGGTTCGCGTTACAGTTCACTCAATTCATAAACTTGTTTGAAATCTTTCATGTTTGTTATTGCTTTATCAAAGAGCTAATCTCTCATAGTGCCCGTCATGTGTTGATCCAACGTGCCTAGACTTCCATGGATGCTTCTGAGGGCCCCGCCGTAATCCGGACTAAGAAGGGACTGCGTTTGAGTGGAGCCTAGTTTGGTCCGGGACAAGAGCTCCATAGTTTTTTTCTGTTATCGATAAGCAAAAGGTAAAGAAAAATTTCGACCCAGCTGTATACAACTTAGACAGTGAAAGACAGAGCAGTTGGTGATGCGCCAACGTCTGTCATAATGAGCAACCTCAAGAGAAAGGACGCCCCTGGCGGCAATCCCCCTTCAAAATCAGCAAAGAATACAAAAGAAGCCCGACCTACAACAAAAGAAAAAGTCGGCAAAGATGCGAAGCCCGCTCCCAAGAAGAGCGCTGAGGCGCCTGAGAAGGCTCCCGTTGTCTCCATCTTGAAGGAGGAGGAACCAATGTTCCCTCGAGGTGGCGCCAGCATTCTCACTCCTCTCGAGCAGAAGAAGATCCAGATCGAAGCCAAGGCTGATGCTATGCGCGACGAGGAATTCAACACTGCTAGCAAAGACCAAAAGAAGAAGAAGCGCAAGACCGCTCTGAAGAGCGACAAGAAGCCAAGCAAGAAGAATGGAGACGAGGAGGAGGAACAAGCAGTGCGAGTTGAGAGTCTCAGCTTCAAGGTAAGCTGCCCAATTAGTATCGCATTCACGTCGGTCGCTGACTTTGATTTAGAAACTGGTCAAGGGATCTCTTGTCCTCGCGCAGGTCACACGAATTAACAACCTCGAAGTCGAAGTCGCATTACCAAACAACCTTACCGGTCACATCTCAATTGTTGCCATCTCTCCCCAATTGACTGAACGTCTCGAGAAAGAGACCGCTGACAAGGAAGATGACGATGAGGAGGAAGCCGAAGACGACGAGGGTATCGATCTGAAGTCAATCTTTGCTATCGGGCAGTACCTCCGAGCCTACGTGGTGTCCACTGTTGAGGAGTCTACCACCGGTGGAAAGGGCAAGCGACGCATCGAACTCTCTCTGCGACCCAGTGAGGCCAACAGTGGTCTGGACAAGGACGACGTCGTTCCCAACGCTACTGTTATGGCATCAGTTGTCAGTGTCGAGGACCGTGGTTTCGTGATGGATACTGGTGTTGAGAATCTCGGTGGTTTCTTGTCCCGAAACGAGGTCGATAAGAACATTGACGAAAAGAGATTGCAGCCCGGTTCTGTATTCCTGTGCCAGGTTGTCAGCAAGGGCGCCAACGGCAAGATGGCACAGCTTTCGCTTCAGCAGAAGAAGATTGGCAACCCCAAGAATCTCCCAGCCGACGCAACCACCATTAACACTTTCCTTCCTGGTACCATGGCCGACGTCCTCGTCTCTAATACCGATCGACGAGGTCTATCTGGAAAGCTTTTGGGTCACCTTGATGTGACAGCCGATATCATCCACTCTGGTGTTGGTCCAGCTGGTGTGAGCTTGGATACAGCCTACAAGGTTGGTTCAAGAGCTAAAGCTCGTGTTATCTGCAACTTCCCAGGTGCCAGAGAGCCCAAGCTTGGTATCTCTCTTCTTCCCCACATCACCACTCTTGAGAAGAAGAGACCTACCAAGTCAACAGACTCAAAGAAGAACCCCACTCAAGTGCTACCTATCTCATCTCTGGTAGAGACTTGCACAGTTCGCCATGTTGAGCCCGATATTGGTCTGTTTGTTGATATCGGTATTCCTGGTCTTAGTGGATTCGTCCACATCTCCCGAGTCAAGGATGGCAAGGTTGAGGCACTTTACGAGTCGAGCGGTCCTTACAAGGCTGGCTCAGAGCACAAGGGTCGTGTCGTCGGCTACAATGAAGTCGACGGCCTGTTCCAAATATCTTTCGAACAGTCTGTTCTTGAGCAGCAATATCTTAGACTCGAGGATGTTCCCATCGGCGCTGTTGTGACATGCGAGATCGAGAAGGTTGTCGTTGACGAGAGAGGTGTTAGTGGTTTGATCGTCAAGGTGGCAGAAGGAATCAGTGGTTTCGTCCCTGAGCAGCATCTTTCTGATGTACGACTACAGCACCCCGAGAAGAAGTTTCGACAAGGCATGAAGGTCAAGGCTCGAGTCCTCTCTACCGATTTGATCAAGAAGCAGATGCGTCTCACCTTGAAGAAGACCCTCGTGAACTCTGAGGCTCCTGTTGTTAAGTCTTACGACGAAGTCACCGTTGGCATGCAGATTCCTGGTACCATCATCAAGGTCCTGTCATCCGGTGCCATCATCCAGTTCTTCGGCACTGTCCAAGGGTTCCTGCCTATCTCCGAGATGAGCGAGGCCTATATCAAGGATCCCAAGGAACACTTCCGACCTGGCCAGGTGGTCAGCATTCACGTTCTCGATGTCGAGGCTGAGGCTAGAAAGCTGGTCGTCTCTTGTAAAGACCCTTCTGCTTTCGGTCTGGATAAGCAGAACGCTCTCAAGAAGCTCCAGCTTGGCAACACTGTCTCCGCCAAGGTTACACAGAAGACTGAAGATGAAGTGTTTGTCGAGCTCGTTGATTCTCAGCTTAAGGCCACCCTACCTGTTGGTCATCTGACTGACAAATCCAACTCCAAGAACCAATATGCTCTCAAGCGTATTGCCGTTGGGCAGACTCTTTCTGATCTGGTCATTATTGAGAAGGACGACAACCGACGTGTTATCGTCCTTAGCCACAAGCCCAGCCTTGTCAGCGCCTCAAAGGACAGAACTCTTCTTACTAGTTTCGAGAAGGCTAAGGAAGGCAAGATCGTTGCTGGCTTTGTTAGAAACATCACCGTTACGGCTATATTCGTCCAGTTTGCTGGAACCCTGACTGCTCTCCTTCCTAAGAGCCGACTAGCTGCCGACGTCCAGGAGCAACCTGACTTTGGCATGCATAAGCACCAGTCAATTGAAGTCAAGATCATTTCCGTCATTCCTGATCACCAGCGTATTGTAGTTGCCCCCGCTGACTACGATGAATCCGCTGAGCTGGACAAGAAGAGCAAGGCTAACGACAAGCCTGCTGCTTCGGACGACATCAAGTTCGGAACCATCGCAAAGGCAAAGGTCACCTCTATCAAGGATACACAGCTCAACGTTCAACTCGCCGACAGCAAGGTTCAGGGTCGCATTGACGTTTCTCAAATCTTTGACAAGTGGGAAGACATTCCTGACCCTAAGGATCCCCTCGACAAGTACAACAAGCACCAGAATATCTCTGTCCGTGTGATGGGAGTCCACAATGCCAAGGATCACCGATTCTTGCCATTTTCTCACCGTTCGCTGCACTCTGTGCTTGAACTTACCGCTAAGCCTAGCGACATCGAGGCCAAGACTCTCGAGCCCCTCTCCCTCGAGAAGCTCAAGGTTGGTGACACACATGTCGCCTTTGTCAACAATGCTAGTCCCAAGCACCTCTGGGTCAACCTCTCCCCTTCAGTTCGTGGTAGAATCCCCGCCATGGAGGCGTCAGATGACTTGTCACAGCTCAACGATCTGGAGACGAACTTCCCCGTTGGTTCTGCCTTGAAGGTCAGAGTGACAGGCGTGGATGCCCGCAACAACCGTCTCGACCTTTCAGCTCGTTCGTCTAACTCATCTGAGGCTGTTTCCTGGAATGCTCTCAAGCAGAATATGGTTCTTCCCGGACGCATTACCAAGGTCAACGAGCGCCAGGTCCTGGTCAAGCTTAGTGAGCTTGTCTCGGGTCCCGTCCACCTCCCTGATATGGCCGACGACTTCGATACCATTAACACTCTTGAGCAGAAGAAGGGTGATATCGTCCGTGTTTCTGTCGTCGAGCTGGACTCAAGTAACAAGAGACTTCGCCTTTCCACCCGTCCTTCTCGTATCATGAGTTCAACCCTCCCAGTCAAGGACAAGGAAATCAGCGACGTGTCCCAGCTCGATGCCGGTGACATTGTTCGAGGATTTGTCAAGAACGTCTCAGATAAGGGATTGTTCATCCTTCTTGGAGGACAGGTCACTGCCCTGGTAAAGATCTCTAATCTGTCAGACCGTTATCTGAAGGAATGGAAGGATAACTTCCAGGTTGATCAGCTTGTTAAGGGTCGCATCATCTCCGCTGACAAGCAGACTCGGCAAGTTGAGATGAGCTTGAAGTCTTCGGTTGTTGACGAAGACTACACTCCTCCTACAAGATACACTGATCTTAAGGAGGGTCAAGTTGTCACAGGCAAGGTCCGCAAGGTCGAAGAGTTTGGTGCTTTCATCTTAATCGACGACTCCGACAATGTCAGTGGTCTCTGCCATCGTAGTCAAATGGCTGAGCAGCCTGTTAAGGATGCCACAAAGCTTTACAAGGAAGGCGATGCTGTCAAGGCTCGTGTCCTATCGGTTGATGCTCAGAAGCGACGTGTCACATTTGGCTTGAAGCCTTCGCTATTTGAGGATGTCGACACCGACATGGACGACTCTGACGCGGGTGTTGGCCTTGAGGATGACAGCGATGATGACGATGTTGAAATGGACGACACTGAAGCTATTCTTAAGATTCTCGGAACAGACAACGCTGGCGACTCAGACTCAGAGGACGAGGACGAGGACGAGGACGATGATAACGAGGAAGACGAAGATGATGAAGATAGCGATGAGGACGTCGAGATGGAGGATCAACCAGCCAAGAAGTCCAAGGGTCTCGGTGCTGGCAAGAAGTCGGAGTGGTCTGCTGATCCCTTCGATGAGCCAGAGTCTGAGTCAGAGGAACAGCCAAAGGACGCCGAAAAGACCAAGAAGAAGAAGCGAAGCAGAGACGAGATCCAAATTGACCGAACTGCTGAGCTCGACGCCAACGGTCCCCAGACCTCTAGCGACTACGAGCGATTGTTGCTTGGACAGCCTGACTCCTCAGAACTGTGGATTGCTTACATGGCTTTCCAGATGCAAGTCTCTGAGCTTTCCAAGGCCCGAGAGGTTGCTGAGCGAGCCATCAAGACCATCAACATCCGTGAGGAGACCGAGAAGCTCAACGTCTGGGTCGCTTACCTCAACTTGGAGGTTGCCTACGGAACCAAGCAGACTGTGGAGGAGGTGTTCAAGCGGGCTTGCCAATACAACGACCAACAGGAAGTCCACGAGCGACTGGCCAGTATCTACATCCAGTCTGAGAAGCTCAAGGTAAGCTACTCCATAAGTATATCACGCGAAGTTGCAGTCACTAACTCATTAACAGGATGCTGAAGCCTTGTTCGAGACAATGGTCAAGAAGTTTGGCGCCAAGTCTCCCAGCGTCTGGCTCAACTACGCCCACTTCTTGCACGTTACCAGAAATAACCCTGCTGGAGCTCGTGCTCTTCTTCCCAGAGCTGCACAGCAACTCGGCCAGTCTCAGCACCAAAACTCCAAGAACAGCGAAATCCAACAAAACCTTATGAGCCGCTTCGCCGCTCTGGAGTTCCGATCTCCTAACGGTGAGCCCGAGCGTGGACGTACCATGTTCGAGGCTCTTCTCGATAGCTACCCCAAGAAGGGTGATCTCTGGAACCAGCGTCTCGATCTCGAGCTTGGACTTTCAGAGCCTGATCCTACTGCCGTTCGCGATGTCTTCGACCACCGAACACGTGCTAAGGGCTTGAAGCCACAGCAGGCAGAGAAGTGGTTCAGACGCTGGGCTGATTGGGAGGAGAAGATGGACCCCAAGGGCAGAAGCAAGGTGATGGCTAAGGCTCAAGAGTGGGCGGCCAGCTTCAAGGCTAAGAAGGAGGCTGCTGCTGTTGCGGCGGCAGCTGAGGCGGATGAGATGGAAGAGTAGAAAGCTGTTTCCATCAAAGTTTCAATTAGGATACCATAATGTATAGGGCCTTCAAAAGTTACTACAAAGCATAGAGTCAATTTTAGCAAAACAAATTATCAAGAATAAGCGCTTGAGCTCCCGCGAAAATAGGTAGTTCAATGTGAGAAAATGGATGGTTACTTCGAAAAGATGATAACCATCAGCCAAGCCTCAACACGAGATGATATTCCCAATGAACCGGATATCGGCAAATGGGAATTGGCGAATGACGATAGAAAATGATACATGCCGGTGGTATAGGTCAGGTCAGGTCAAGAAACTTGCATATGTACAGCTCAGGGATTACTCCTATGTAAAAGGTGGTTCTGTGGTACTTTGCTATCCACCAACAACGCGCCACGAAAGAAGTCACTAGGGTCTCGGCATAGCGGATTCATGCGTCATCCTGGTCTGAGCAGTTTAGCTGACTTAGCTGAATTACTGTGATCAACTCACGATTGCCTAATTCTGTTATAAATGTTTATGGCGGAGTAAACAGTGTTGATCACTTCGTATCGAACGATACTAGTTTGTTTAAGAGTTGGGGAAACATCGCAACGTTGCTTCGATTTCGATCTACCTCTCTATGAAGACCGCCGCTAGTCACAAGACCCTTATGACGTTCTGTGAGAAAAGGAATATTCTAATGCAGCCACAAAGAAGACATACACTTAGTTAGGTCTCACTAGTAGTCACTACGGATAGTGATTGTTAACTCTGAGGCCGTCAGATTCTGCCCTTACAGCGGAAGATTCGGGCTTAGATGGAGGGATCGGCAGTCGCAATTGGGGCGAGCTATGACGGGTGCCATGGTCTGTAAATAGATCCATCGTCTTCCCCGTTACATTGACCATGTAGTGGAGTTTTTTCTGTTTATGGTTTATGCGTTACTCTAGCAAGGCAATGAAGTCAAGGATAACGATGGGGATTATACCTCGAGTTGCATATATAAAGGGGACATTACTAGCTCATATAGATCCTACTCATTATCCTTCAACTCTCGACTGAACTCTACAACCCTCAACACAACTACAACTAAACCACTACCACCCAACTCAACCAAACAATACCGCCATCATGCGTTTCTCCATCGCTGCCGCTTCCGCCGCCCTCCTCGCTCTCGCTGAGGCTCGCATCAACGGTATCAAGGTCCCCAAGGAGATCAAGCGCGGTGAGGAGTTCGAAGCCATCATCACCCGTGAGGGCTACATCCAGAGCGTCCTCGACTCTTCTATCGTCTTCGGCTACGCTGCTGGTGACAGCTACCCTGGCGCCGTCGGCACACCCTTTGCCTCTATTCCTCTCGGATTCGGTAAGTTCTACTCTTCACTTACGAACTTTTCTCTTCAGTTCACTAACAGCAAAACAGAAAAGTCCAACAAGGCCGAGGACCTCACTGTCAAGCTTACCATCCCCGACAAGAACACTGTCATCCAGGATGGCGAGGGCATCCTTGCCGCCTCTCTCTTCAGCATCTACGGTTCTTCTGGAAGCCCTACCATCACCAACTACAACGTTACCGTCACTCTGGGCGACAAGACTAGCAGCGAGTACGTCGAGGCCTGAGGGTACTCAGTAAATGTGTCTCGCCTATAAAGTTTGATTACCCATCTTACGAGCCTCATGGTCATGAAACTTTGACGTGGTATTGGGGATGGAGACTGGATATGGGGACCCCATAAACAGGTTTCCTGCAATCACCGCCTTTTGCATATTCCAAGTATCTATTTAGCATGTTAGAACATACATAGATTTGATCTTTACGAACACTTGAATGAAAACCTGATTCATCAACATTACTTGTACAGTTGCAGTTGTGAAATGATGAACTACTGAAGCTCACCCTTAATCACCATCGGGAAGGCAACATGACAAAAATATAATTTAATCTGGCTAGGGTATCACTCTATGTAAAAAAGACATGCTCGATTAGCCTCCCTAATGCTTATGCTTATGCCCAAGTCTCTTGCTATGTACTGTCATATCACCATTGGCGCTGCCCCAAACACTGTCGCTCACCTTGGTGGGAATCTTGCGCCCTCGAAGGCGCTGGTCAATCAACCACATACCAACGACAAACTCTTGACGTCCCAATACACCTTCTCCTTTACGGTCGACCAAATCCCATACCTCTGCTAGCTCATCAACTGGTAGGCGCGAGCGCTTCCAGATCTCGCGAACGACCGTGTTAAGAACGTACTCGGAGGGTTCTCCGTTCATGGCTTCTTCAGGAGCGTTGGGTAGATCAAGAAGAAGCCCGCGATTTGAAGCCCACACTGCTTCGTATCGTTTCCGCTCACGGGGTGTGACTTCTTCTCTCCACTTCTTTCGAGAACCTTCATGGTGTGCATGTTTTCCCTTGTGGAGCTTCAGGCTTTTCTTTTTGTGACGGTCTGTGTCTTCTTCAACAGGTTTCGGCGGTTGCCGCAGTGTTTGCATCAGCCGAGGTGACTTTTGAGGTCGAGGCACTGGCGGAGCAAGACTACCTCCCGTGTGCTGTGGTGTTAGGCGAGCCGAAGCAAGCGACCCAGCGACAATTGCGCTGGTGAGAGATTCAAGTGGAAGACTTGTAGCTGATGAACTTTTAAAGTGGCCGCGTCTAAAATCTCGAGTTGGTGATGGCGGGTTACTACCCGTGAAATGCCGTTTAACAGAGTATACCGGGGGCGACTCTCGTACAGGCGACTGTACAGATGATGCAGAGACGAAAGTATCGTCTGAAGATACTGTAAGAGCCGATGTCGGTCGTGCCTCTGTAGGAGTCGGTGGTGTAGGCCTAGGTCGAGATAGTCGAGGTTCCAGTTGAGGAGCGGTCCGTTTTTGTGTGATGGTAAGTGGTCTATCCTGTAAGACACTCTTAGATTCAACTTGAGGTTTGTTTGTTCCCCTGGGTTGTGGTGGTGTCGGTGGCTGTTGCTTTTGTTCTATCCTGGGTCTGGGGCTACGTTTATGAGGATCTGGTGATGGTGGTGACAGAACTTGGGTTGCATGGCGAGTAATAATCTGAGGGGGTGTCTTCGGCCGTAGAACTGGTTTTGGAGGACGAGTTGGCTGAGGTGACAGTACCTCTGGAGCTGGTCTGCTTGGCGTCCGAGGCTCTGGTGTGAAAGGTCGAGGTTTCGGCTTAGGCTTAGGTTTCGGTCTCAAGTCCAACGAGCTTCTCTCTTCTGGGCGTGTGATTCGCTCTTCCGAGGTACTATAGTCCGATCCCTTCGGTGCTTTGATGGGAGTTCTCTTCGGGGAGTCGCGTTTGACAGGATCGCCTGTGCGACTCTGCTCAAACATGGAGATGAGTGACCCAGTGGGCGGAATAGAGCCCGAGTCAACTATCTCACCACTGCTTGATGAACCTCCAATACTCGTTCTCCTCCGCGGTGTTCGCGCTTTGGGACTTGGGCTAGCACTTCGACTGGCTGCCAGGGTAGCAGCGATGAAGCTAGCACTCTTAGGATCTGTCCTTCCGGCAGCCGTATTAGGATGCAGCTGACCCGGGCTGGCGCCCAACTGCTTCAACCTGGCAGCTATCGAGCCTCCATTTTGACCATATTGTTCAGCATCGATTGTGCTTCCGCCCGTGCTCTGCGTCCCGAGCCTCTTAGCAGGGCTTCGTGGGCGCCCAGCTGACGCAGCCGCGGTCAGCGCACCATTATTCTTCTTCTGCGGCGGCGGAGGAGCAGGTTTTTTGTTATTGTTGAAGGCGAGAGTTGCACCTCTTAGGGCTGCGGCGGCATCGGAAGAGCCCGTCGTATGGGCAGCGACGGGAGTCATCACCTTCAAGACGACATCGGATGGTTTAAGGAATGCGATATGAGGTCATTCAAAGAAAGCAGCGAAGAAAGCGAGGTCGAAAGGTGTTGCGCGTAAGAATACTGAGTCTGCAGATTAAGATAGGAGATATTATCAGGTTAAAAAGGAGAAGAAGAGATGGGGTTTGAAATCTGGAGGTTGGAGAAGAAATTAATCGTTTAGATCGAGGTCGAGGTTGAGGTTGAGATTACAGGGTTCACGTCAACCAACCTCTCGAGCTCAAGGTGTCGCGGCTGCCACGGAGGTCCCATTGACGCATGGTCCAGTGAAAGTGCATTCCAGGGACCCTTTTAGCGGGATGTTCCACCCTGTAGCACGCAGGTCTCGGGCCACTGAAGACGCTAGAGCTGCTCTGGGTTAAGCGGACATTAAACGGTTCATGTCTTGAGATGAGAAACCCCTGACTATCTTTGGAACTATCGAATTGTTACCAAGGAGACGGAATTTTTTCGATTCGCGAAATCTACTAAGCATTAATTCTGTACGGGGTCGAATGGAACATCCAGTCTCGCTACTAATAATCTCTTTGTTTGTCTTACGGCTATGCTGACCTCGATATGTGTTTTTGGAGCTGAGCTTGTGCTGACTAAGCATTATAGGCCAATCATTCCAAACTACCACTTATTTTATTGTCAATCGGCTTGATCAGCAAATCTATAGCCTATCAGACTATCAATCCACGACTCTAACTACAACTATATTCTTAGCGTCCTGGTGTGTCGTCTAGCCTGGGATGCTAAAAGTATCTCCGAAATGTATTGCGAGCTGAAGATACGGCGCAACCAGCTGATAAGTAAGTCAACTTTGATATGCAGTAACGTTGCCAATTAGCTGGAGCTTTATACGATACCGGTGGCGTTATCAGCCTTATGTCAAACTTAAATACCGGTACTGCCACAAGACATCGTGCAGAACAATAGGCTACTGATCTGTAAGATGATTCGCCAGGTTTCATCCCACTCAATTCTCTCTTTCGATTCAAACATTGTTCCAGTCAGTTGGTATGTATGTACAAAGTACTTCGCACTGCAACAATGGCAGTCCGGGTTTATGATGCGGAGAATTTCCGCTCGGAAATCTAGACCCGTCGGAATAATCTTCTCTTCGACATAGCGCTACATCAACCCGAATATGGAGTTTCTGCCGAGAGAATGACGTTCCTACATGATCCTTCATGTACGTGAATTAAAAGTATTGGGTACTATTACGCAGTTGCAGTCAGAAACAGTATAAGCTAATATGCACGAATAAGCACTTAGATGCTCGCTTGTAATGAATCAACCAATCCTCTCCTCCCCCCACCGGAAATTCCCTTTTTCGTATACACATGATTACTGCCTATTTCCGTTCCCGTCCATCTCATGAACCTGCGCCGCACTTGAATTCGGAGCCTCGACTGGGACTTGTGGTGATGAATGTTGAAGAGGAGAAGCAGATTGCTTCCAGGCTTGACCTGCGTCCACTCCATAAGGTTGAGGCGAGTTCTGGGCCGACATCTCTGGTATAGTTTGTTGTTTCTTGTTCTTGCTTCTGCGGCGGAGGAAGAATGCGAGAAGTCCTAGACCAGCAAGACCAACTACTCCACCAACTACTCCACCTGCAATAGCTCCTACGTTGGTTTTGCTCTCCCCGCCTCCTTCGTTCTGGGACTCGTTGGTGGAGGTTGAAGTCGGTTCTGTCGAAGTTGCTTCATTTGAAGTCTCGGATCCTGAAGTCTCTGTACTCGATTCGGTAGTAGCCTCTGCTGCGTAGATAGGTACTTCTAAGGTTGATAGTGAGGTGCCTTCTTCGTTCAAGACGGCACTAGTATAGCCGGACGTTGAGGCGCAGTAGAAGCCTTTGATGTTGCTTGGGTAGTAAATGGTAAAGCATTCTGCTTCTTCTTCATATGTGCTACTCGTGATATATGTGAGCAAACAGATCCAAACCTCAGTTAGTTCTCCTAGAACGGCTTACCATTTTCGGATATTGGTGTTTCGTCTGCAATCTTCATCACAGCTTTCCGTGTTCAAAGCTTCTCTGCTGCCGATACAGTTTGTCCAGAATGGTCTATCCTCGCAAAACTGGATCCCGTACTTTTCAGTTTCATACATACATTTCCGTCCTGTACCGCATGTCATTCGTAGGGTAGTTCCTGGGTAGTAGTCGCCACAACTGTTGTTTGCAGCTACGACAGCCACAATGGTTTCGGTGATATGGTGTTCTTCGCGTGCATAGATTTGAGCGATATCTTGGATTTCCGGCGGTGAAGTTGGCTCTGGAGCTTGAGGTAGTACGACTAGGGCACTCGCCATATAGAAAGATATAAGAGTCGCCGAGACTAACCCTCTCATAGATAAAGTCATCTTTGCAGTCAACATATAAAGCTAAGAAAAAGCTCAAGATTAGCGAGAGAAGAAAAGAAAGCTTGGATAAGAGAAGGAGAGAATATCATTCAGCGATAGTTAACCTGCTTTTTTCGCCCCCAAATCACACAGCCCTCGTCACTCTCCACTGTACCACTGTACACAAGGTGTAGCCAGCCGTTTCCACGCAGATCAGCCTAATATGTCTTGGCACTATTACAGCTTCTTACTGTAAGAGGACAGAAAAGCATTCATATTGCACTGATCGTTCAGAATCTGGTATCCAGCCCGGCCGTCACAGCCCATGTTCCGCCTGAGGCCAAGGATAAATCTTGAGATGATCTACAATGCAGGTCTCTAGATAGCCAAGGCATCTAATGGCTGAAAGTGGTGGTTGGGAAACTCATGTAACATAAACATTTCGGGTGATACGTCAACATAACAGGTTGTTACTACCTAGGTGGTTCGTAACCTAAAGAGACACAGCAGTATGTCATCTCCGAACTAGTCCAAAAGTCTCAAGCTCACTTACATATATCCTCTACGCTGACTTGAGACATAACACTACGCAGTGCTTGGCTATTATCTACCACGTTCAATAACTAATCGACATAACTACATGGCACAAAAGCTGACTGCCGAGAGCATAAGAAAAAGGATGGCCCGGGTGCTGTGTGCCAGTTTCGACCAACATTCGGATTGCTTGATATTACCACCTTAAGCTTCAGAGGATAATCCTTGTAGTACATGGTTAATACAGTTAAATTGGAGCAATAAGCTTCCCACGGTTATGATAGAAAGCTTCCAGTGTTTCTAGCCACTGAATCTTTATCAGCTCGGAGCTCATATGGTACCCAAACAACTCTCATGTCACCACACATGGTTCAACCCAGGTCAGTACGTAGATCCAATGCATATCATGTTCGTAGTCGCTTGCTTTGCTTTACATTGCATTCCACCTCCGTTTGGTAGCTGGGTCAATGAGGCTCACGGAGGGGCAATGTTCACACAGGAACATTGCCTTGAAGAAGTCATACTCGAGAAATCGACTTATAACTATACAAATACAGCACTACTGCAGTGATACAGACGACTGTTTTTCTAAATGCTACAATAGGTATGATGTAGTATATATCGATCAATACAATTTAATGTAATGATACATTCCAGATTCGAATACTCAATGGTCTAGGGTAACCACAGTAGCCTCAAACTCATGTGACCACGCGTCTAGCTCTTGCACGAGTCAATGATGAGACGTGTTTATCAAGACAAACGCACGCGCCAACGCCAAAAGCGGACATAACATGACACAAAGACAAATAATGCTAACAAAATTACCAAAGGGGGTGAAAGAGAGCTTCACCTCCGGACTCAAAAGTCCATGAAACGGACGATGCCAAACCCCCATGCTTGAGCACCACATTTATAAGTCTCAAACAAAATCGACAAAATGACTTCACCTATTAAAAAGGCCGCTGACCCCCAATACGGTGCATCTTTTGACCCGTGGAACTCATCATCAACCGGTCATCAACGGGCCGAGTCACGCCCTGGAACTGGCTGGCGTGAGTCCCGCAACCGCAAGCTCAACAGCCAATTCCGCAGCGGCTCATCAGGCGGCGAACGTTTAAGCGACACATTTGGCGCTGGATCAGAGGACTACAATGAGAAACACAAGATGCTCATACCCAAAGCGGTCAAAGAAAGAGCACAGCGGAGTGTGAGAGACATGCTTGTCCAACCGGGCAAAATGCGGGAGAGTTTGGGACTCAAAGATGAGGGGAAAGGGGAAAAAGCACTCATGCAATCAAGACGACAGGAAGACGAAGCACGGGAGGCGGAGCTCTCCAAGAGAGGTATCTTTGACGGAGTGGTTATTTACGTCAACGGGTCTACATTTCCTCTCATATCCGATCTCAAGCTAAAGCAGGCTGTTACTGAGCACGGTGGTCAAATGTCGCTGCATCTTGGACGTCGAAGAGTAACACATGTTGTTCTCGGGAGACCTTCCGGAGGACATGCAGGTTCTGGAGGAGGTCTTGCAGGAGGAAAATTAGAGAAGGAGATCCGACGAACTGCTGGATGCGGTGTCAAGTTTGTTGGTGCTGAATGGTATGTTTATCTATCTATAAACCTCGAAAGTCATGACTAACACTAGCTGTGTAGGATATTAGAAAGCCTAAAGTCCGGGAAGAGACTTCCCGAGGCACGCTTCTCGAATACCAAGATGGCACCAAAGGCACAAGGGAGTGTCTATAGTCTCTTCTCGAGACAGTCGAGTGCACACTCTCCTAAGAGCTGAAACTCAATCACTTGAACACGATACATAATACTGGAGTTTGATGAAGGCCACACTGGGAAACGATTACTTCACAGCATTGCATGCATTGGAACCAAACGGGCATAGGGGGTATTTTGATTTTGAGTAAACGGGAGGCAGCATGGAATGGGACTATGTTATCATTACGATCACGGCCGAGCTTAGAGTATGTGGCTCGTCTTCACAGGCGATATGGAATTATCTTATGAATGAGACCTGATTCATTACATCGTTACCTTCTTCTGTGCCAAGTTTGTACTACCTGCATCGGCCATTAAATAAATGACTTTCGGAAATATATCCAACGCTTGACGAAATAAAACACACTCATTACATTAATCTCCGAATACTCGAGACAACGCTTATAGGCGCGCCCTGACCATGGTATCCTCAGAATTACTGGCTTCTACCTGCCCAAAGTATTCGTTGATTCTGGCTCGAGCAACATCCAAGGTAGCCAAGTCCTCGATTGTACTGGGAACCATAACCTCTTTATCAAACTCGCCGCGAATGGCATTTTCTGCCATCTCTTTAAGCACACGCCGGAGCATCTTGCCCGACCGTGTCTTCGGAATCATACACTTTCCCTGGATGACACCGCCCAAGGAAGCTATGGCGCCAACCTGGCCGCGCACCAGCTGTTGGATTTCCTTGACAATTTGCTGATTCGGAGTTGCTGGATCCGAAGCGAACTGTTCCGATAGAGTCACAAAAGCAAAGGGCAGTTGGCCTTTGAGTGAGTCTGGTATACCAATGATGCAAACCTCAACAACGCGTGGATGTGTTGCAATAGCTTGCTCAATCGATCCTGCAATCTGTTAGCTCATGTATGTGAAAAGATGGACAAACACATACCGCTGGAGAGACGATGGGCGCTGACGTTTAGGACATCGTCACTTCTTGCCATCACATGGATGTAGCCTTGCTGGTCGATCCAGCCCGAATCACCGGTATCAAGCCATTTGCCCTCAAATCTTTTCAGATAACCCTTCCAGAATCGCTCTTCGTCTTGCCACAGAGTCCGGAATCCGGTCGGAGCAAGGGGCATTGCTAAAACGATGTTTCCCATGGATCCTCTTTCCACCTCGACACCTTCATCGTCAACGATGCGAACATCGAAGCCTGGCATTGCTTTTCCAGCACTGCCAGCCCGCAAGCAGGGAGGTTGATGTCCTCTGACATCGGTTCTTCGGTCCTTGCCAGCATGTGGGACGAGTGCTCTTCCTGTGATAGGCGAGCCGACCTCCGTTGACCACCAGTTATCGACCACCTGGGCGTTTGGAGCGCAATACCTCGTCATGAGATTCTGGTAATTCTCAATAAGAGTCGGTTCAGAACGTTCTCCAGCGAGGAACAAACCTCTCAAACTCTTGAGAGCCCCTCGTTTGCCGTAATTGATAAACATTTGACTGTTTGGATCATCCCGTCTGATGGCACGAAGAGCTGTTGGCGCAGTAAACATCGTGTTGACTTTGTACTCCTCAACTATCCGCCAGAATGCAGATGCGTCTGGTGTTCCAACAGGTTTTCCTTCGTACAATACAGTAGCAGCTCCAGAGAGAAGGGGACCGTAAATAATGTAAGAATGGCCGACGATCCAGCCAATATCTGAGGCAGTGAAGGAAACACAGCCAGGCCCAGTGATGTGAAACAGGTAGCTGATAGAAAGATGAAGACCGACAGCATGGCCACCAGCGTCGCGTAACACGCCTTTGGGAGTTCCAGTCGTGCCGGAAGTATGAATAATATAGACAGGATCGGTGCTCTTAACAGGGACACAGTCTGCTTTAATCCCTTGAGATCGGGCACTATCGGTCAGACTCTTCCAGTCCATCTGACCAGCGCCATGGTTAATATCCCATCGGAGCTGATCCCTTTGCCAAACAATGGTGTTATGTGGTTTATGAGAAGCTAGCTGGATTGCTTCTTCCACCAGAGGCTTGTAAGCAATCGGAGGCTTGTTGCCATCAATACCGCATGAAGCTGTAAGTATGGCTATCGGATGGCATGAATCGATGCGCTGAGCCAGGGCATACGGGGCAAAGCCTCCGAAGACAATAGAGTGGATGGCACCGAGGCGGTTGATTGCAAGGATACCTATAACTGCGGCAGGAATCGTAGGCACTATTGCGCGAGTTAATATTTGCTTCTGCAAGCAGAAATGATAGTTTACTTACTATACAACATAACAACATCACCCTTCTTTACTCCCTGCTCCCTTAGAGCACCGGCGAGTGTTTCGACTTCGTGAAGTAGTTGACGGTAGGTGTAAGTTTCCTTGGTGTTTGTTACAGGACTATCAAAGTAGATAGCAACTGAGTCTCCGTAGCCACCAAGAACATGTCGATCAACGCAGTTGTAACATGTGGATATCTCGCCATCAGGGAACCACTCCCAGCTGTCATGTGTAATACCATTTTTCAATGTCTTCTGTGTCAGTTGAATTGTCGAGGAGAACGGCTTATGCCAGTGAAGTTGCTCAGCCTGGTGTCTCCAGAATTCTTCAGGATCCTCAAGACTATGCCGTAGCACTTCGTCCTGAACGTGATAGTCATCTGTGTTGTCAGGCATACTTGGGAGTGATTTTCCAGCTGGCACACCAAGTCGGTTGTTTGACTTCCCTTGAAAGATTGATGAGTACCTCCGTGGTTTTGTAGGAATACCTAGCCTTGATACTAGCGGCAATGATGACAACGAATAACAGCGAGAATAATAATAGGGGCATGTCGGAGCTGAGACCGATGTGCTACGTGGACGAGCATATATGATAAAGCGGATAGCTTGTCTTAGTTTCAACGGCATCGGACTGCGATACCGACCAGCTCCGAGACCTCTTTGGCAGGGTATAAATAACTATACCTGGACGACGATCTCCTCGACTGTGACGAAACCCTTTGTTCACGGTACTAACGCTTGAGTTTGAGGAGAGAAGTCCAGGTGAGCTATTTCGAGTCTGCGGCATGAATCTTGATCGTAGAATGCCAATGCTGGAGAGTTGAGTATTTTAGAAGGCAAGTAGTGTGTTGGTGAACTCAGCTACTCCTGCCCTGTTACTGTTACTGCAACCGTACCGACGAGAAACAGTGATGGATGCTCTTTCCTTCTTTCCATCCTCAATCTCACCATTAGCCTCCATTTGCTTGGCTCTCTGGGTAAGCGTAACTGGTTCGCTTCCTTCCATCTCAGAGTTCCCCCGCATTTCTATTACCAAGTGGCAGGTGCGCCAAGATACAAGATAGCGCCTGCATCGCATCCAACTGTTTGTCCCTTCGCCCGGTAGACCTTTCCGGTAACCGTCGGGTCGGTACAGCCCCGAGCCGTGATAATCCCTATCGCTGTGTTGGTAAGAAAATGAGGCTTATTTGGTGGATCGATTTGACGGTGATATCCCGGGTGTTCGGAGTTGAAAGGAAGCATTAGGCTGCTCTTAGCTCTTATTTACTGCCGGTAGTTGCTGTAGTGCACTCCACGCTTTGATATTCCGCTGAAACCTAGATAGGAATGTCTCACTGCAACAATTGGTTGTTTACCTTGCTACTGACCGCTCTACTCTAGAAGCACGATATCGTCCTGGGTTCAACAACAGCAGTTGGCCTCCATTGTCGGTGAGCAGATGAAAGAATCCCTGTCACGGTACTGCAGCCGTGTCTAGGGACTCACCGAAGTTTGTCGGAGTAATGGCAATGTGAAAAGAGCCAGCTCTATGGACTTACACAAAAGAACAACACCAAGTTCATGTTCCACAACTATCGATGCGCAAATTGTTTGCAGATCGTAGTTACCTACTCAATTGTAGACTTATTCGACGACACCTTTACTTGAGACAGCGTTGCAAGAACCAACTATATCGTCTTGTCTTTCATCGTGTCTATTTGATGCTTGCCCAGTAACTAAAACACAGCACTCAAGTTGAGACAGCCGCCTGATTCAATTGACCGGTAGTAAGAACCACGGTCTGCACGCCCTCCAACGCCTTTCCCGGTGCCCGTCTCACCAGGCCGACCACCATGGCGGTCTTGTCGAAGTGGCTGCATCACTCAAACGTCGTGGCGTTGATATACATCGAACGTAACCATCAAAGATTGTCCAACGATTTCGAAGGCTGATGTTGGTTAATTCATCAATCGTCGTCGCATTTCATACAATGCCAGAGAATGGGAATACAACACTCAAATAACTACTGTGCCTCGAGACAAAGCGTCTGAAACAAGGTCAAGACATCACGACCAGGTCATACAAATACTAGAGAGAACTTAGATGAAGTGTGCCGGACCAAAACTGGCCTCTCAGCAATGTTTGCTTTGCCTTGACTATGATACATGATTCCCTCAGGCTCGCAGAAACATTGATAATTGACAAGAGACCATAAACGCGCCCAGCTCTAAGGATATGTATGCTCAAATGTCCTGAAAGCAAAACGATTGGACACTAGAGATTGTTTACCAAAGAAAAAGTATGTATCAAGAATAGGAAACAGGATTCGAGGTTGGAATGCGTCTCTTCGATGAAAATTGATAGGTAGCAGCAACAGGAGCGAAACCTGCGAGTGAAAGCAAGACAAGATCGTCCTATTTTTGCAGCCATGAAGGCAACATAAACACATTATATTCCCATCCTCGAAAGAAGATATCTCACACACAGGGAATATGCGAGCTCCTTCCGAACACCGAGACAAAGCTTATATATACAAGAATTTGTCTCAAACCCCTGCAAAGCGTGGCCATCATTAGACAATAACTCCATAGAGCGGTGCAGTGGTATACCGGTTCTCCCGTATCGTATGTTCGTAAACCCAAAAAGATATAAAAAAAGAAGTCCTATACAGTTCCCTGAAAGATCGCTTGCGTATTCCCAAATCGAATCGAAACCATCGCTAACTTTCCCACATCGTACCCCCAGCGTGAATTAGGTATTTACCGGGCGTAAGACGTCGTAGGCATTGAATGCTAGCAGCTGATTTACAGGAAAGCAGCGAGAGCGACCATACCAGCGAGGCCGGCACCGGAGAGGGCAGCGACCTTGCCGGCACCGGCAGTGGGGACCTCGCTGGGGGAGCCAGCGGTAGGAGTGGCACCAGGGCCGGCGGGGTGGTCACCCTCACCACCGTGAGAGGGCTTGCCAGTAGGGTAGACGGGGACCATGGTAGAGTTGTGGCCCTGGCCGGGGTGGCCGGGCTTACCGGGGTGGCCAGTAGGCTTGCCAGGCTGAGGGCTGGAGAAAGAGTTAGAGTCATGTTCATAAGGCTGGATATTCATTTTCAGAGCAACTTACCAGTCGTGGCAGACAACAGCGGAGGTGGTGAGGACGGGCTTGGTGACGGTGCAAGGGCAGTCAGTGATGGTCAGGGTGGTGGCCTCAGTGACGGTGTAAGTCTTGTCGCCGTGAACGATCTCAGTGGGACCGGGGCAGTAGGTGGTGTAAGCAGTAACGACCTCGGTGGTGTAGGTAACGTTCTTGGCGTGGGCGGCAACGCCAGCAGCGAAAGCGAGAGCAGCAGCGAACTTCATTTTGAAGGTTGGGTTTTTGGTTTTGGGGGTTTGGGTATTAGATTAAGAGGTAACTCGAAAGTTGTAGTTGAGGATGTTGCTTTAACGAATGAAATTGACTGAAAAGTCAAGGTATAGTAGCGAAAGTGAGTGTGTGGGTGAGGAGAGAAGAAAGAAAGGAATCTACAACGTCTGGAGGACTCGAGCTTTATACTGAGATGAAGAGGCCTTCGACTCCAAGTAGCTGCAGCAGTAGGGAGATTGATGGGGATGATTATGGGCCAGGGTGTGGCACTGGCCAGGAACCGGACTCCACCGGACCACACTGATGGAGGGGTGGAGACCTGGAGATGGGAGGACAGGGACCAGTGGCAGGGGGTTATGGGGGGTCCGACTCCTGACAACAGGTGGATGTTAATTAAAAAGTACGAGCATAACACAGAAGAGCACATCAGACAATTCTAGAGCCAGGTTTGTGAGAGACACAGACAAAGATAGGCTCATTGTCCGGTGGCGTTTTCTCAGAATGAGATTTACAGGGGTTAATGAGATTGAGTACAGTCTCTGATTGGGTGACTCGGTTTTTCTTGTCATCGTCCAGTTACCATCCAATCCATTCAATTATCCAGTCGTTATTATTCCAGGACGGAGGCAAATGAGCGGCGATTTTACAGGGTTTAATCTCTGATCTGATGTTCAAGAACGGATGACTCTCCCATTGTTAAGTTCAATGGTTTAGAGATAGCATCCTACTAATGTAGTCAGTAATATGAGTCCATGGTCAATATTGAACTTGAAGATAGCATTCGATGCTCATTATCCCCTTCTCCGAATCCTGCTTCCAGAAACAGATACAGCATCAGCCAATTCTCATACAGTAAAGTTCCTTATCAGTCATTGAGGCCCATATCTATCCAGAATTAGAAGTGGTCTCTACCCCTGTGATAACAACTGACAGGACGTTGATATTGGATGAATGAGCTGGGAAAGGGGATGCTAGTGCTAACCTCAAAGTGTGTGTGGGGAGGAGGCCCTTCCACTTTGCCTCGTGCCTTTGTGGGGTGGCAGACAAATCTCACACTCTGAAGGGTATCAAGACCGAGACAAGACTAAAAAAAGGAACCAAGAGACAACACAAGACTTGAATGTAACACAAAACGATCTGGAAGTCGGTCTCTACGAACAGGTAGTGTACCGTGTGTTACATGCATATCTAGGCGCTGCACATGTCGGGCTTCCAATCTATATCCCGAGATTGCTCTCACCTGTGTATGTAAGATGAATAATAAACGCATAATAACGGGCGATATTGCAAGCAAGAAGGCAAATGGCTGTTTAATGAGAAAGATTTGGTGATTCTATAAATGGTGTCCAACGGACGAGCCGAGGCGGTCCGATGTTCCATGTGGGATCTGATTCAGAAATGGGACTTTGTTCCATTACCAGGGACATACCGAACCGACGGGACATGGATGGAACGTCTGGCTTGCTCTGGAAGATGAAGAAAGTCAATCCTGAAGCAACAAAGTCACGAGTCAGCAGATATATGTTTCTGGATTATGGGCCAGATCATGCTTGCAATTCAACCTCAATCACGGCTAGTTGACTTAAAGGAACAATAAGAAAATAAGCAATGAAAATAAGCCAGAGCCAAGCCTTTTCCAAAGGATCACAGTGATCGATCGATTAGCCTCCAGCAGAGGATTGCGCGTCGTTTGGACGATCTCAAGGCTAAGGCTAAAGGAAGCTCTTTCGTCTGCAGGAATAAGATCAAAATCATCAAATGAGAAACCACGGACGGCTTGTCGCGTGGATGCGAGGCAGCCACCCGGTTCCTTCCAACAGGCTAATGTCCAATGAACAAAGTGGAAGGCACGCTACAGCACGGTAGACACCCCTAGCACCTACCTAAAGGCACCCAAAATTTTAGCTGGTCTTGCAGCTTCCTTTTCTGGGCCACGTTGACTGGCTGGCGGCAGGCGTCCTGCCCTGGCACAATGCAACGCTAATGCAGGAACAAATCTCTTCCCGCTGTCTGCCCGCCAATCCCCTTATTTTGGCAGTCTCAGACGACTTCCGCACTCCTCCAATCACCGTCTCTATCTTTTTTATCTGGCTCCTATCGACTGTTGCACTCTTTTGCAACGCCGCTGGTTGGGACAGGATAAGCACATGGATGAACAACAACCCTGGTGCTGATTATCATAGGCAAACAACCAGCTATCTAGATCCCTCTGATTGGCTATATCAGTCATGCCAGCCATGATCTGACCAGGCTCAGACTGTCGAGTCTGACAATCGCTGTGCTCTGTATCATAGGGCAACCCGACAGGGCAGGCAACAAATTTCTGACTCTTGACGATTGCTTCTCTTGTGTTCATTGGTAGACATCCGAAAGGAACCATGCAGCCTCGAACACTGACTAGTGGACCTTTGTCCACGGTAGTCAATGCCCCGAATTGACCCATCCCGGCATGCAGAAGCAGCAGGGGATAGTGGGAAGCGAACTGGGGGCGGTCTGCTAAATGGCCCAAAAGGCGGAATACTGAACAAAGTCCTCACTTTCTGAATCAAAGCAAACATGGATGGAACATGGAACGCATGGCGCCTGACGCCACACCGACAGCTTGATGAAGCGGCTCGTTCGAGTCACCCAGAGCTTGGTGGAAAAACAAGGCGAACAGCCGTCATATCGGCTAACGGCAGCAACTCTGCTGCTTCCTGTCAACGTTGTGTTTTACCTAAAGGTGGAGCAGCTTCTGAGTTGGCAGATGGATACTGTAGCATGTCTGTTGACTTGCCTTTTCCAGGGTTCTCCGTCGACATCTTGACCCTGAAGCTTCGAAACAGTCGCTTCTGTCTGGGCCATTCTTATGCTTACCTGGATTGGCTTCTTTAGCAAATACGTTCTCGTCTCTTCGGTCGAGGTCTTCCCGGTGAACAGACTATACTTTCAAATTTTGGAGAAAAAAAATTGATAAGGCAAGTCGCCAATTTTGGTTGCTGGATACTACCCTCCATAATCTCTTTCCTGGCCGCTTGGACGCACATATCTTACCTATCAGGCAACTTCAAGATCTACAACTATCACAGCCTTATCTTTTCAATTTGCTGATCCATGGTCAGTTCTCTTGGTGTGTGATCAAGACCAGCATCGGGCTCCTCCAATACTAAAGACAGGCTCTGTTTGGTTTGATCAGTGAGAAACATTATCGCCTGCTCGTATTTTCTTCATTTCCTAATGGAGCGCGGGGCTCTTTCGATTTTTGAACTTCTTGTCTCGTTTTAGCTCTCACATCCCGTCTGGGTCGACCCACGGTTCTAGCAGTATTGACATTGACCCCATCTGCCCATCTCGATTGTGAGTCCACACAATATGAGATATAGTTGCCAGGGTCTTCAGGTAGCTCTTTTGATGGCCGCCGACAAGCTTTTGGCCGCTTCTATCCTAAAGACATACCCATGCCAAGTTTGGATCGATGTGATCCGATGGATACGGTGGATGTAGCGAATGCTTGGCGCTTGATCGCCTTTTGACCATCTTCACGTATGAAGCATCATATCCCAAACTACTGGCTACCTACAGCTTCATAAACTGGGAAGCATCATGCTGCCTTATTCCAGTTTCAATGTTTCGTTAAATCTTTGTGCCCGAATTCCGTCTGCCTGGTCGACCAAGGCTTTCCTCCCGCTCACACTTGCTGCAAGGCGTTGGATGTTCCGCAAGCCACTCAAGCCTTTTCGAGAGACTAGGATCAACTCAGAATGGCTAATTCATCTCCCAGGGCCTGTCGGCGATAAAGTTTGTAGCCACTCAAATGTGCGTGGTTTCTTGGTTGTCGTTCGCAAAAGTACTCTATACAGAGACTATGGTACTTGTACCCGGACTTCATTTCCACCATTCGTGATGGTTGCGAGATGATCCATGCAAGTACACATCAACCGCTCTGGTCGTTTCAAATCCATCCCGCCAGGAAGCTTGGCCGCATTGGCGCTTTTGCATTTTGAAGATCCTGACAATTCTTCGCATGGGAGTTGTTATCTTACAGGATGCTGTTTTTGCTTGAATTATTGTTTGTTTACATAGTACAGAGCAAGTGGACAATCAAAACGACTCTCCTTCACCGGCTCCACGCACTACCCAGAACCAGTGTTGCTAATGATGTGATTCTAACCTAATTAGATTTCAACCGATCTATATTTGGGCAGCTCAATTTGCCATCGTAGAAACCGATCTCGAGATATCACCGCGATTTAATTTCCAATCCTTGAGCTACTGTGTATAGTCGAATGGTCATCTACTGAGAAGGCCTAGGAAGGCTAGAGGATGTCGATCGTTGCCAGTCCTCCGGATGGTCTAACTTGACCATCGAACTCGGTCTGAGAAGAGGGAAGAGTTGGTTTCAAGGGGACTTTGACTGATCCTAATCACTCGACAGAGTTTTACTCCTGCCTCCGATGCCTTTGATGGCTCTCATTTCAGTCAGATCTATCAAGTATTATCTCAACTACCTACCTACGTACCTAGAGCAAGTCGTATACCGTTGCTGCTGAATATGTCCCAGAGCCGAGTTGAGATTTGATAGTTATGGTTTTGGTCAATTGAATCCTTGCATGTTACATGGCGACTGGTTTGTATATAAAGAGGTTTCTTATGTTTTACTGACTGATGGATACTTACTCGAGTCAAAGTAACTGTACGCTTCTGACTCTGACCAAGAGTCACCACCGAATAACAATAACAACAACAAAATTCTTCGGTCAATTCACCTCGATGTTTGAGAACGGGCTTTCTAATACGTTGGTCCATTTACATAAGTGTACTTACAGCTCGGGGTCTCTATTGCAATTATTCGCATCGCAATGTACATTGCCATCATGGTTTTCAACAAGTGAACCTTCCTCACATTTCTCATTACGCATGAATGTTGTGGCTACATACCATCTATCTACGGCAGATCGACCCGTCTCTTTTTATGGGGATGTTTGCGGCGGAAACCTCGGCTCAAAGTTGATATTCTCGCGACGTTCGTCTCCAGTGCTTCCATTGACGTCTGTGAGGCTGCTGTATTAGTAATGTACGTCATTGCCTCTCAGCAAGCAATGCAACTCTTTAAAAGTCAGAGCCTCTGACTTCATTATGCGTTTATTCCCATCAACAACACTGCAAACAATTGACATCGACATATAAGGAGAAATAATGACTGAATACATCAAGGCAGTTGGTACGAATACACGACGTCAGTTCTCAATTGCTTTGTCTAACAATACCCCACAGATATCCGAGGCGGCACTGGCGAGCGTGATGCCCTCTTCATCAATGACAAGACTCCCAAGCCTTCTGCTGCCGAAGGGCAGGCTATCGTAAAGATCAAGGCCTTTGGTATTAACCGCATGGATATAATCCAACGTCGAGGCTTTTATCCACTTCCACCTCAAGCACCTAAGACACTGGGTGTTGAGTTCAGTGGTATCATTGAGTCTTTTGGATCTAGTGACCATGGTGGTTTCAACGAGGGCGATGAAGTCTTCGGTCTAGCCTACGGCGGCGCGTACGCTGAATACATCGCTGTCAGCACTCGTATGCTGCTCCACAAGCCATCCTCCATCGACTTCACCACTTGCGCTGGTGTCCCCGAGGCCTGGATTACTGCAACCCAGGCTCTGCATCTTGTTCTTGGCTTCACCAAGGGCAAGTCTATTTTGTGGCATGCCGGTGCTTCTGGAGTTTCGGTTGCTGGTATTCAGTTGTCTCGCGTTGCCGGCGCTTCCGAGATTTACGCCACAGCTGGATCTCAGGACAAACTCGATTTCATCACCTCCAAGCTCGGAGCGACAGCTGCCTTTAACTACAAGACTCAGGACTGGGCAGAGGAGATCAAGAAGGCTACAGGAGGTAAGGGTGTCGACTATATTGTTGACTTCGTTGGTGGAAACTATTTCCAAAAGAACCAGGACGTTGCTGCGCGCGACGGACGTATGGTACTCCTGGGAACGCTCAGCGGTGCTAAGGTTCCCGATGCCGATATTTCTCAAATCCTGTTCAAGCGACTCCGCATCGAGGGCAGCACACTTAGAAGCCGAGATGAGGAGTACCAGGGCGAGCTGCGGGACCGCCTGGAAAAGTATATCCCAGACTTTGAGAACGGCAACCTTAAGATCTTTGTGGATGAAGTTTTCTCGTGGGAGAAGATTCAGGAAGCTCATAAGCATATGGAAGATTCCAAGAACCTTGGCAAGATCATTTGCACAATTCCTTGAATAACGTCTCTTTAAGATAGGCTGTAAGTTTGGTTGAATGAATGGTAATAATTAAACACGACTTGACTTCACTTTGACACATGGATAGGGTATAAACAAATAATAGAAGGATATCAGATCAATAGATTATGCCATCTTTCAACTCATACATGACCAGAGCTGATTACCAGTTACATAAGCCTTCACTGACATATAACCATACCAAAAGAGAGTAAGGAAATCACATCTGTGCGGTCTGAACGCTTGCATCACGAAAGCAAAAGGTATCATGGTATTCTTAGTGAGCTTTGAGCCAGTTGAGCATCTGGTCGTAGGCAGTTGCTTGCGCATCTTTAATAGATGGGTCTTGGTACTGGCCAACGACAGCGAATCCTGAATAGTTGTTAGTCCGTTGCAATCACATATATGTAATGAATTTGTACTTACCGTGGGGAACACCAGGATAGACCTGGACTTCGTGCTCGACGTTGGCGTCAGACAGGCTATCTTCTCCACCTATCCGCACCTCATCAGGGAAGAGAGGGTCATTCTCGACACAGACCAAGCTAATGGGAGCACTGATGTCCTTGAAGTCATCAGGGACAACGGAGGCAGCGTGCGCTAAGGCACCCGCCTTGATGTATGGTCCGTTCTTGACATCGCCGCTCTCAGCATCACCCTCGGTGGCATTTTTCTTCTTAGCGAGCAAAAGCACAAATCGTGCACCAACACAGTATCCAGCTGCGTAGATACCGTCGCCCTGCTTGATCGCATCGGCGTATTGCTCCTTCGCAGCATCGATGACCTTGTGGAGGATGGGCATAACCTTCTCGTCTGTAACGCGAGCGAGCCACATATCGATGAGGAACGACTTTGTGACCTCGACAGCCTTGAGCTTGAATTGTTCGAGGATTGATGTGGAGTCGTCCGCGATAGCTGTTGCGCCAGGAGCTGTGTCACCATCGAAAAGATCGGGCATGAGAACGAGGTAGCCCTCCGAGGCGAACCTATCGGCCTGGATCTGGTTGTTCGTAGATTTGATACCAGTACCGCCGGACAGGAGGAGAAGGAGTCGCGATGGCGCATGAGGGTAGTCGGTAGGTTTCGAGATGTAGACCTAAGCAAGGGAGGGTCAGCTTAGAGCGTAGAACTTGGGAGCTTATAGAGCTTATAGATAGACGTACATCGACATCGTTGAGCTTGATAATCTCACCAGTAGATGACTGGCCAGATGCTGGTATTGTTAGTGACTCGAGTTCTCATTATTCGCGAGAGGTAGCATACGAGTTGGTCGGTCGGACACACAATGCTCGCCCACTACGGCAGCTGGGATAGGAGCTTGAGTGTTGTCGCTGGCCGCAGGGATTTCCTGGGCGTCGCTCTCAGGCGCACGGGTGGCATTCTCAGCGTCGGCCATTTTCGAAGTTTGCGAAGTACTGTTATCTTGTGTTTGGTTTTGGGTTGTTGGTGAGTGAAAGGACAATGAAAGATGGCGCTGCGTTGCACGTGGAGGGGCAGTCTGACGTGCGCAAATAGCTAGGCGTAGCTAAGCTAGAATTCAACACTCAACGTCATGTTGGAGGGGTAACTGAGAGTGAAACAATCTATCCATTGAACTTCATCATTCTCTTGCAGTTTACTTATAACTACCTAGGTAGAAAGGCTAAATGAACTTTTAGATCAAATCAAGATGATTAACTACAAGTGCTTGCTTCTTCGCAACTTTTCTCGATCATGTATTAGTATAGCAATTAGAACCAGCTTTCGAAGTCCCTGAATTCTAATGCCTTAGGTATGCTAGAATGAGTTTACATGTGATTAATACTCGCTAGAAACATAGATACGGACTCGAATTATATTTTAAATTGGAATCATTACAATTTCTATCTGTTTCAATGAGTCTCGCATCGAAGATTGGTTATAGATTGTGGTAGACTTCTTGTTGTGGCACAAGCTGCCGTGCTTGAAATTTTCAAGGCCATTCAGTGAAATGTGAACAAGATGCGCTTGATGAGCTCACAAGATTCATACCTAGTAGTTCGAGATCAGTCCATTCTATTTCTGCCTAGAAGGACCCAGCTGGGCGGGCGACGACAGCCTTCAACTGCCTGCCTCTTTACGTAAGTGACCCCGCGATTTCTTGCCACAAGCGCGTTCCACTCAACGCGCTGAACGCGTCTGCAGGCACCTTCTTTCCCTAGCTCACTCTCTGTTCATCACCTCTCCAACAAAACTACCACCAGAAAGTCTCCGCTTCATCAACACCTACGATCTCACAAGAACGAAGCGAAATCAAAGTAAAAATGGCCGCCGCATCAGCGCTTTCTCAAGGTGCCCTTGAGTATGTTTCCATCTTCTTCTCCTTATTCTTCTTCCTCACCTCCTCCTGCCTTCTTGCTTGCTAACCTTTGCCAGCGTGATCTTCAATGATCCCGATAAAGCCGCCAAGCTCTTCCCTGTACCAGTTCTGCAATGTCTCCAAGTCAAGCAGATGGCCCCTTCGGCCCAAGGAGGAGACAGATTCCGCCTTGTCATGAGCGATGGCCAGCACTATGTCCAGACTATGCTTGCTACTCAAGCAAACCACGTTGTTCACGATAATAAGCTGGTCCGAGGTTGCATCGCCCGAATCAAGCAATACACACCCAACAACCTGAAGGGCAAGAAGTACGTGTCTGCCTAACCCGTCCTTGACTATCTCTAACGATCAATAGTATCCTCGTCATCCTCGATATCGAAGTCATCGAATCTCTGGGCGTACAGGAAAAGATTGGCGAGCCGTCTGCTGTCGACTCGAAGCCAGCTGGCCAAGAGGGCGCCATCGCCGGAGGCGATTTCTACGGTGTCAAGAAGGAGGAATCGAAGACACAGCCTCAGCAATTCCAACAACAACCACAGCAATCGATGCCCTCAAGACCTGCCACGCACGGTGGTAGCAACATCTACCCCATTGAGGGTCTGTCGCCCTTTGCACACAAATGGACCATCAAGGCCCGAGTCACTGCCAAGTCCGATATCAAGACATGGCACAAGGCCACTGGTGAGGGCAAGCTTTTCAGTGTCAACCTTCTCGACGAGAGCGGTGAGATCAAGGCTACTGGTTTCAACGATCAGTGCGATGCTTTCTATGATCGCCTGCAGGAAGGCTCAGTTTACTACATCTCTACCCCCTGCCGAGTCCAATTGGCCAAGAAGCAATTCTCCAACCTGCCCAACGATTATGAGCTTACATTCGAACGCGATACCGTTATCGAGAAGGCAGAGGACCAGACCAATGTGCCTCAAGTAAGATTCAACTTCTGTTCGATTCAAGAATTACAGAGCGTGGAGAAGGACAACACTGTCGATGTTATTGGTGTGTTGAAGGAGGTTGGCGAGGTTGGAGATATCACATCAAAGAAGGATGGCCGACCTTTCCAGAAGCGAGAGTTGACTCTGGTAGATGACACTGGCTTCTCGGTCCGTGTCACTATCTGGGGCAAGAACGCTAACTCGTTCGATGCCGCTCCTGAGTCCGTAGTCGCCTTTAAGGGCACAAAGGTGTCAGACTTTGGCGGCAAGAGTCTCAGTCTCCTGTCTTCTGGTACAATGACCGTCGATCCTGACATTCCTGACGCTCACAGACTCAAGGGCTGGTACGACTCTACTGGCCGAACAGATACATTCGCTACTCATCAGAACATGGCCTCTGTGGGTAGTGCTACTGGACGAAAGGAAGATCTCAAGACCATCGCTCAAGTCAAGGACGAGAATCTGGGCATGGACGACCAGGCTTACTACACAATCAAGGCGACCATTGTTTTCGTCAAGCAGGACAACTTTTGCTATCCCGCTTGTTTGTCGCAGGGTTGCAACAAAAAGGTCACACAGATGCCCGATGGCACATGGCAATGTGAGAAGTGCAATATCTCTCATGAAAAGCCCGAGTACCGGTATATTCTGTCATTGAACGTTGCCGACCACACCAGCCATCAATGGCTCAGCTGCTTCGATGATTCTGGCCGACAAATCGTGGGCCGAACAGCTGACGAGATGATGGAGCTGAAGGAAAACGACGACAACAAGTTTATGGCGGCGTTTGAGGAAGCCAACTGTAAGAAGTTCACCTTCCGATGCAGAGCCAAGATGGACAACTTTGGCGAGGCTCAAAGGTAAGTCATATCCACACATGATTGCTTTGAATAAAACTAACATGATTCCTTAGGATACGATATCAAGTCATGACCGTGGCGCCCTTGAACTTCAAGTCTGAAGGCGAAAAGCTTAGCGAGTTGATCAAGCAGTACGAGGACAGCTCGCTATGATAAGTTTGGAGTTGCTATGTTGGGTGATCGGGCGCGTAGGCTGGCCAAAAAGGGCGATCCGCTGGTTTATTGCTATACCTTTTGCGAAGCTGGATCGAAAGGTATTTTTTGTTACTGGGTCGTCGGTATGACATAGAATAATGAGGCAAATACTGCAACACAATGAAACTTGATACGATAGATTCGGATTGAAATCGTGACCTCAGTGGCCTATTCGAGATGCTTAATAAACTTTTATACCCAACGCACTCATCTTACATATTATCCCTTTAACCCGGACGCTATTTACAGGGACAGCTTCTCATGCTTCCAGGGCTTCTTGCCCTCGCCATCTCCATAATCAGCGGTAGCCTGGTAATCGCCTCTGATCTTGTACTTGTAGATGGTGAGACCATCAAGACCGACGGGGCCACGGGAGTGGATTTTGTTTGTGCTGATACCAACCTCAGTACCGAAGCCATATCGCATGCCGTCGGCAAGACGGGTAGCAGCATTCCAGTACACACCAGCAGAGTCGACCTCATTCATGAAACGTTCAGCCTCAGCAGAGTCAGAGGTCATGATGGCATCAGTGTGGTGAGAACCGTGTGTGTTGATGTGAGTGATGGCCTCGTCAATCGAAGAAACGGTCTTGACACCAATTGTAAGAGAAAGGTGCTCGGTATCGTAGTCTTTAGGAGTAGCGTCTTGAACACCTTCCAGAGATAGGGAGGCAATAGCAGCCTTGCTGGCTTCGTCAACGCGGAGCGAAACGCCCTTGGCAGCCAGAGCGGAGGCGACTCCGGGGAAGACAGTGTTGAGAGCGGACTCTTGAACAAGAAGGGTCTCAACGGCGTTGCATGCAGCAGGATAACTGGTCTTGGAGTCCACGATAGCAGTGATGGCCTTGTCCTTGTCGGCCGAGGCAGTCAGGTAGATGTGGCAGAGACCATCAGCGTGGCCAAGAACGGGAATCTTGGTGGACTCCTTGATGTAGCGGACAAGCTCGTTTGAACCGCGGGGAATGACAAGGTCGATGTAGCGATCCTGCGCGAGAAGCTCGGAGATGGCATCGCGGGTTGTGACAAGCTGGATGGCTGAGTTGGGGACCTTTGTAGTCTCGAGGGCCGATGAGATGACCTTTGAGATGGCGACGAATGATTCTGTGGATTCCTTTCCGCCTGTGAAACGGTTAGTGTGCGGCTCAAAGGTGTAAGATAGTTGAAGGAAGGGGGCTTACCCTTGAGAATAGCAGCATTGCCGGACTTGATAGCAAGAGAGGCAATGTTGGCGATGACCTCGGGACGAGCCTCGAAGATAATGAGAAGGACACCGATGGGACATGAGACACGTTCCATCATAAGGTCATCGTCAAGCTTTGTCCTCATCTGAATCTGACCAACTGAGTCGCCATTAGCTTTGCGATTCTTATCAAATCTCATAAGACAATCATACCAGGGTCATCCAGATCCCTCACATCCAAAATTCCCTTAAGCATATCCTCCCACTTCCCCTTCTTGCCCAAATCCAATCGTGAAACAAGGGCTTGGCTGAGACCGCCCTCAGAAGCGGCCTTCTTTGCAAGCTCGAGATCTTTGGCATTGGCAGCAAGGATATCATCCCTTGAGGCTGTCAGAGCAGCGTGGATGGCTTCGAGGGCATTGTTGCGCTCCGAGGCCGGGAGAGTGGCGAGGGTGAAGGAAGCTGTCTTCGCAGCGCTCGCTGCGGCCTCGGGGGAGGCGTTTGTGAGAGACATTTTTGAGATGAGGGAGGGAGGTTTGAGGGGATTGTGTTGATGGTCGTGATGTTAAAGTGACTCAAGTGAGGTGGTTTAGCTTTAGCTGAGGTACATGGAGCTGTTGCCCCGCCTGTATGCACATGCACCCCGCCATTATGATTATGAACCACGGGGAAGTGCATCTGTCACTTACTGTCTATTCCTACCACTTGATTTAGCCAATTCACGAGTGTCTATCTACTTAACGAATGTGTATCCTCTACAGTTTACAAATACCAGCCATATGAAAAGATTACCTTTTTTGTTTCAATCGTCACTCATGAGGTACTGTTACTATTTGAGATACTGATAAGGATAAGGCTGAACCTGCGATATCGGCAATGTCGTCTCTGACTGTCAAATCAGTCATATTGACCCTTGATAACTCGACAATCATCGGAAGTTAGTTATATGAGTATGAACTACTGAGTCGTCAAGAATATGATAGTCTATGCGTACAATCATGTTGTTCGCCTTGTGTAGATATTCAATTGGTCAGTTAAGGTTGTTCAAACTCTGACATTGCGATAATTGTGCTTACGACCACTTACACAGCATCAAATTTCAGCATACACGAAATACTGCTTTCAGCCCTTACTTGAGTCAGAGTCTCTACATTGTAAGTTGGATATTTGACAGAAGTTGTTAGTGAATTGACTTCTTATTATGTTGGGTTTGTTACTGAAAAGTGCTACTCACTTCATTGGTCGATATTGTCTCAGTTCTTATATCTTAGTCGAAGAGAGGTATATCAACTTGAGAACTAAGAAAATGCAAATACTTCAATATTCAGCAGGTCTCTATAGAATGAAACAACGTTTGAACATTTCGATGACTTTGCCAGCATCAGTCCCAAAACAGCAATATTAATCCAACGACGCTATATCCGGGTTAAGTCCCCGAGACCCCCATACTTATCCAGCGGGACCGCCTTCGGCACGCCCTTTCACAACCGGGAAGTCCCTAGTTATTGGTCATGTTCAGGGCGGGGATCGAGTCTGGGTTAGTTTCTCCTTTCTCGCATAAGTCGGCATCAGTTAAAGGCACTTTTACATACCCAGTTCTCTATCTCTCTCTTCCCGCACCGGGTTCATTCTTCCGCCCATACCCTGGTCAGCCAAGAGTAAATACCAATGACAAATCCTGCCCAAACAGGATTCTTTTTATTCTTGAACTTGTAATATCTTTTTTTGAATCGAAGACCGTTCTTCAAAGTCTCTAAAATACGGGATCGCTCTTCTCTCCGCTCCGAATTACGGCCTCCGAAAGTGTCTCCACATGTTCGGAGCCGGCCGTTGAAGAAAGATGAAAACTGAACGGGATCAAGAAAAGAAGGAGCAGGAGCAAGAGGTCGAGAATGAGAAGATTAGCCTCGAGCGAGATGAAGAATCTCAACGCCCTGCTACTGCTGAATCTAGCTCCGGTAAATCAGATCACAATGACCAAGACACTATCGAACCTGTTATGCTGGGTGAACCTCTGGGTCACATAGACACTCGACCGTCTCTTAAACATGCCCAGTCTAGAGCTTCATCTGCACGATCAAAGGCGCTTTCTGTTGTTCCTAGATCAAAGAGACGTGGATTGCTTGCCAGGTTCACACTGGTTCCAGAGATTGCCCATCCTCCTGATTATAAGAGTTCGACAAAATGGTGTCTTACATTTATTGTTGCTTTGGCTACTGCTGCTGCACCTTTGGGCTCGACTATTGTATATCGTAAGTCTTGATCGTGTTTTGAAAGTATACACAAAGCTAACAAGGCGAAAGCTGCTCTTCCTGTCCTGGTCAAAGAGTTCAACACCACCGAGACAATCACCAACTTATCAGTCGCCCTTTACATGATCTCCATGGCCATCTTCCCTCTCTGGTGGTCCTCTTTCTCAGAGGAATTTGGACGGCGAACCATCTACCTTATCTCATTCAGCATGTTCGTCGTCTTCTCCGTCCTCTCAGCCATCAGCAAGAACATCACCATGCTCATCATCTTCCGCATGTGCGCCGGCGGCGCTTCTGCAAGCGCCCATTCAACAGGTGCAGGCTCCATAGCTGATCTTTTCGAGGTGTATGAACGTGGAAGAGCCATGAGTATCTTCTATCTTGGTCCTTTGCTGGGCCCCATGATTGCCCCTGTTGTTGGTGGCGCGTTGACGCAGGAGATTGGATGGCAGGCCACGATGTGGTTTCTTGCCATATACGGACTTGTTGTGCTTCTTATGATTCTCTTTTTCCTACCGGAGACATTGAAGCGCAAGCCTGAAACTGTCTTGCCCACTGCAGATACTCAAGAGCTCAGTCGAATGCGTACCATGGATTCAGCCAAGGTTAAGACCAAGAACCTTGCCAAGTCCGCGCGAAGATTCATCGTTGATCCTCTTGGAGTTCTTCTTTACCTTCGCTTCCCACCTGTTCTAATTACAGTCCTTCTCGCTGCCATCGCCTTTGGGTCTCTTTACGTTGTCAACATCGCAATCCAACAAAAGTTCTCCCGAGAACCGTACAACTTTGGCCAACTATCTATCGGGCTCATGTACATCCCTTCTGGGCTGGGTTATATTGTCGGCTCCTTGTGTGGTGGGCGATGGATTGATAAGATCATGGCTAGAGAAGCTCGCAAGGCAGGCCGCTATGATGAGGATGGAAACCTTATATACCTTCCTGAAGATCGTATGAGAGAGAACGCTTGGGTTATGACCACGATGTATCCACTCGCACTGCTCATGTTTGGCTGGGTACTTCGTTACGGTTTACATCCTGCAGTGCCATGTGTAGCCCTTTTCCTATTCGGAATCTCCTCAATGCTTGTCTTTGTAAGACACCCCCTTCTCTTTATGCCACGAATATCGCTAACGTTGTTTCTTCTAGTCTGTTGCGACAACCATGCTCACAGAGCTCATTCGCAAACGAAGTTCTTCAGGTGTTGCGGTCAACAACTTTGTTCGTAACACACTCAGTTGCATAGGCGCCATTGTTGCCGCTCCGTGGATCGAGGCTATCGATGTTGGGTGGGTATTCACAATCCTCTGCATATGCTGCTTAATTATTAGTTACATCAGCATCTATTTGCTGAGAAAGAACGCGACCAAGTGGAGGAAGACTATGGACGAGGCACTAGGCCAATAGACACAGATATCTAAGAATGATACCAGACGCTCAGTGATAGTCATCACAAGATAGGAGCACAATATACTTAAACGTGCTTAAAGAAGGGTGCTTTAGCTATCATAATAATATTCCATTTCATACTTATCCTCTTTTTACTCTACTTACTCTCCGCGAAGAGCTTACCCACAGCATCAAGGCCAACATTACCACCACTAAACACGAGACCAAGATCCCATCCCTCTTCTCCAGCCTCCTTCTCAACCATAGATCTGAAATCCTCGTCATACAGCGCCACAGCCAGCGGTACGCAAGCACTCGGCTCAACAACAAGCTTGAAGCGCTCAAACACCAACTTCATGGCTGACAGAATCTCATCCTCTGTGACACTGTACATACCAGACACCAAGCGACGCTCGTAAATGACCGACCACGGGTGCGCTCCCACAGGAGTGCGCAGTCCGTCGGCAACTGTGAGGGTCTTGACTGCTGTGATTCTTTCACCGGACTCGTATCCACGCTTGCCATCATCTGCGCCTTCGAAAGATGGCTCTGAGCCAAAGACACGAATTCCAGTACCCTCACAACTGAGGGCTACACCTGAAAGCATACCACCTCCACCCAGAGGCGTCATAATAGCGTCCAGACCTGGCTTCTCCTTCTTCGTTCGTGGTGCCTCATTGTCTCTTCCAGTAACAGGAGCCCTAAACAGCTTCCTTTGACCATCGACTACAGCATCAGTGGTCATCAACTCAGCGACTTGCTGCTGAAACTCAAGCCCCATAGTCCCTTGTCCGAGCATAATATCCGGGTGATCATAAGGTGGGACGAGACGAGCTCCTGTCTCAGCGATGACCTTTGCAGCCATAGCTTCACGCTCAGTCGATGTGCTTCCACTGAAAATGACTCGAGCACCATAGCCTTTTGTACCAGCAATCTTCTTGGGATTAGAGATCTCAGGCATAACGATGTGAGCCTTGATGCCACTCTCACGGGCAGCAAGAGCTAGTGCTTGGGCATGATTTCCTATGAGAGTCAGTCGTATCCTCCCTCAGGTAGGATATATGTAAGCTCTCTTACCAGAACTGTGGGTGACAACGCCCTTCTCTTTACCCCCTCCTTCCAACCACCCAGGTTCCTGTTTTAATCTCTCAACGGCATGAAAGGCACCTCTGGCTTTAAAGGCTCCTATTCGTTGCATATTCTCGCACTTGAACCAAAGTCTCAGCACCGGTCGGGCCGGTGTTCGTCCTGCATAGCGAGTTCCTTCAAGTTCCTCTGGTGTACGAGGCGTTGAGGCAAGTTCCGTGATGGTCCGGTTGGTCAGAACTGGAGTATAGTGGATGTACTGGCCGATGAGCTTGTGAGCCTCAATGACTGAGTCGCGAGTCAGTGGACGATTTCCTGTAATTTCGGCCATGATTGACGATGAGATTCGCAATATAGAAAGGGTTGAGGGTGATGCGATGAGCGAAAATTGTCTTATACAGATGATGGGGGCGATATATAAGAGTATCCAGTGTCCTTATATCCAGCGATCCCCGGCCCGTTGTCGGCAACTGTATTCTTTCGGCTTCCACTTTTGGCACATGAATTCTGTTGCCCAGAAGACTATATGGGGCTTGTCATTTTAAAGGCGCAAGCAGGCAACAAAGGCTCAATGGAACAGTAAAGAATCAAGCATGTAATCAAAAGACATCAATCACTTGCAATTAATAAGAAACAATGTTTTGAACGTTAAATAAAAATGGTATTCGTTTTGGCTGCGAGCCTGATATCAACTTTTTGGACCAACCCAGGTCCTCCTCCAGAGTCCAGGAATTTTTAAAAGTACAAAAAGTTCGTGGTTTCGTAAATAAATAAAAAGAACCGTTTCCCAGACATGTCCCTTTCCGCTCACAAATCATCAATCAACATCATTAACTAGAATAGTTTACTTCTGGTTCTCGGGTCGGAGGCTGCGGACGGCCTTGCCGGCGCGCCAGATCTCGAGCTCGCGGATCTCCTTCATCTCGGCCTCGTACTTCTCACGGTAGTCAGGCTGGCTGTTGTACTCGAGAGATCGCTTGGTCTCGGAACCATCCTTGACGGAGTCGTACAGAGAATTGAAGACGGGCTTCAGAGCATCCTTGAACTTGGGGCTCCAGTCAATGGCACCACGGCGGGCGGTGGTAGAGCAAGCCTCGTACATCCAGTCCATGCCGTTGGCACCGATGAGAGGGTAGAGAGACTGGGTAGCCTCCTCAACGGTCTCGTTGAAGGCCTCGCTGGGGGAGTGGCCACGCTCACGGAGGACCTCGTACTGAGCAAGGAACATACCGTGGATACCGCCCATGAGGCAGCCACGCTCACCGTAGAGGTCAGAGTAGACCTCCTTCTCGAAGGTGGTCTTGTAGAGGTAGCCGGAGCCGATGGCGACACCAAGAGCGATGGCCTTCTCCTCGGCCTTGCCAGTGACGTCCTGGTAGACGGCGAAAGAGGAGTTGATACCACGGCCCTCACGGAAGAGGGATCGGACGGTTCGGCCAGAGCCCTTGGGGGCACAGAGGATGACGTCGATGTTGGTGGGAACCTCAACCTTGGTGAGGTCCTTGAAGACGGGGGAGAAACCGTGGGAGAAGTAAAGGGTCTGTAAGGGAAAGATGTTAGAGAAATGCCTTGATTGATATTGAGTGAGCAGTGATGCTTACCTTGCCCTCAACGAGCTGGGGCTTGATGGCGGGCCAAGTCTCAGACTGGGCAGCGTCGGAAAGAAGGTTCATGACAATGGTACCGCGGCCAATGGCCTCGTCGACATCGAACAGGTTCTTGCCGGCAACCCAGCCATCCTGCTCAGCGTCCTTCCAGGACTTTCCGTTCTTTCGGACACCAACAATGACGTTGAGGCCGTTGTCACGGAGGTTAAGACCCTGACCGTGACCTTGAGAACCGTAACCAATGAGGGCCAGAGTGTCGTTCTTGAAGTACTCAAGGAGCTTCTCTTGGGGCCAGTCGGCACGCTCTGTGGTGTACGAGTCAGTATGTGTTCCATTGGGTCCCAAAGGCTGGGGATTAGGTTGGAGCTAGAGCTGTAACTTACCATAGACGTCCTCCTTGTGGCCGGCAAAGTCCATGGTCTTAACACCACGAACCTGCTGCTGGACAGGGCCAGCAGCGACAGGTCGGGCAACAGCACCAGCACGAACGGCAGCGCGAGCAGCAGAGACGAAAGTTCGCTGCTGAACGCGGGGAGCGGAAGCAAGCTGGCGGGCAGGGCCACGGAGGGCCTTGGAGAAGTTGCGGGAAGCCATTGTGATGATGAGGAGGGAGGAGTTTGGGATTGAGGGGAGAGTGTCTGAGAAGAAGGATGAAGAGAAGGAAGAAGAGACAATTGCAATGGCGAGAGCAAAGGTTAATAAGTACTTAACTCAAGCTGTCGTGTCGCTAGTTAATTTTTGGAGGGGGAGGGCTATGACCGATTTCGGCTTGTAGGTGAGGTGGGCCCTGACGCTGAACAGCGGGGATGCGTCTGGGGGGGTTGTGGGTACCTCAGCCTCTGGAACTTGGAGAACTGAACAATTTACAGCGACTGTAGGCTGATTTCAACCAATTAGCGGCGATTTGATGCTTGTCCAACCACACAAAGTAACTTTTCTCTCGTCAGCGGCCGTTTTCATGCTGTTTGACCGCCAAAGACGAGGCTCAGTATAGGGGAGAGCTACGGTTCCAATTGAGTCAGTTGTCTCATCTGACACAATTCTGCATATTCTAGCATTTTCACAGCACGCACAAACCCTAAATCAGAAGCAATTGCGTGGCAAAACTGAGGACGACTTTCGCCCACACTACCTCAAGCTATCCCAGCTTGGAGGTAAAGATTTGAGGGGCCAACAGTAGACGGGGTAACATAAAGCGGGTCCCTTGCTCCTCCGGAGTACACTTAGCGTCCCCGACTGTCGTCCGACATACAAACTTCACGGCCGATACAGGCGCCTCATCCAATGGGAGTCTCTAGAATTCAAACATACCCACGAGCGGCAACGGCAAACCACCGCAGTCGGGGTCCTGTCCCTTGATCGAAGTGCATATCGGGGCAGCATCTCACACTCCGGTCAGGGCATCACGTCAGACAGAGTCCAGATCTGCCTCAAGTTGACTCTTTCAAACTCCACTTACTCCGGGTTACGGACACTTAGCACATCGATGATCTGAAGCGTACCGGAAAGCTTAAGACCCCAAGTTGAAGGGACAGAAAGAAAACAAGCAGGTGTCTGGTTCTATACTCGAGAGGGTGACCATGTTATTGCGTCTCGTATGCTATCAGTAGCTAGGCTTTCTGTCACCCCAAGCTTTGAGGCTCAAGTCCAGGGCTCAACGAGGTTGTAGCCTCCCCGTTAGGGTATCTACTCCACGTCCCTTGGCGAAATGATTCACGTCCAGCCCAGTATCGAGTTGCGGCAACTATGATCAAGTAAGTGGCCAATAGAGAGCTACGTAAGTAGAGCTCAACTTGGTCCAGCAACTCGCCAGCACGTGTAAAAGCGCATAATCCCCGTAGCTTGAGATCAACAAAAAAATTGCGTATGTATATATATAAATCTCCAATTCTACCCCGCCTCCACCAAGAAACACCCCTCATCAAGGTATGCATAGAACGCCGAGGGAGGACAAGCAAAGCCTGTGCCAGCCCATAGATTCATAAGACGCCACATGATGCTCTTTCGTCCCAAAAGCCTGTCTGGTGTATCAAACGCTCATTAAAGACGCTCTATCGTCTCGAGATCCCAAACGGCTCTTTGTCTCCGTAGTTGTTCTTTCCGGAAAGTCTTTGGTATTCGTTCCTAAGCACGTTCTATTTGAGGACCCTGTCGTAGTTTGTGCCCTTGACCACTCCACCACCCATTGCGGTCCTCACATTGCGCTTGAATCCCTCTCGGTTGTTTCGTAGATCCTCAGCCGCTTCCTTGTTCAGCGGGTCCGATGCGTTTGGTTCGAGGAAAAGGAACTATAGCCATGTTAGTCACACTACCCCAGACTTTGTATGTATTTTGTCCCTTTCATGCCTACACATGGCATGCGGGGTTTCTGTTTCTAGTATCCATACCTGTAGGCCAACAATAACTGCGTTCAAGTTCAACACAGGCTTCCAGTCCTCTCGCAGAATGTTCAGGCACACCTTGCCCTCGAGGTCGATGTTCGGGTGGTAGATCTTTTCTCTGCATCGGACCTTAGGAGGCTCGTGTGGGAAGTTCTGATTAATGGTAAAGTCGAATGTGAAGCGTCCGCCGCGGTACATGCCCTCATCCGGGTCGATTGTAAGAACGAAGTTGAGGATATCATCGGGATCGGGGAACTCTGTCTTCATCGTTGAACCGAGCGAAAGTTCTGAAAGGTCTAGAGCATTCTATGTCAGCTGGTTACTTCATCTCACCGCCAGACGGCAGAGTTGAGAGAATTGGATCATACCCTTTTGCACGCGCAACTGAGCTGCGGTCACCTTCTTCTTCTTGCCACCAGCAGATTGGCCTTCAGCATTCTCCGCATCCTTCTGCTCCTTTTTCTATACAAATCTTTTAGTGACTATCCGCGACATGATTACTGACGGGCTCTTACCATCGACCATATCTTCAACATTATGAACGTGGGGGCCCAAGGTGGGCTGTGTCGTATGCGCCGCTAAGAGGAGGGTGTTTGGTGTACGTAGGAAATACTGCTAAACCGCGAGTCTGTCTAGCAGGTCGGGATGAGGTGTTATTTAAAAGAAGTACGTTGCAGAAGTCTAAGACGTTGGTCGTGAGGTTAGACGGCGGTTCACAGAAGGGTCCAGGCGTGCTTAGTAGAAAAGGTGATGATGCTTGATAAGATAGCATAGCGTAAGGCAGCCAGAAAGCCTAAAGATCCCTGAACCCCACCGAGGTTTAGGCGACCAATGAAATGACACATCAGACCGTTATGGTCAGGAATTGGAGGTACAAAGACAAGACAAAGACCTCACGATGAACGTAACGTTTGGACTCAACCCTTGCTTAGCATAAGGTTCCCAACCAGTGACAAAGGTTCTTTCATGGCATTCAATGGAGCTCAATCTTGATGGTAACAAAATTCATATCATTCAAATGCGTCATAAACCCTCGGGGGCAGATGCCAATCTGAAAAAGACTAAATAGAGAATACACATGCCCGTATCCGGAGCCGCCCCGAATACCTTCACTCCAAATGTGCTCTTTTGTTGATGTGCCTCCATTAAATACTCAAAACCCAGCGTACGTTACATAACAAGGTATCCGATATAAAAATCCAGTTTGTCTAATATGACAAGCGCCAATACTTTTCTGTACTTGGCCTCTCCAGAAAAGGTGAGAGTGTCGTCGAATGCAACGCGCGCAAATACGCACGACGCTTATCGTCTCGAGAAACAGCACATGATACCAGTCCTGCCCA